TTAACCTTACAATTTACTTCGTAAAAGCAAATAATTCACATTTTCACCATTTCACCATGTTAAACAATAATCAATATTAGCTAAATCAATTTGTAACATCTGATTGATTGAATGTGTTGAAAGCGGTTATTGCCATTATGCGTGTAATTTTGACTAAACTCAATCCAATTGATTGGATAAATGAACGTGAATAGCATGAAATAAAGAAATTAGATTTTGCTTTTAGATAATTTAAATCAATATGGTTGACTGTCTAGTTTAAAATTATTTATTAATCAACCATTCTCAACTAATCAATTTTTCAAGTCTTTTCATTCAACTAAATTACAGACAAACCATCAATTACTGAATAATTATTAAAACAAATAGTTACTGTTGAATTGCTTTTCCTGATTAGCTCACCACCATTAACAATAGCTATATGCTATTAACTTGATTAAAGACGAAATAAACATTTCATTTAAATTGAATTAACTTTGATTTACGAGACATGTTTACCAATTAACTATTGCCATCTATGATCCTTATGTTGAGTTCAATTTTTGTCCATCTCTGACTTTTCTTGATTAGATTATTGTTATTTAAAAATTAGATTGCTTCATGTTTCATTTGATGGATAACATTTGAATGAATTAATATCGAAACATGATGTCAAGTAAAAACCTTATGATTTTGGAACTTGTTAAGATAATAATTTAATCTAATCAATTTATTCATTGTTAATGACTCTGTTTCGTTTACTTGACAGTTCAACATGTGACAAAATTTAGAGTTAATTAGATAAAAATCTGTCGATTGACCCAAATTTGTTTTACAACTACAATTACGATGAGTTTTAATTATTGTATTTTTGTCTATTTTATTGCACCAGGAAATCATTAGGATGCTATTTATTGACAAAAGGACATTCAAAAGGCTGTTAATGGATCATCAAAATTGGATTGCATTGATTGAATTAAGAGTGAACAATTAGGATTCAAGAGCAACAATGAAAATGGCAACAAACAAAGCTACTCAATTAGACGCGTTTTTCCGACACAGAATGATTAACGGCCAAAGTACATCAGTTGAATAGTAAACTCGATGTGAGCAATATGTTTTACAATCGATTGACGTTTGTGATTCCCTTAATTTTGTGTCTTATCCACACATTTTCATCATCTTTCAAGCACAATTTGAGCCAATCAGACAAGCCAACCTCTTCAACATCATCATCTGAATTATATGAAGCAGCATCATCTTTAGCTCGAACCAAACCATATCTTAAACAAGCCATTTTCAATAAGCCATTTAACCTTTTAATGCCTGGAGGATGTTGTCCGTGCTCAGAGTGTTGCCTTTGCCCCATCGATCCACTTCCAGGAGACTATCCTGACCCAGGAGTGATAGATCCTGATAATCCACCACTTGGAGGGTTATTTAATCGCTTTGGATCATCTGGTTCATCCTCATCTCGGCGAGTTGTTCGCCGTCGTTATGTTCGTCCCAATGGAGTTGTTGTGGTGGAGATTGAAGAGCAACCTTCTGGATTCCGTGGTAGTGGGCTGTTTGGTGGAGGTGGACTGTTTTCACGCTTCATCCCTTCAGCCCTTGAAAATGGAAATGTGTCTCGTCGCCAGCAAGTCAATCCTAATCCAATCATTGGTCTAACTGTTAATCCTTCTGTTGCTATCCGTGAGAGGAAAGATCGCTATGATTTAAATAGAAGACAAATGATTAGAGTAAATCAAGGTTGATTAGTTAATAAACCAATATTTAGAATGAAATAGAAAAGTCAATTTGATTGAAAGATTATTCAATTGTTCACGTTCTTTGCATCTCATCATTTTTCAACCTATTTTTTGTTACTGTTAGTACAAAATGTAATTTTATCATATTTTTTCAATCTAAAAATATTAGTCAATAAAGGATTTGTTTGTTTTCACATACAATTTTCAACATTATTTACACAGATTTACTTTCAGTGTTTCTTTTTCAAAGTCAATCATTATTAGCTTTGATTGTTTTTTTTCCTCACCAAATCAATATTTTTTCATTGAATAATTATCTACAACAATCTTGATGTTAATAACTTGTTGATCTTTGAACTTCGCTTGGCAAAAATGATGAAACAATACACTTGAAGGAAAGGATTAATAACGCTGAACAGATAAACAAAAAAGTCAAATTGTAGCAATTCAAGTGTGCAGTCAAGTTGTTAACAAGCTCATTTATTTAAATTAAATCTGATTAGTTTATCTTTCGGAACAGCATAGAGCTGACGGAACTGAACGTCAATCTCGAAATCAAATGAAAAAGTTAATCCGTACTCAATGATACAAAATAACCAATGATTTATATAAAAAAAGGTGAAAATAAAAAATGAAAACCAGAATATGCTTAAACGAGATTCATTTGACATTATTAAATACATTTAATTTGGGAAATACATGCACATATGAGTTGATGATGATAATAGTGAAAATGATTTCCATGCCATGATGTTGTGAGTACAAAAAGGTTTAAAATCAAATAGGAAAGTAATCAAACTAACAATTTAAGTTGGATAATAAGATAAACAATCTAAACTTGGGATACAAAATGGTAGTGATTTGATGATATTTTTTAAAAAAAATTTCAAGGAAAAGGATTCATTTTTGCTCGATTCATCATCAACATGCAAATAGTCAAAGTTATGGTTCAATGGATGAACTCATGTTGATAGAAATGATTCCAATCCAAACTTGAATGGCACATAGAAAAGTCATGAAAACTTGGACTTTAATTGAATAAAGGCAATTGATGGAAGTCGTATCCTTTTCGCCCGGTAACAGCAAAGTATAAATAGACAACATGATAAGCTGTAAGAAATGGAGAGTAAAAAATGATTAGTATTAATGGATAATTTAAATGATTTAATCTTTGACTGTGCGGTTACAATGTAAGCACAGTTGATATAAAGGATGTAGTTAGATGAAATTTAAGCATCTTCTTGAATGTTATGTAGATGAATCTATTTTAATTAAATCAGGAAGAGGTTTTGAAACTTGTGAACAATTGAATGGGATCCAAGAAAATTATAATCAGAGGAGTCAACAAATTTAGTAAAGTTACTTTTATCCTTGAAAAATGTACCAATATAAGCAAAAATTGGATGAAGAAACTTGGCAATAAGTTAACTAATTTTAATTTTTCTTGATGGACTAGATAAAGTGTATGACACTTTAATATCAATGTCTAATCGAAGATGATCGCGGAATGTTCACTTGTTAATCTAGAGGATTGTTTGATTAAATATTTACTGTGTTTGGCTGTGAAAGTCAACATGAAACTGCATCTCAATTACAAAATTGGCAAACACAGAGTTGCAAATTTAAACTTAATCAACGTTTCTTTTTGTTTCATATTGTGATTATTTTACAGTCAAGATACAGTTAATTGCTTCGGCAGCAAATAACACAAAAGAAGTTAATAATAGACTAAATTATTATATAACAAATGAGCACAAATAAGTCGCAAAGGGAAATCCAGAGTCTAGGCTTCATGAATTTAAATGATAATCATACAAATGGTTTTATCTTTACAATTATCAAATGAAGTAAATTAAAAGCGACAGGATGTTGGGGGCTATTTTTGCTGTAAATTTGATTATTAGCATTAACTATTGATTAAAGTTGACTGACAAAAAGAGGAAAGGATTATTAGGTTTATTGTAAGCAAAATGGATACATTACCATGTTGCTCTTTACACTATTTGTATTGTTCATTCAATCAATTTATCGTTGAAGGAATGAAAATATATATCTTTTCCCTGATTTTGTTTGAAGTAAACATTGATTCGATAAATATTTAACTTTCAATCAATATACAAGTTGTCCGAGTAAATAGGAAAATTGAGGATTCAAATACATTTGCATTGGGAAAACAAATAACAATTGCTAAAATTTTCAATTAATGTAGCATTTCTAGATCATTAGAACCTGTCCGGTAAGCTTGCGATCAATTTTGATTCTGATTGAGTTCCTAAGTTTTAGTTTATTTTAGCTGAGAAAACTTGAAAGTGTTATTTATATTTATGATGATATAAATGATTTAGTTACAACTGAGCAAGATAAGTAAACAAAAATTTCTGATTTATGATCAGATTACTATTTTCTTGGATATATGTGAGACAATTGCTTTCCTCAATCCGCTATCAATATAATATTGTATCAAATGATTATCGGCAATAATAACTAATTAAAACAATATTGAGTTAACAACCTTAATTAATGTTCACATAGTTGTAAACATGTAACCAGAGTTGAGGTTGGGTTTTGGGTTAAAGCCTTTCACAGTTACACTAACATTCCCATTGATAGCTAATAATACACAGTTCACAGTTGAACTATCGCTCACCTCCAGGAATGAAGCAAATGGCCCCAGCGATAAAGAAAACATAACTTTGAAAATCAATGTCAGGCAATACTGTGACTACAATTCCCATGGCAATAAGTCCTATACCAACAATCAACAGGCCAAAAGCAGCGAAAAAAATCTTCCAATTTTCCTTGAACTTGGGATGTCTCCACCACCTGAGAAGAAAAGACAAATGACAGTTAATATATAAATGGATATGATGATTAAAAAAGTTAAAATGATTTACCTGGGTTTAGTCTCACATGTGTCAACTCGTTGATATGAACTTTGACAAGTGGTTAATGATTCGATATCTTTGTCAACCTTCTGGTTAGATGGAAATGAAGAGGCAAATTGTTAGCAAATCTCAATCTTGTTTGATCTTGAAAATACGAAGAAAGAGAAAGAAAGGCTGAAATTTACTTACATGGTTGTTTCCTCCATTAAGAAAAGTCAATTTGGCTTGATCTACTTCATCTTGATTTGTTTTATTTTCAACTGAGGAACCCTCACAAGATCCATAGTTAATCTCATTACAGATGGTATATTGACCAGAATTTTGGTTTTTAGAACTAGATGATGACTGAGACTCGGGCACACTTTTAAAATCTCCATCTTGAATGTGAATACTATTATTTATCACGAGACCTTCTCTGGACTGGTCTTTGTTATTGTCAGAAGAGATTTGTTCACTTAAGTTATCGGCCACTTCTAGTGATGGTGGCATTGTAAGATTTTGTTTTGGGTTTATATAAAAAAATCACAACCTTTGATCACAATATCATCCAATTGGTCAAGATTAATAAAAATGGTAGTGCCAAGAAATTCCTTAATCAAAAATGCAAGGCAGAAGAAAGTAAAAGATGTAAGCAGCAAACACAAAGAAAATAAAGCAAAATATTTACTGTCTGGGATTCAGTGTTGCAAAAGAGATGGTGGTGACAACTGATTGATGGACATTACATTACAAATAATGGTCACAATAAACACTGTTAATAAACAGATAGAAGATGTTAATGACTATCAAGAAAAATCATTATTGTCAGAAATGAATAATGTAGGGAGAAGGAAACAAACTAACAACAAGCAGAGAATGAAAAACTAGAAGTGAGTTTCTCTTTGTAAGATGAGTGAGTTGCTGGGTGAGGCGGACTGTTGACTAATCAACAAAATAATAAGTGTAAAAAAAAATCTACTTTTTGTCACTGAAATTTACTCTTTGGAAGTTGTTGCATGATTAATGACTAGATCACTCACATTAAATTAATAGATTCAATTCTGTTAATCAACTATGTTTTAAACAAAAATAGCATATGATGTTGATGTTGATGGTAATGGCAATAATCATGATTGAAAAACAAGGTACACGATTTTCGTTTAGCAGAAACTATAACTATGAAGATTCATGGTAACATGTGATGAAAAAATAAGTGTTTGATTACTTCAATAGATAAAGTTTGTTGACAAATGCTCTAATCGAATGAATATTTATATAATCAGTCACATTGTATAGTGATTTACTACTTGGATTGAAAAATAATTAATTCTGTTGACCTGATAATCAGGTAACCCTACTACGGATGCTATTGTTAGGGTAAATTTAAATCAACATCCGTTTGCAGTGATATTGATTTGAGTTCAAATAAATTATGCTTTTGATTCAATTCTTGATATCTGAAAAAGATTTTATTACAGTACATGAATCAGAACTTTTTTATGGACTTTTCTTTGAATCCACAGGTTTTTCTTCTTCCTTTTCGGCTTTATTGGTGTTTGCTGCTGGTTTTTCTCCGGTTTTATCTTTTAAACCCTCTTTCTTTTCCGCATCCCGGTTGGTTATCTTGTTGTTGATTAAATTGTGTAAGGCTATAACTGATCGTACCAATGATGCCAAATAAACCACCAACATCTGATCATTTGTTTTTACATACACGGATTTGACAAAAGTTTCACTCATGGTATCTGGTAGGAGATTGAAAATATCTTGTAACAGGTAGATAATTGCATTGTTGCGAGGAAGTTTATCCTCTACGACCAATTCAAGGTATTTTTTGATACTATTTAGTTGAGTGTATAACCCTTTTAATCCTAGTAATTGATTGTTTACCCTTTGAGACAAGGTACCAAGAGTGGTATCTTTGATATCACGTAACAGGTGTTCGACACCAACTTCTTCTGCTTCCTCTGCACCAATTTCACTTGAAACATGTTCAAAAGTTTTGGAAGTAGGTGTTCCATCATCATGCACCTCTTCAACTGCGAAATAGGCTTCTGTTGGAAGTCCCAAGTCTTTAGGTTTAGCATCAACTATAACCAGCACAGAATTAGGGCAGTATTTCCTGATTAAATCATTTATTTCAATATCGTTTGGATTTAATTTAGGTCCGGTATGATACCATCCAACAATATGCTCTCGCGTGTTGACTTTTTTGAACATGGAATACATATTTTCAAGATAATCATGATCCAGAAACCATACATTTCTCTCTTTATCATCCTCATCGAAAGGTACTATATAAATTGACAAGAAAAACATTATTAAATTAAGATTCTCATTACCAAGATAATGGAAAGTAATATAAATCAAATTTTCCTCACCTGCAAAACTGTTTGACACATCAAGAATACCTTTACCCTTCATTGCTCCTAACAGAATACCTACGACTCTTTTCTGGTTACCAATTTTACCCATACGGTTGAAATGATCAACCACTGACAGCAGGACCAAAGGATGAACAACCACCTTATCGATTGGCAGCGATTCTTTGGCACGCCAAGACACATTTTCATCACTTTTAGCTGCCTCTTTCACATCAGTTGATAGTTTAGCCGTTGATGTTGGTCCTTTATCGCCCTGTCAATGAAAACAAACACATGTTAGAAAAATATCTTAAATGACATCGTTAGATTAAATTTTTATGCATTTAACTCACCATGATGATAGAAAACAATCGAAAAGAAATAATAAACAATGATAAATTCAAATTTCTTTAATTACTCTTTGGCTTATGATGTTAAAAGACAAGATGATTTGCCAATTATTTTATTGGTGGTGGTGTCACCTGTCAAACATATGTTATCTATTGAAACTTTTAGCGCAGTATTCAAAATATGTTTTAAAATCTTTTCATTATTTTGCAATTTTGTAACAACCAGAACAAGAACAGAACAGTTGGAAGGCCTAAAAAGTATAATTTTATGAAAGTTAATAAAATATCAATCATTCATTATTCAAACGCATTCCATTCAGGTCACAATACATGCTTGGGCTCATGACTTTCAACTCTTGGATATGCCTTCAATTTTACTTGGTCCAGGTTTAGGATATTTCCTATTCTGCTTAAATTGACTTTTGTCAACGTAAAGGACCATTTTAATTAATCTAGTTTGTAAACACTGAATCTCAAATACGTGCAGTCTTTTGATTCATTGTCCAATACCAAATGAAATACATTTACATTTACTGATGGACCACAACATCCACCATTATCCAATAATTTAACTTGAGTTATGAAAGTGGTGGACAATGCAACGGCAAAAGGTCTCTAAAATGGTGGATGTGGAGATTAATTGATCCCATTAATTCAAATTTGCCCTGAAAGCTTTCATAGACTAGACTAATTCAGCTTTAATCTTTAAGGTATGTCGCCTGGTTTAGGGGAATGACCTTGCAAAGGTTTACTCTTTTTGATGATAAAAGATGATTAGAGCATAAACTTAACCTGATTTATGAGTATGGACTTTCAGTTCCTGAAATTAGAAGTAAAGATGAAACCATGATAACTTCAAATTGATTTTCATTCACTGTGAGTCTCAACATTTCACAACCTTTTTTTAAACCAATATTGAAGCATTGTGACCAAACAGATTTTCAAGTTGCAAGTAATCGTGTTGATCAGCTTCATACCAATGATGAAACCAACTGTAATCATTACCTATTTGTTGATAAACTGTGCCTCTAGTGCTTATTTAACATCGAGAACATCGTCATCAACCAAAGATCCTCTTGAAAGATTGTTTCGTCCCAAGAAATTTAATGCAACTGTTTTACTTTTAGATCGCGGTAGATCCACACTTCGAGGCCGCTATGGTTCACCAAGACTGGTCAAAGTTGAGTTGGATAAATCACTCGAGTTCTTACCATTGGAACCATATGGATTAAATAGTCTGCCAAGTTGGTCAAAGTCAATATTAGGCTGTTATCAATACGATGAGCCGAGGAAAATTGAATTAACTCTTGAGATGTTCAGAAGAGAGTGGCGAGCGACAGCTAATATGGTTGATGGCCGAACCTTGGACCGTGTTCTGGATGTTTGTGATCAATTCTTGAATTATTATGGAGGTTTGGGCAAATTACTGATGGACAGGAATGAAACTTCATCCATTGTTTTCCGAGAAAAAAGTAAACAAAGACTAGCCAATAGTTATGGAACCCAATACCATGTAACTCTGGTTCATTTACTTGACAAACCCTGGAGTCAAACTCAAAAGGTAATTGTCTTTCATTTAAACCAAATTGTCCATCATTCAAATTCACCAAATCATCAAACACCTTTTCCATTACATTGCTCACAACTTCATTATTCATTTCGGAAGTGTTAGTATTAGTTGAATTAAGAACGTGGTGAGTTTTATGGATTTGGTTGATGGACAATGAGATTGGACAAGTGGACTATGTGTTGGAAGCGATGGAAATGAGATGACTCCGGTGATCTCAGTTTTATAAAACTAAGAGCTGTGATAAATTTTTCAAATTAAAATTTATTCATTTTGTCTTTAGTGGCCTCGATTTTGGAGAGATTTACCCGAATGGGCAGGATCATTGGACCAATGTTTCAAATTTATCAGCAGTGATCCCATTGAGGAACACCAGAAAAAAGTTCCGTTCAAGGAAATTGAACTGGTGGACAAAAGAACGATGTGGAATCTGAATCATGTTTGTGATTTGATCACTTTAGTCAAATGGGATTGGTTTTCAGCACAAAATGATCGAGATATTAGATTAAGAATCGAACGGACACATTGAAAAATCTGAATGTATCATTCATAAACTAACACTATCATATAAAATGATCTGCTGCAAATAAATGCGAGATTATATTTTCATTCTGCTTTTTGGCAAGTCTACATTGTTTTATTTTATTTAATTTTGACTATTATCAGTGAATTAGGTTCGACTTAGACGTTTTAATTTAAATTGTAACCAAGGTATACCTTTAACAGCTCATTATTATCCTCCTCACTGGTTGATTTGATTGATTTGTTCACACACTTCTTAAACACTCAAACATCTAACCAAATCTTTTTTTTAAGTTATCACTAACAAGACAAAATAAACACAATCGTCAAAGCATTTATTCACAAGTTGACAAAAATGGGCAAAAATGGATAAAAATTGATTTCTTTCAAATTTAAACTTTATTGGTTTGAAAGGACATGGAAACTGAATCCAATTATCCGATTTAATTGTTTGTCTTGTCAATATTTTTCGAGAAAATCGAGTCTAAAGTTGAAACTTCAATCGCCTTTTGTGTAATGCTGGAAGCAGATTTTTTCATAAAACTCATTTCAATAATGTAAATTTTGATGAACAACCAGAAAATGGTCTTATTTATGGAAATTAAATTTTCTGTTTCTTCAAAACAGATCAAGTTCAATTTTCAGTTAAACCAATCGCCTTCTGTGATGGTGAGAGTTAGAAAGAAACTTTTCATGTGTGTGTAAATATTGTTGGCACACTTCAGTGACCGAACACTTTTTTCAATTTATCAACAGTTCTCTTAATTTTAGCGATTCACTTCAAAACTTTGAGCCTCAATATTTTAATAATAATATCATCTACAATCATCAGTCTTAGCCAAACATTAGATTTCATTATGGGCTATAATATATTGAAATATTAAATCATTCAAGATCCAACGAAAAAGTTATGGCATTGTATAATATTATTTTAAGCTTTCATATTTGAGACTTTATTTATAAAGTTAAATGGTTGTCAAACACAAATCTTATGCGTTAAAAGATATTCATTATTAAATGAATTATCTCGGATTTTATTCGATATTCAGTACATTTTCTGGTTGATTATCAAAAGTTACATCAGCGAACCAGTTAATTACTGAACTCGATGCTTCAGTCCATCTTTTGTCTTCAAGTTATTTCCGCTTAAAATTTTTTAAAACTGGTTTTTGTTACCTTTTCAAGTTTACCTTCAGAGATAACCATTTCCGATTTGGTCAGTTCACCCTTTCATTGACTCAAAGTTAGGTCTACTTTTGTCCATTTGTTTTGTTTATTTCAATCCAAAAAACTTAACCCTTATTTCTATTCTTTTACCTTATTTTTGAAATGGATGGAAATGATAATAATTTTGATAAAGGTAAGTTATTATAAATAATTTTGCTGAATCTTTCTATCGAGTAAATTGATTGTTTGTTTATTTTTAGTTACAATAAGAGTTAAAATATCGGATGATGATTACCTTGATATGCTTTTCGATTGGTCAAAGATCCATACATATGATATGGATAAAGCAATATTTGAACAGGTAAATGTTGAATCAAGTGTGCATTCGAACTTGTTGATGATTTATTTTTTTATCATTTATAGCTTTCAACGTTCACAGGGATACAAATTGAAGCAGTAGGATCTATTACTTTGTTGAATTATCGTTATCCAGATAGTCTGAGTTTCCAGCGTACTATAAACAACCCATGCTCGGATAAACGGTAATCTATTTCAAATACAATCTATTTTATGATCAATTTGTTAAAATGAACTCGTTTTATCATGTGTTGCACAGGTGTTTTCGCAGGGTACCTTATAAACCAGTCGGTCCCCATCATTATTCAATTCAAGAACGATTTTCGATGAGAGATGGTGATTACTATCGACTAACGGCATCTGCAAGACTTGACCCTGATTTGGATAACATTTTCGTTAGATATGGATTATTGCATCAAGATTTGGTTGATGAAACTGAATGTAACAGAAGATTTTGCCATTCAAAAGGTAGCAGAGTCTTTTTGGATAAATTAGCGAAAGTGGTTAATTCTGATATCGATACATATCTGAGTAATTTACCTGATCGTCCAAGACCTAATGTTATACCATTTGAAGGTACTGAAGCCCTATTTTATGATGACGAATGGCAGGATAGACATGATTTGAAGGTACAGGATATATGCAGGGATTTGAATATTGGACAATATTTGTTATCTTCTTGTCCTGTAAATTCTTATCACGATACAATGCAAAGACGCTTTCCTCGTCTCTATTGTAGGAATCGAGGCTGATCGACTCTGTTTGATTGGACCAAATTGTCAATCCATTTTAATAAATATGTCATGATTATCATCGATCTCATTAACAAGATATGTATTTGACAATCAATAATATACTTTGCATCAATAAATGCTTTTCATCATTTATCACAACAATTCGAGAACCAAGCTATTTTTACAATGCTCAAATTCGTAGTTCGTTAACCATTAAATCATTCAAGATCATACAAAAAAAGTTACAACATTGTCGTCAGATAACCAAAGTCAGGTTATAACCAAACGCAAATCTTATTCGTTAGAAGGTTATTCATTATTCAATGAATTAACTACGATTTTATTCAGTATAACAGATGTATGTAAGTTTTTATGTCCCTACAAACTAAACAAGTTCAGCCACTTTTTTTGTACAAAAATTCACATAAAGGGGACTATGATTAAAGTTGATTTCGAGACAAAAATGAAATTTAAAATCGTGGGAATGATGGTTAATCAAGAGGCTCTTTATAATTTGTCAATATTCAATTTTAATACTCTACTAGCATTGTAAATCATTTCATTTTAGTGAACATGATTAATATGGTTTCTGTTTTGGTCGAGTTAAAACAAATTCAATTTACATGTAAAATGAAATAAAAATTAGTGCATCTGATTTTCAATTGTAACTTATTAAACATTTTATTCAATTTATTCTTTGGCGCATCTTACAAGCTTGGATTATATTTAAATTATCTAAATACAATTCACACCATCATAAATAATGATCTGAATCGAAATTGTAATTAACTTTGTCAAAATTGAATTTCGCGTCTTTTGGTCGGATAGCGCCATCTCTGCTAAGAGATAACCAATATTATCAGCTGCTTTTTGTTTATAACATTGGAAGTTGTCAATTGTAGTTGACTAAGGTTTTGATTTTGAATGTTTGTTTTGTTATTTTATTTTGTGCTAATCTCACTCAATTAAGACAAATCATTAATTTTTTATCCAAAATTTTATTGTGACTGTAAATAATTAGTAGTAGTCTTTGAATCAGCAATTGGACTACATTCTTTGACACAATCTGCTTTTATAACGAAAATGAACCAACCAAATAAATTGTTTTCTGATTTAGTTAAAGAAGTTGACTTCGAAGATGTGCCCTCGAAACGATCCAGGGAAAACTACAAGAAAGAAAAAGAATTAGATGCTTTGAGAAAAGCTGGTAAGGTCCCAGCTCTTACTGATGAAGAGGGAAAAGAAATCAACCCTCACATTCCGGAATATATTGCTTCAGCTCCATGGTATATTGGATCAAGTGTTCCTACTCTTCGACATCAAAAGGCAGTGAGCAGTGCTAAAAATGAATCAAGTTTGGATGACTGGTATTCCAGAGGGAAAAGTAAACAAATTGCAACAAAATACCGACCAGGAGGTTGTGAAAATTGTGGAGCTATGGGACATACTCGCAAGTTCTGTTTCGAGAGGCCGAGAAAGATTCCAGCTAAAGTGTCCGGTGTTGTGATTGCACCTGATGACCCAGTTTTACCTGATCTAAAATTCGATTATGATGGTAAGCGGGATCGGTGGAATGGTTTCCAGCCACAAATGTATGAATCAGTAATTGAAAATTTTAAAAAACTTGAAGAAGCAAAAAAAGTGATTAAAGAATCCAAAATGAAAGACGAACTGGCTACCGGTAATGCTGAAACAGAAAAGAAAGCGGATTCCGATTCAGAAGAAGAAGAAAAATATGCTGAACATTTGGACATGCCAGGAACCAAAGTTGATAGCAAACAAAGAATTACTGTAAGGAATTTAAGGATCAGAGAAGATACAGCTAAATATCTTCGAAATTTGGATCCTGATTCTGCTTACTATGACCCCAAAACACGATCTATGCGTGGAAATCCATATGCTAATACTGCAAAAAATCCATCTGATTTACCTTATGCTGGCGAAAATTTTCTTCGTGATACTGGAGACACATTAAAAGTATCTCATGTACAATTATTTGCCTGGCAAGCAAGAGATAAAGGAGCTGACATTCATCTTCAAGCTGAACCTACAAAAACTGAAATTGCCCATCAAAAATATGAGACAGAAAAAAAGAAACTTAAAAGATCAATTGAACAAAGTATTTTGGATAAGTATGGTGGTGAAGAATATCTGCAGCAGCCACCCAGAGAATTGATTTTTGGTCAAACTGAACAATATATTGAATATTCGAAGGATGGAAAGGCTAAAATAGAACCTCCCAAGGTAATAATCAAATCAAAATACGAAGAAGATGTATTTATAAACAATCATACCTCTGTTTGGGGTTCATATTATGATGTGAAAAATCATAAATGGGGCTACAAATGCTGTTCATCAACAATAAAAAACTCTTATTGTTTGAAATAAATATAAAGACATAAATAAAGATTTTTGATAAAACCAATGCATTGATATGCAATTTTGTAAACAAAAATTTCCAGCAATTACTGACAGTTCTTTGATTCCTCAGGTTTTCCTTCTTCTTTTCATAAATATAAACTCTTTCAGAACCCAAAATTGATCTTTTCATATCAATCTGATATTTATATCAAAAGGCGTCATCTTGAAGTCCACCTTTGAAGTTTGGTTCAATTCGTCTTGAAAATTTTTGGTGAATAATAAATGTAAACAGATAAATTGTGATATATATTGATTATTATTGCTACAGAAGTGAAAATTTACAAATAATAAACAGAAAATGCTCAATATAAGCAGTCAACAAATCATCTTAATAGACTAGAGATAGTTAGTCAAAAACAAGATGTCTCATGATATCAATGATCCTCATGGAATATGGGATCTGAGGTTGTCTTTAAACACACATTGGATGGTTTGGGTGGATGGTAATAGTCAGGGTGGATTGTGAATATAAGGCTATTCTTTTGAACTATTCTTGATTAGTTTCGCAGAGTCCATACAATCAACAGCATCTCCATCTGATTTCCAACCAGAAAACTCTTCAAGTTTCTTTTTCTTTTTTAAACTTTCTTGTTCTTTCATCCAATAATATTCACGGATCTCAGCCTCATATTTAGGTCTAGTGATACCGAACCAGTAGGCCAATTTCTCACCGATATAGTCACATCCTTGAAGCAGTTTGGTTCCAATTTGTTTTGAAAATTCATAAGCTGTCCAAACAATGTTTGAGTTGATCTGAGAAAAAAATAAATCATTAAGCATTGCAAATGAAATCAATTTTCACATAAGGATACCGACTTTTTTCAATCACATTAACCATATTCATCACACTCTAAGAGTTCTTAATGAACATATCTGAAAATAGGTGGACATATGTGGAAAAATGTGGATTTAAATGAATTTTCATGGATTAAAATAGTGTTCACAATAAGGTGAAAAAAAGTGGTGGATCAAGTTGTAGATAAGTGCAGAAAAAAGTCAGTCTCCAATAAAGAGATTCTTTATAAAAAGATAGTGATAAAAGGAAGGGAAAGCTTACCATGTTGGACGTAGTCAGTGAACTGTCCATTAAATTCTGAAATTGTTGAGATGGCCACAAAGGTTAATAATTTGACAAATCAATAAAAAAATATAGGAAGCAAAATAATTACTTGAGTCTTATGAGTAAAAACCATGGAGATACAGCACTTGTAGCAAAACAAAATGTCTCCCTAACGGTGAAAATATGAAAACTTACAAAAATAAAAGAGTAACATACACTGTACTCTGAATAAATTCAAGAATTAACTCAAATTATTTGCTTTAATTTTATATTTACCAACATTTGTGTTATAAAAGCGATGTGCGACCAAGCATTAAATTCAAATCAAAGAGTGTTTGACAGTATTTCAATGATTTTGTCTGTAAATAATTTTCGTAAGATCATAGTAGCTTAAGCTGTATGGCTTTGAATAGTTGGTAAATAATGATAATGACTATAAGCATCAATTTTATAAGCAGGTCTTAGGAATCCTAAGAATTCAATTATTTTTTAATCATGATAATTGAATTGATTATTGATGATTGAAAATAATGAAAATTGAAAACTTGAGTTTGATTTAGTTGTCCAATACTGATGCTCCATCTAACGTAGAAAGTTTACAGTTTAGAAAGCAAACATGTGATTTTATTGATATTTTGGCTCAAGTTTGCAATGTTTTCATTACTAGTTTAAATGATTATTGTGATTAATTTAATATATAAGTTTTGAAAGCAATATCATGAGTTTATTTAGGCAATCCCTGAGATTGCTTAAAGAAAACAGAGTCTCATCACTGATGTTTTCTAAAGTTTACTTTCCCTGTTATCCGTTTTCATCAACATTTCCTCCATTAACCTTGATTAAGACACTTTCGACTGGTCCTCGACTTGGTAATACAACTTTCGAAAGAATGTATCCGACGGGCCGAGCAGTTGTTTTTCATTTGCAGCAGTTATCAAACTCATTAAAAAACAAGGAAAGTGATTCAATTTCCATTTTGAATGATGCCACATTCAAAGATATCCTTCAAGATTTAATCATCAACTTAGAAAACACATCTGTGTTTTATAACTACTCTATCAACGATTTGTGCTCCATTTATCGTTGCTTGTTGGAAATCGGTATCGAACCCAAACATGAAGTTATAGATTTGCTCGAAGGAATGATTATCGACGGGCTCGACAATGCCACTATCAATGATTTTCGTATGCTCATTGGAGTCCATAATCTTATGTATCGCACCAGCAATGGTAAAAAACTATTCAGTGAAATATCCTACCGAATGGAACAGATCATATCTAAAATGAACTTACAACAGTTACTTGGGATGTTGAACACAATAAATGGCCCTATACCGAGCAACTTCCTGGAAAAGCTGGAACAAACGGCTACTTCAGTTATCTCACAAATAACCGACCATGAGCCATTAATTGGTCTCTATTTGAAATTTTTTGTCAGATTAGCAAACAATGGTAGAAGACCTTTACCTCTATTGCATGCTTTGAGAAATGGTCTCAAAGAATGTGATCTCAATGCTTACCCCGAGCCTTTACATTTAATCAACGTAGTTGCGGCTCTCAATAAACTCAACTATCCTGACCTACTTTTGCTCCAGAAAATTGAAGCATCTTTAACAATTAACAATCATTTGGAACTTGTAAAAATAAATGGTTTATCAGTGTTACTGACAGCCGCTGGTAAAATGAATTGGAGATGCGATGCAATTTTAAATCAAATTTCCCAAATAATCCAAGATGAGAGCCTACCTCTACGACATCAAGAATTGGTCGCTTTTGTTTTAGCCTCTGCTAAATTAAACTTCTATCCAGATTACTTGGATGAACTATTAAAGAAAAGGATTTTTCCTGAGATAAACCAAAAATCTATCAAAGATTCCTTCATATGGCTTGATTTTGTTTGGTCTTTGGTGATAATGAATTTAGTACCTGCAGCTTCCATCGAATCCATCTTTAATCAGTCTTTCATACACAGTTTGAAAAACAGTGGTAATCCTGAAGCGAAATTCACCAAATGGAAATTAATGAATATTTTGACTTACGCTCGACTAAACGGTATCAATGTCAATCACGACATTGATTTATCTTACTTTCAATCTCCTCCAAGAAGTGTCGAATCAGTAAATCAAGGAGCCTTTGCAAATGAAATCTTGACTAATTTCATTATCAGACAAAAAGATCTAGTCACTAATTTTGAGTCCCCTGTTGGCTGTGCAATAGGTTAGTTCCTTTAATATCATCACAATCTACAGTTTAATTACAATTATTTTTCTATTTAAAATTTAGACGCTGAATTTATTGCGAACAAAGACACAAAATTTTTACCAATTATTGAATATGGAACTCATGCCAATCCTTTGAAAGAAATACCATCTGAATACAAAAGGTAATTTTATCCCTGCTTATCTGATTCAAGTAAATTGTCATTTTGTTTTTCTCATACAGAATTAGTTTAATTGCTCATGGTTTCAAAGATCTTGTTATTAATGATTCCAGTTTAATTGGACCAAGGAGATTCACAGTAGATGCTTTAAATCATTTAGGAACCAATGTAATCGTTATCAGATCGAGTGATCTGAATACGCAAATGAAACCTGTTGACAGAGTTAAAACTCTGCGCTCTAAAATAGCCGAAGTGTTTCTTAGTCAAATTTAATGAATGAATAAATTAAATAGTTATAAAATTGAATTTTTAATTTTTAATTTGAAAATAACAATGAATTGACTCGACGTAATTCACAGCAAGAATATTTATTCCATTCGAAACATGATGCATCATCGTATGGTTCCTTTTGGCATGGTGGCTGAACACGTGGTTGATATCCAGAGTTGAAACTCGGCGATACAAACGGGTAGTGCCTAGAGTGTAAAAGAAAGCAATGTAATTCAACGATTCATCTGATCAAGTCATAAAATATTAACTTAAAAGAGCGACGTAAAATCATCTTAATTTGGCACACATTCTGCTTCAGTAGAAATGAAAATTAGCTCTGAAGAAAAGGTGGTGTGCGAATAAATTTGCAAAACACAATAACTTACCTTCAATAGTTGGTGAATTTTAGCTGCCCAACTTGAATTAATTCAGACAGACACGAGCGATGAGAAGACTTACATTGTAGTCCGACGATGTGTAACAACTGCAATCAATGTGAAAATCAGCATCTCGATTCTGTTTTTCTCACAATTTTCGTAGATTTTGAATAACATTAAATCATTTTATCATCGAGGCCTCCAAAGTCTAATCGCGTTACAGGAATTGTTACCAATATTAGTAAAGTTGAGATGAACAGATGTTGAAGATTTCCTTAATGACATGGCTATTGAAGGTTAAATATATTGTAAAATTATAAGTTGAGTGGTAAATTGTAACAGTTGAAAATCATGTAAAAATGAATATCAATTCAATTTCATGAAAACAATAAAATAAGAAAAATTGAAAACTTAGAAAGTTCAATGGAAACTGAGGAAGTTAAGAACAGGAAGGAAGAGTGAACAAATACCTGTAAGTGTTGGAGGCGCATGTTATAAACATTTATAGCGCGGACAGCTTTCCATCCCTGAAGCCAGTAACATGGCTGGATGGCTCAGAATCCACCCCTCTTGTAGCCATATTAAGCTTGGCCTCAGCTCCTATACTATACTATAGATGGCGATGTTGTTCAGAGATCTGGTCCATGAGTTTGATATTGTTAAATACATGAAGGAAGTCAGACGACTCAGACGATATCCTTTTACCATAATTGATGAATAAATATAAAAGAGGTTAAAGAAGGAATTTTTTTGGAACTGAGTTCGCTGTTATTGAGGGGTTAACCCTGCTGTCAATTAGGAGTAAACTCCGCTTAAATCTTTAGGAACTGAGTTCCCGTAAACTTTTCATAAAAAGATGTGTTAAGAGGGTAGACCCTGCTGAATGATAGTTACCTACTCATGGAGTTCAGAATTTTGGTGGAAACACCTTGACAAGACACTCGAGTTACAGGCTACCATCTCAGAATGACCTCAGATCCAATTATAATTAAGTTGTAAACGAATAAAAAACAAATTAAAACAAATTAAAACCAAATTAAAAGGCACCAACATCTTTCAAAAACATGCTGACAATTGTGAGTGTCTCGATTTCAATCAATCAATCGATTAATCAAATCGAACAGAGGATGCAAAGTTCGTGATCGATGGTCTTAGAATGCCAATTTTAGTGCTTAAATTAAATCGGCATCGGCTCCTTAAATTGGTACGAGACCCATAGATACTTATTCGTTTAAGTGATTTCGAGAAATACTTGTCCGAGAAAAGCTAATGAGACAACTAACCTAGAGCGTAATCTCATAAAAAAACAATTTAACTCAATTCTTAAGAGTCAACAAATTAATCCTGATCATTCTAGAAGTAAAGGGTGTTGCGCGTTATTCTCGGCAGTTATCTTATTTGAATGGAGATTTGTAAGATTTCCATTGGACATTTTCATCTTTATCAGTTGTTTAATCTCCATTCGGATGAGATAACTGCCGAGAATAACACGCAACACCCTTTAGAATACAATTTGACAAAAATGACAATGCTGGGTAACAATCTAATTATCCGCAGTACATTTCATGTAAAAGTAAACAGATTTTTTAGGTTTTATTGAAATTTTATTTCATATTTTAAAATTTTTTGAAACTTACCAATTAAAATTTCAATCTGAAAGTTCAAAGCATAACTGCAACATAAAATATACACCGAGGGAAATAAACTGGTTATGTTAGCTCCAGTGCAAATTGAATTGTTTGCACTTGAATGTTTTTAGAAGATTCCCGATGAGTTTTGCACTCGGCACTCTGTTTTCAATCAACAATGCTTCAAGATAACCTGGTTGTCCTTGGTTAACTCAGGATTTAAGATATGTCAGTAAATTATTATTTAATGAATCTAATTTCTAATGAATTTGCAACAATATTCAAAGGTTACATGAAAGGTTATTATCAATTGGATAAAGGATGCTCAAATCAACTTTTAGTTGGAAACTTGCTTTAATATCTATTCAAATCTGAAAATGAGTTGGAATCAGAGAATTGGAATAATCTGTAAAAAGATGAAAAAATAACAGTTAGTGAAAAATTTAGTAATTTTCAAAATCGTAAACATACCTGCTGACGAAGATATAGCCTTCTAATTAGAGAGACCAATAACACCACAAGCCAATCGACCACCAGCATTACCTGTGGTTTTACTCAACTCGTGTCCACCACGTCCAAGATCATCTTGATCAACATGAACCTGTAAAATAAACATGAAACGTTTGAACATGGAAAATAGAAAATGTCAAAGGTAAGACGAAGTGCATTGAAAAATTATGAATTACTTACAACAATAGAACGACCAATAACTGATAATGGACCAGTAAGACTAACCAATGAATCTGACAGATCAAAGGCAGCTTTGCCTGAAGCATCAGCTTCAACATTACCTAAATCACCAATATGGCGGATAGTATCCGTAGGAGCACCTAGGAGGAAATCAACCAGAAAAGTGATAAATTGATTATTCAAAACAGATTTCTCTTCGAAACAACTGTTCGCTTCGGATCTGAGTTTTTCAAGCTATTAATTTCCTTTTTTTCCTCAACGGACGATTTAAAAATTACGCAGCGACCATCTAGTAAAAAGGGACTACTAACTGTTTTCGAATCCGCAAAAAGGCTATGAACCCAGAGCGGAATCGAGTAGTTTTTACGCAGAGAATATAATCGATAATCTTAAAGAATATTTAGATAACCTGTTAGGTAGCACCACGATTTCGATCGTGCAAGATGTTTTTGAACTTACCGTGTTCTTTTTTATGTGGATTGAAATGGGCTCCGGCAGAAATACAACCGTTAGTGTTATCACCAAATTCATGAATGTGGAATCCATGTTGACCTGGTTTTAATCCGGTGATTTCGCCTTTAATTTTGGTTGGACCATCACCCTGAAATGATAAATTACGAGTTTACTCAATACCATTCAAGCATTTTTTTTAATTTACTCTTACCTCTTGTTCTAAATGAACAACGCCGGTGACAGCAGCATCTCCTTTAAGAACACAGACAGCTTTTACCATTTTGAATTATTTAAATGGGAGTAGAATTGAACAATGAATAAATTTAAACAACTAACTGTTATAACTGACAATTGTGAGTTAAGTTGACGCGAAAGTAAGAATAAGTAGTAGAAAGAGCTTGGATTTGCTGACAGTTTGTGAAAAACAATTTTTGCATCGATTATCGATTGTAGTGTTTTCCCGATTTGAATTGATCGATCAAATCGATTAAAGGAGCAAAATTTGCTCATCAAATTCAGATTCAAATTATATGATGATCTTATTTATTCAGAAAAAAGTCAGGGCTGAGATAATGAGATTTTAAGTTTTATTTACAAGAAAATTTACTAGTAAACAGTACCCTTTGCAATTTTGCGCGATTGTTGGAATTTGATTCGAGCATAATTTTCAAGCGCTAAGTTTGAGCTAGTTTTTATTTATATCATCAAATTTACAAGATACAAGGTAATTGATATTGAACCATGGTGAATTTAGCGAACCATTGGCCCATCTTCACTTTCTTCAAACTCGTCTTGATCAACCATTCCTTCGGTGACTGTTCGGCTTTTCCTGATTAATGCGTATATCAAAGCCAAAGCAGAAATCTGATGAAAAGAACAATAAAAAATTAAAATCACATCTCTTTAGTTTTGCAACTAATTATGTTAAGTTGAACCACAAAAATACAAGAGTGAACCAGAAAGAGTACTTCGATTTTTGTGGTCTAACTAGACAGAAATTACAATGATTAAAAACTTACTATTAAATATCCCCATGAAGCCCAATGGTAGAAAGCGCCGAAATACCAAGCTTTATAAAGAAATCGTACTTGAAGCACACTGTTCCTGGTCATTGTACAGTTTCCTGTAAGAGAAGAAAAACAAATCACATTAAATTTGACTATTTTTTGATATTTTAGAAAGTTCAAACATACGAGGAGTTATTGGGTCAGGGCATTGGTGAATTTCGGCCTTCACATGAATATCAGTGTCTTCGGTAGCATTAATAACTGTTTTAATATAATGTTGACTGCCATATGTAGTGTATTGTGGTGATACTGTGTACAGGAAAACGTTAAAAGTTAAAACACTCAACATCAGGATAGCACAGGTTAGTAAAAGTCCTTGAGGAGCTGTTCGCTTTTTTCTCAGCTTGAACATCTATAAGCAAGATTGAAATTATGATTATTAAACTGTAAACAATCAATAATATTGAATAAATTTTACATACCTTAATGAAGAAGATTCTGACTCCTAAATTGCGGATACCAGAGAATGTGCAAAGGACAAGAAGCCAGGTTATAATTAAAATGAGAATGTAATCAAGCGGAAATACTTTTTGAAGTTGAACCAACAGTAAATCTATTGGGTTAGGTAGATTAAAGCTTTGCAATGCATATCCAGTTTTCATTTCAGAATGTATATCGCGATCGATGCTAGAAAAATAAAAATATACCAAATAATTAATTGATAAATCCCATACAAATAAAATATTGTTTACACATACTTGGTCAAAAGCAGGGAAATCCATAAAACTATCCCTAATACAGCAGCACAAACACCAAAAGTTATCTCTAAAGGTCGAAGAATTTTTCTTAATTTGTATCCCCAAGAATTTCGGTGTTGGTCAACTAATTCTTCCTCTCGTCGAGTTGTCCTTTCTTCTTCTTCTAATTTATTGAGAAGATGTCTTTCTCGATTTGTTAATCTGCTAGTTATCCTCTCTTTGTCTCGAAGAGCATTAATTCGAGTTTGAATTACAATGTTTCTACTTTGGATCTCTTCATGTTGTAATCTAGCACTTTGAGTTCCACGAATTAATCCAATCGGCCAAGAAGACATACCAAAAGCAGTGTAAAATACCAAATTAAACATTCCAAGAACGCAGAGAATACTTAAAACCATTGAAATTGCATCTTCTCCTCTATCAGTCCCTAAGCTCTCGAACATTTCTTTGATCTTTTCCCACTCGGTGCTGTTGGTCGCTGGCTTTAATGGGACAAAAGCTCTGAAAAATTAAATTCGAAAAGTTATAAATAACGATTCATCATCAAATACATAAATGTATGGGAAATGTGAAAAAAGATTTCATACCCAACACAAAGAAGGGTCGCCGCAATAAATACAAATACTGATGTAAATTTCAATGCTGTACAAATCCTCTCACTTGAGCCCAGCTCATCGTCATCCTTTTCCTCATAATAAAAGTACATGAAAGGAATCATAATGAAGACACAGAAAAACACCAGACCATAGGCCACATAATAAAAGTTAAGCATGACATCTTCAATATTTTCTCGAGCTGTTAATTCCTCTGCCCAAGGCTATTGGAAAGAGAACAAAGGTTAGAATGAAAAATTTTAAAAAGATTGAAAATGATTCAAATTGACGCAAAAATTGATTAAATTTTATCTATATAATGATATCTATCCAGTGATATCAGAACTATTAGTCATCAACATGATTCATGATAAATCATAAGTTTTTTTTACCTTTTCTATCTATATAAGTTATCAGTTAAGTTATAAGTTGCTTTAAGAAAACGTTTGCTTCTGTTCTGTTGCAAACAAACAACAAGACTGTTGTAAAAATTATATCAAATGAATGAAATGCGATATGAGTAGATGAAAGAGATCATAAAGTAAAATTGGTTAAATAAAAAGAGTGTCACAAGCCAGATCAGTGAGTCAACAGTCTAGCAAGACGGGAAAAAATGCGTCACCAATGTAAAGAAATAAACTTATCGGTTGAACACTTACTTTGAACATTCCTTCAGGTGTTTTCATGTATGAAACAAGGAATATATCCACAGGTAGCAACGCAGATGTGATTAATACGATGGTCAATGCGATGACTGATGTAACAAATGACGACCTTTCATTTTCATAAATATTCCGATACCTTGACAGGTAAAACCATGAAAATAGAATGATAATCTGTGGCAATAAAAGAAAAACGTTAGAATCAAATCTGAATTCGGAATTCTGCCTGTCACAAAGACAAAGGATCAATAATGATAGTTAGCACAAAAACAAAACAAAACAAATCTAAAGAAAATTAGTTAGATTAATTAGTCTAATTAGTAACTTACCAAAAGAGCCACTAAAAAAGGAACAATAGCTCCGACGGTTGCTCCTTCGGGCAACCACATATTCCTGAAATAAAAAAGAAGAAGAAACGTTGTTTTAAACCACAAAGAAAGTTTAAAGATAAAATAATAATTTACCTGAATCAATAAAATTTGATTATTGTAAACCAAAGAATCTCAACTGGCACAGTTTGTTTACAAAAAGACATACAGGATGAAGGCCTATTCGCACAATGAAAATATCTTTGACAGATCAGATCATAACAGATATCAAACCAATACTACTTGGAGTCAGCCAAATTTTAGACACCAATTAAACAAAAAATGAACCTTAATTAAGTTGAATTGAATTATAATTGATATCACTGATTTAACTTGTTTTTTATTTAACAAAAATTCTGATGAAAGAGGATCAATCCATTTTACTGTTTTTATTGTTTGGCCTGAGTCTCCTTCTTAACTAACCTAGATGGCAGCATCATCGAAGCGATTTTATCGTCACCTCTACGAATCGTGAATTACGATTTTGCTTGAATTATAAATTGAGATCAACAACTTACTTTTTGATTTATGGAAACACCGGAATCTTTTCCTGTAAATTGTTCTTTAAAGCATAAAATGATTTAAAATATATCTTTGATAAATTACGATAATTTAATAATCATTGAGTATGAAAAATTTTCACAGAAGATTGGTAATAAATATTGAATTCTGAGTAGACACTTTTTGAATCCTTTCTCAGGCGACTCCTTCCATTCATGAATAAAATCAACTCGATATTGATTTGTTTTTTAATGTGATTTTGATGATTATAATGTGCGGAAACAAAGACGTTATTTAGGATTCCATATTTAGGATTAACTGTAAATCTCCAATCAGTCTGGGAACATCCAATAAAATCATTTGAATTATGAATATAAATTTCCTCTTTTGATAATAGTCAATGCGAAATGAGTCGCCGAGAAAAGGCCGAATAGACTGAAGCTGAGACTCTTACTGAAAACATAAGCATTTAAAAACTGGACCTAAAGATCTTTCACTGGATTAGTCTACCACAGTGACCGGAATATACTAGACTGAGTAATTGTAATTAGCTAGGGTTGTGAAGATTGTTTGTTTACTTTGGAAGTTAAGTAATATTGTTTAGTGTTGTCACACTGTTGAGGTTGTTTTCAGGGCAATGTAGCAAGAGTTATTAAATGATTATTAAAATGTATGGGAACGAATGAATGGTTAATTGGTTGTGAGGTAATTTGAGTTTTGGTACAGAGTAAAATTACGATTATACAAGATTAAGATGGGAGATGTGCAGTTTTTTTTTCTGAGTAGACTTAAATTGGAGAACTTGTCGAGTGGTAAGAATGAGCGAAAAAATTTATTTGGGGGAAATTGGTAAATAGAGAAGAAGGATGAAATTGTTATTTAGAACATGATCCATTCATATGGGTAATTGATTTTTTTAAATGATTGCTGATCAATAGACAAAATTAGTTCCAGATTTTGAGGAAACTGTCCCATGATCCTGTAGCCACTGCCATTCCGTCTTCCGTCACTCCTAAGCAGCTAACTCGGTTGTCGTGACCAGCCAATACACCTGAGATAGAGATTAAAATAAAAAATAAATGTAGATTAGTAAATAATTGAAATTTCGGTAAAAAATAAGATTTTGATAAAAGAAAAACGAGCGAAATAAAGGGAGGAAAAGGGTAGAGCGAGAGTAGAAGCGATGGAGATAAATTTAAAAGATAAACAGGGAGGGAGAAACAAAATGATTGGACAAACAAAAATAATCCATTAAGTGTGATGATAATTTGAAAAATTGATTCATTACCAGCTCTTTCTGCCTTCATAGAGTCCCAGACGTTACAGTTGAAATCATCGTAACCGGCTAATAAAAGTCTACCGCTCTTTGAGAATGCGACTGAGGTAATACCACATATGATGTTGTCGTGGGAATACATAGCCAACTCTTGGTCTGCTCTAATATCGAAAAGACGACAAGTAGCATCATCTGATCCAGTTGCAAAGGCATAGCCATTTGGAAAAAACTATTGAAAAATAGAGAAAATTGAAAAATCAGTTGACAAGTCAAAGTAATAAATTGGTAAAAATAACTAAGAAGGTTTCTAATTAGGTTTGAAAACTTACCGTGACTGCGTTTATGTCAGATTCGTGACCAGGGAAAGTTTGCTTACATTGACCATCTCGAATATCCCACAACTTATTTTGAACGTGCAATGATCACATAGAAGAAAAAATAAAAACGATATATTAATAAGTGAAGAGTAAAAGGTAAACATCGTTGCGCATTTAAGAAGGGCGAGGCACAGAAAGTCAAAGATACTGAATGAAATATAAAATTATATTTGTGGTCTGGAAAAAAGATATCCCTTATGCGCAGTAGAGTCTATCATGTGATAGTGTTCGATAACTTTCTTCATCTGCGCTCAGGGAGATAAAATTTGCCAAAACCCACAAATTTGGGGATTTAATTGTTTTTTCCTTGATACCTTAGCTGAAGCATCACAAGCTCCAGAGACAAATGTGCGATTATCAGGAGATAATGAGAGGGACATGACGTCTCCTGTATGCCCAGTAAAAGATGTACATTGTTGACCAGTCTCAATATCCCAAAGAGCACTAATAAAAAAAATGAAAATACATAAATATAATTTCCCTCTCGATAAATTACATAAGGTGGAAAAAATTATTTGCACTACTTACCAGGTCATATCGCCTGAGCTGGTTACTATTTGGTTATCATCTAAGAAACGACAGCATGATAAGTAACCAGTATGCCCTGGTAGCTCACGACTAACTCGAACATTTCCCTCTCTTGTTTTTAAACTGTAGATCGAGCATATATTATCGAGGCCACCACAGGCAACATAAGAACCTGATGGGGCATAGGCACAAGTCATGACCCAGCTAGACCTCAATGGAATGGCATGGACTTTATTTGTTGTGTATGCGTCCCAAACTATTAATTTACCATCCTGAGAGGCTGATACAAGGTATCTGCTTGATCATTCCAAGTGACATGAGATGACGAGAATGAGGAGAAAAAAACAGAAACCAATTTAAATTAACTTAAATTGCGTTAAATAGAGAGTGAAACATTTTGGACTTAAATGCTTCTCCTAATGCGCATAGAAAATAAAATGCACCAGAACTTAAATTTATATGCTGTATGAAAGTGTCAGTTACCTAGAATCTGAGCCCCAGTGCATGGCATAAATTTTGGCTAAATGCCCTCGAAGTGTTCTTCTTGTTCGCATTTGAATTCGGCCAATAGGCTCCATATTACTTGTTGCTTGGACAAGAGTAGTATCGCAAGCTGCTTTCCTAGCATCCTGTTATTTAAACAGAGTGATGATTTTAAAAAAAGATGAAAGATAGGAAAGGCAAGAATAAAAATCAATGTTGCGGGTTGATATTGAATGGTCAATGGATGTAAATAAATACAGAAAAAAGGTTAAAATTAATAAAGATAAAGAGCATGATGAGGAAGATAAAAAGTGAAAATAGATAAATAGAGAGGGAGAGGAAGGAGAAAGAGAGAGAAATAAAAAAGTGAAAAGAGATAATGAGGAATAGTGAATAAAAAAGTCTCTTACCCTGATTGTATTCTTCAAGGTTTCTGCTTCTTGTCTCAAATTATCCAATTCATTCATTTTTGATAGCGTTGATAATTTACGATTTTACTTGTGAAAAGATGATGATGATAGTGGTAATGATGAAAGTGGCGGTGGCGGTGGTGGTGATGTAGGAGAAGGATGAGGTGTTGGTGCTGGTGCTGGTTATATGGATGTATATGTTGTATTGATGGATGCTGTCAAAGAGTAATGTAATGATAATAATAATTCTGATGCTAAGGTTGGAAAGATTGAAGGGCTCTGCGCAATTCAACAGTCTTTCTTCAAGCTGCTTCTCTTCTTGTACAACAGAGAAGGATGATTTTCATCAATCGATTCTCTCTTCACAGAACAATTAATCGATTTTATCGATTTTACATAACTTCTAATACTAAAACATTTAATCCAAATAAGCTTCCCTTGTAAACAAAACCAATTAGATAATGATTAAAGAAGTACGTTGATTAATACTGGATAAACCCACACTTAAACAGTTGACATCTAGTCAAAAATACTTGAACATTTTAGTATGAAAAAAAACAGTAATCATAAACAGTGACCAGAAAAATTGGATAACACAAACGCGTTGAGATTGATGTTGAAGACAAGAAATGAAGGATTCCTTTTTTCTATTCGATTTCAAGGAGCAAACAGGGAAATATCTGAGTTTCCAACAATCGATCTTATCGATACAATTAAGGTTTTCTGAGTTACACAGGTATTTTCAATACTCATTCTGATCCCGTTTTATTCAGTTCATGTCCAAATATTTATATTTAAATTACTTTCATTATTTATCTATTTATATTTCCATCAATAGATGGCTCTAGGTTATTATTATTATCTTTTGTTTTTAAGTTCAATGTTTTAAATCAAATTTCAATTGAAATCAACTAATTTCTTTCTTATTTGTGTAAAAGTAACATTTCAATTCTCGGTGAATCAAGTGATTTTATTTAAAACTAACTGAGGCAAGCAAAACTGTTAAATTTTGAAAGATGCTCAACCAATTGATCAAAAAATGTAAATTACTAATCAAGTTAGCTATGGGAAGCTATTAACTCTAACCATAAACCTCACAGGTAACTATGACTTTATACTTGTGATTAATCTTTGGAAATTATCGAATGGTTATACTGAAACTTCTTAATTAAATCAAAACTCCATTTCTAGATAAGACTGTGATTTTAAACAGAGGATTGTTCATTAAAAACTTACACTGAAATGAAGTGAAATTATTAAGGGACAAAAAATAGAGAATAATTTTATGTCAATCTAATGAAAAGAAGTCAATCAATTTCTTATATTGGATCTATGGAAAAAATTTCTAATTTAAATTAACGCTTCAATTAATCAAACTATTTTCTCTCTAAATCAATCTGTTCTTATCTAATTTTCAATTTGTTAAGTTTGGAACTCTGATTGTTCAAATTCAACTTTCAGATCACTTTTACTTCTGACATTGTGATTGTGTTTGTTGAAAACTGTTTTTTTTTGCTGTTTCAAGTTGAATCATCAAACTTTCCAAAAATAAGACAATGACTTATGTGACAATAGCAACATTTAACCCTATTATTTAATATAAAATCTCTAATTTTGGGCTATTCTTTGGTTCTTGTATTTCATGTCAACGGTCGGTTATATCATTTACGCTGTGAACCCGAATATATCTGCTCGGATTTGTATCAAGTATTTGAAATATCTGGTACTCTCAATCCTCCAATAAAGAGAAAGGCTTTCACTGAAAGGAAGGAAACTTTACTGCTCTGTTCTTGACTCATTCTCGGTGTATACTTTGAGAAATAATAAACAAACTACCAAATACCAAAAGATTGTAATTTCCAAGCTCTTTTACAGACTGTTTCATTTAATTGTTCAAGAATATATTATGTTTCAACAGCGTAGTTTGATCTAATCTAACTTTTCTTCTCATAAACTTGTGTTATAAAACCGTTGAGTGAAACAATTATCAAAGGACTTAATCAATTTATTATCATCTGCCATTGTATTTACTGTGCAAACCTTCAAATGTGATATGTGAAAAATTATTGTCTTCTGTCTATCTACACTTGTTTTTGGTTCCTTTGTGATAACCATAGAGATAATTGACTTGACTTTTTTGGTCCGATAACCAATTATTTACCAAACATCTATTTTCATTTTTTATTTGCTTCATTTTCTTTTCACTATTTGTTCAATTGACTTGCTGTTTGGTACCTTGCATTCACTCGATTTTTAGTGCCACAAGTCTCGGTCAATTTGGGTAAAAAATTGACAATGGGTAAAGACAAAGTTCCACCTGAATATGGCGATGATACGACATTTGACCGACCTCCACCGTACAATCCTCATTATGACAACCAAGCCAGTGGCTCTGGTCCACCACCTTCAGTGCCATCATTTTATCCTCCTAGTCAACCTCCTCCAGAATATCAAGTTCAACCTGGATATAATAAATCCCCTCTTCCAAATCAACAGCAACCTGTACAAATAGCGCCTCAACAAACAAGCATACCAACTGTAATGCAGACTGGAGGAGGTAAGTTTGCCAAACGATTTTTCCCTTTCATTAGCTTTCTTTTGGCTTTTTTCACAACACCCCTGACCAATATCTTAGTTTTTTCAGTTCAACTTGAACTTCTCCCCTGAGACGACTAATAGTGATAGACATTTTTAATGAATTGCAATTTTATCTTTCTCCAATGAGCTGCACTTTTTTGTTCACAGACGATCATGTTGCCTTCACATAGACTTAATGAAGACTTACATTTTATATTTGATTATCTTCAATTGATTTCTAGAATTTAGATTTTTGGTTCAATTGATTTGTAATCAGGTCTCAGTATAGGGTTACCAATATTTTAAATCGTCGGGTAAAACTGTCGGTTAGCTGTTTAGTAGAAAATATATTTTATTTGAGATGAAGGTTTTTCATACCATTTCAACCAGTTCAAGGTTTCTTATGCTTTCTTTACTTCTATATCTTTATCATTATAATTGTTTCTAACGTTTTTTTTTCTTTTTCATCTAGCAACTGTAACCAATGTTCAGATTCATATTAGTGACGAGTTCGGGCCATACTCTCAGCATGCAATTTGCCCTAAATGTCATCAGTATATTGTAACAAAAACCAAGTCTGTTGCTGGCTGTTTAACATGGCTTTCCTGTCTTGGACTATTTATGATTGGATGTGATCTTTGTTGCTGCTTTATTCCTTGTTGTGTAGACTCTTGCCGAGATGTTATCCATAGATGCCCTAATTGTGGACGTAAAGTCGGTCGCTTCAAGAGAATGTGCTAAACAATATGACAAATTATCAAGTTATCAATGATGATAAAATTCCATTTTTGGAAAGCAATCATAAAGCTCAAAATATACAATGTAAATCATGAGACTCACCAAACTTTTTCAACTTTTCTCTAAATATTCCGACAAACATGTTTTGCCTTATTTTCATTATTCTTTCATGCAGATGCATATTTAAATGAGAATAAAGTCAATTCTGTTTAAAATAAGCACAAATACATAAACAGACAGAAACAGAAAAGGTTAACATTTTCCCTTTTCTTGTGATCCATAAATTATTGTCAAGCAAAGAGCCTAACTAGAAATCCTTTGAAACATTTTCAGTGAAAGATAATTGCTCGCCCTAAGCTTTTGAAATGTCAATAGTTTCCACAGTCTAGTTGTACTGTAATTATTAACATTATTTGATGACTTGAGCTTATTTTCATAAATTTTAGTTGATTTTCAATTTGATTGATAAGGTTAAACATTCACTGTTTTGTCCATCCTTGTTAATCATCTTCACCTTTAAGTTGAGTTGCAAAGTCCAAGTACATTAGAGAACATAATTGACTGTATAATTCATCACCCAAACTGCATGTTGGCAACTTATTGTCTCGAAAGCTCAGGATGAGGAAATGCGTCGAAGAAAAAAATTTCCATTAATGTTTACCTTGGTTCTGGAGCAGTTCAATTCACTCGACCAATCACTTCATGGGCATCATGGTTGATTGTCTCTTTGGTAGACTGATTAATAGCAACAACTTGATTGCTTTCCATCACTGTAATCATCTTTATCAATTTATAAACAACATAAACAAGTAAAATTCCAGTGAAACTTAATGCTGTATTATAATTTCCAATGTAATCAAAGACTTGAAATAATGTTTTGTTATATCATGTGAAAGAAATTTCAGTTTTGCTTTGTTTCTAAGGCAAACAAATGTATTCATAAATATTTAAATGGAAATTAACCAATCATTAAAGATTGGGTTATCATGAAAGCGAATAAAATCTTGAACTTCAAAAGTTAAACTTCAGTTGGTCATTCAATTTTTATGAATTTTTCCTTGTATGTGATTGTAATATAAACCGACTTTCAATTGAAATACAAAAATGAATTGCAAGAAAACATGAAATTAGACAGCGCCCTCTATAGAAAGAAAATATTACTTAAGTGTAATTTTAATTGTTATTTTAATTGCTACTTTGGTCGTAAAAATGTAGATCATGATTTGACAAGCAGTTACTTTACAATGGCCATAATTTTGTGAGTTAACCAGTTTCTGAGAAAAGTTTAATGAGCTTTAGAGCTGCCAAAGATTTAGACTGAACGAGGTTTGACTCACAATTGCCAGTCAAATCGACTAGAAGAGTAAAGCAATTAAACTTTCGCTTGTTGATTGCTATCTCTTGAACTTTACTCTGAATTGCTTACATTTTAACGTAATAATCACCGAAACACAAATGACTTATAACTGAACTTGTTGCTCTAGCAACTCATAGCAACAGATTGACGTCGGTATAATAATCGATTGAAAGGCATGACAATCGATTGGTGAGAAATGAAGCAAATCTAACCGACAAAAACAATTAAAAATAAAACATTTCAAATACTTAATCAATTATCCAACCTCTTGATTATTTGTCCATCGAGATTCTGTCCACGAGAAAATTGTTGTTATTATTTTGCTGTCAATTTGCTGATTCAACATTCCAAATCACTAAAGTAATGCTTAAAATGCTGGAAGTCTTCAGTATCATGATTAGCTCGATAAGCTGAAGACTTGGAAAGATATTTTGATTTAATTTTACCTTTCAAAAATCGAATTTGAAAATTAATCGATTATAATCGTCAATGATTTAATCGCAAAAACAATTACTCATACAGTTCAAGTTTTCTCCCAAGTTGTTTGCTTGATCACTTCACGTTTCACTTTCACTTGATCAACTTTACTTTTCAACTTCTGACTTTCATTTTTCGGGTCTTCTGATTTTTGATAGTTTTTCCTGTTGACCTTTTCTTAGGCTTCTACTTTCATACTTTGTCTGTTTAAATTATGGATTCAAAATCTGGTTACCCTGATCTTTCTGGTTCAGCACCACCACCATCTGGCTTTGGACCTCCACCACCATACCCAATGGATAACCATCACCCAATGTCTCACCACCATCCACCTCCTGGTATGCAGTATGCCCCTGTAGCTCCTGGACCACAGATAATTGGTAAGATAACAATGTTTTAAAATACCGAATGTTGATAAGCCTGAGTTTAATTATAAATTGGCAAACGTAGCCAAATTTGGTCCAAAACAGCTCATTTCTTTAGCTTGATTACCCCAATTTTCACAATACCCTGTATTGTTGTTCACTTTTTTCATTATTTCACTTTTCCTTCAAGTTTTTTTTGATCCTGTTAATAATATTTTAGGGGAATGTTTGATACTTTTTGCCTTTTCTCAAACTGGTTCCTTCTTTACCTTCATTTCAACTGTTTTTGCGTCACAAGCTTGCCTACAGAATAGTAATTTGTTAACCTTGTATTTCTCCATTGATGGTTGTTACCACCATTAAGCTTCATTTAGATCTCTAGCGAATAAATTTACGATACTTTGTTTCACATGTGTTAGAGGTTATAAACCGAACTCGTTATAATGAGTACTTTCCAATTTATTGATAAAACCAACGTGAAATAAAGGTACACCCTGTACTTGCCTCTTGCTACTCGTTACAGTCAATTAGTAGTTTTTTTTAAACATAATTGTTCACAATTTGAAATTCATTACAGTTCAGTACTTTCTCTCAGTCTAACCAATCATTCAATTAAATCAAGCTCGACTCATATTTTCTTCTAATCACGACATCTGACTGGACTATTTCATCAGGAAAACCGTTTGTCTATTAAAATATTTGTTTCGCTTAGTCACTGCTATTTCCCTTCTCAATCTTTGGTAATCGCCATTTATGCCTGAGACTTTACTAAATAACAAATCATTATTTCACGCCAATAATTTATCATTTTTATTACTTTTATGGATACCTGTTGGATATCTGATTGTCAAAAATAAATAATACAAAAAATGCAATCACTAATTCCTCATTTTTTTTCTTATTCAGCTCCACCACCAAGTTTCGGGGCTTACCCTCAAAACGCTTTCTGTGCCCACTGTAATCAAATCGTGACTACCAGAACTGATTTCAAAGTTGGAGTATTGACATGGTTGGCTTCAGCTGGTTGCTGTTTAATTGGATGTTTCGCTGGATGCTGTTTAATCCCATGTTGTACCGATTTTACTCGCGATGTAGAACATGCATGTACCAAATGTGGCCGAAGGCTTGGAATCTACAAACGATTATAACCAACCTTTCAATTCTAGTTCCCAATCTTACCTTAAATGAAAGTCAAGAGCATCACTGAAACTACTTCTCTTGATAATTACTTGACTGAACACTGCTTTGATCTTGCTAAATCGATTCGTGTCAATTTAAATTTTGGTAACGCACATTCATATTGTACATTTCAATGTAAAATCAATGACCTCTTCAATTTTTTTCTGTGAATCACCAAACCTTTTGAATCCATCCTGCATCTGTAAATTTATTGGACCAGTATTCATGTGCTAATCTCAATTGATTTTGTTCATAGTGCTATGCGATGTAAACAATTGGCTATTCGTCATTTGGAAAGTGCAGGTGTATCTCTTGTTTGGTGAACCTATCTCTGGTTATAAAATAACTTCCTTGGAATCATGTTTATCATGTAACCACTAAACTAAATCACTTTATCACTGTATTTATTTCAGTGATACCATTCTCAATATTGGAAATTAAATTCAAATTTTTATAAAATTCCAAAGCCTCGCCATGATTCCGTAACTTCAGTGCAAGTCAAACGTTTGTACATCGCGTTTTAAGTTTGACGACATTGAAAAATATCTCATTAGTCAAAATTAGCCTGAATATTTCCATACATATTTACATTTGGTACAATTGAAACTAATCGAGACAGTTTGCACAATTTTTCAGTCAAATCCATCATCGGTGTTGATAGTCATTCTGCAACCATTCATTCGTTTTCCTGTTATTCCGATATGTTCGCAATCTTAAACTAACATCGATGTCGCTGATAAAGATCATTTTTTCCTGGAGGATGAGAAATTCCGTATTAATTAGGATTTTGAACAGGTTTTAAAATTTTTGACTTTGAATGTTCCTTTGAGATTAGAGATCCAATTCGTAAATCAGCTTAAAGTTGATGTGTATTGTTAATGGTTAACCAATCGATGGTTAAAATGGACTCTTGAGCTTTCACTTTTCAAATTAATTTATCTCCATACTTTTCCAATTTATTACAGATATTCATGGCAATTGAATGGCATGAAAATGAAACAGTTAAGACATTAAACTAAAAAGGTGACGCATAAACAGTTGTCTCGGGTTGTAATGTTGGTTTGTTTATGGTAACCGTATTGAAGGAATTCCGGAAAAATTATTAACATTTTCCTTGTTATCCCTGAAAAGAGATGATTCAATGAAGAATGATGATTCAGATGACAAAAGGAGCTTTTAAATCTCCGATGAGTATATTATTTATTCATTTTATTTAATTAAATCAATCTTATCAAATGAACCTAGCGAGTTGCAACCATCAAAACAAATCACTGATTAGTAACTATCAAGTTGAATAAAGACTGAAGACAAATCTCTTTTGTTTTCGATTAATTGTAATGAATTGTCACAATTGTAACTAATTGTAATATTATTCATATTTATCCAGCTAAATCTAATCTAATTTTACCAGCTCAGTCAAAGCATATAAATCATCAGATGGTTAACCAGAAAATAAATACTTTACCTTTTGCTTTCGATTAAATCACTTGAATTTTTCATTCTTTTTTCAGTTTCACTCCTTGTCAATCTCAGACTCAACTCAACATGGATTCAAAATCTGGTTACCCTCAGTTTTCAGCCTCAGCTCCAGCACCAGCACCAGACTTTGGACCACCACCTCCATATCAAGTTGAAAACCATCCACCATTAACAACTAACCAACGCGCCCCTCTAATTTCATCAAGTATTAATGACACTCCAGTCCATTATGAACATCCGATTCAAAGTAAGTCTAAAAGCTCGAAATTTATTTCCTCCTTTTGGTGATCTTTCCTGATGATAAAAGCTCAATAATCTTTCTGTGCATTTGCCAAGTTAAATTGTAAATGTTTAGACAGTTAAATGAGCTTTTAACCAGATCAACCAGAAATGATAAACAATTCAATCACTAATTTGCCTTTTATTTCCGTCTTTAGCACCAAAGCCAATTTATGGACCTTACGCTCAAACTGATTACTGTCCTCGCTGTAAACAAACCATCGCCACAAGGACTGCATATAAGGTTGGATTTGTAACATGGGTGGCTTCAGCGGCTTGTATCTTAGTGGGTGGTTTCCTCGGTTGCTGTTTGATTCCCTGCTGCACCGATTTCACTCGAGATGTTGAACATTATTGCCCCAATTGTCACTTAAAGCTTGGATTACATCAAAGAATATAATATCAACAGTTGTTGATTAGTTTGAAGAGCTGCAATAATCAAAGTGTTTTTGTTACTTCTGGCTTCGATTTTTCATTTTTAACTCTCAATATTTTCTGGTAAACCAGATGTTTAGTTTTTTGATTGAAATCTGACAATTTTTAAACAGATTCAGCTCAGATGATGAAATTGCTTGATTTCTTTCTAATCTTGATTATCTCAACTATCTTCATGATTTATTGCCATCCTTTACTTTCAATACTCAATTAAAATCATAAACAATAATTTTTATCCTTTTCAACAAAACAATCAACTTAAACCGATCATTGATTTCATTATCTAAAATTCGCTTTTCAATAATATTTCATATACCGGATTTGAAATGCATTATTTTGATCTAAATGAAATTATTAATTCATTTCAATGGACTCAATGATTAGTTTCTGGTCATCTAAATAATTTCTTGATATTAGCCATAGAGAGCCAATTAAACAGACAAAGGCCAGTTACATCAAATTCAATTATAACTGGTAGACACAGAAGTCAACTAATCGTAATCGATTCCTGCAATCGAAGATACAATCCACCACTGACCCGAAACTTCACCCACTGCAGATACTCTAATCATTACTAATCACATCATAAACGATCATCAATGTAATGAGCGCAAATTAATAAATCGTTGTAGTTGTGCATCTTACATAATAAACATTCAATTTAAATTGTTTCATTATTTTATCAACAAAATAATCAAAAGCTACACCAAGAATCAGCAAAATCAGATTCCAACAAGATGAAGCTAAAGTCCATGCATCCAAAAGTCTAAAGCCAAAGTTTGAAGCCAAAAAGCATTTCTCAAAATTCAGCAATAAATTGGCCACCAAGATCACCCAATCCTAAGCGATTGAATTTTCATCTATGGGTAAAGGGCTTTCTACCAAAAAAATTCAAATCAATATCCGAACTCTTACATTGTACACTCTTCTTGTATTGAATCGTCCGTACATCTGAAAAGAGTTCTGGACAACATTAAGAAACGAGCTGAATCTTTCTTAGCCCAAGCTGACATTTTGAGCATAAGCTCAAATTACCTACTGATGGCAGGCTTAGTCTTGATATGCTTCTGATATAAGTTTATTAATTATTGATTTATAACTAATTTGAACTGTTCAAATAAATACTGACAACCATGTCTAATTGATTCCTCTGAAAAGTCAATAAAAATATAATTTAATTGTAAAATTGTAAATACTTGATCACCAAAAGATCAAAGACCAGAGTGAAAGCAAATTGTTAGTTTCTTGTCAACTCTTCAGAGCTATTTTCTTGCCTTATCAAGGATCAAAATTTGCTCAAATCGATTCAATAAACTTCAGCGATAGACTTCAATAGACAAACATGATAAGTTGATCATTCAGTCAAGTGATTAAACGAGACAATATAACTATAAATGAGCGATATTCACTATCAATTTGACCATATGATTGAATACTCCTACAAGATAAAGACTCCAAACTTCAGATATTAATAGTGAATATCGTTTTATTGTCAGTTATTATAACAGTTGTGTGCTAAGTAGTTAATTATTAACTATTTTCAAAATGTATTTTGTTAGTTTGTTTGTTTTATTTGCCACCATAAATGGTTTGGTTTTGGCCAGTTTTGAACAAGATGGTGTAGTAAGCCAACAACCTGAGCAAGTTCATCTATCACTTGGAAGTAAGTAATTTCAATTTCATTTTAAACACCCAAATCTTAATTTCAATGATTTTTATTAAATTGTCGCAGGTAATCCAAGTGAAATGGTTGCTACTTGGACAACATTTAACTCAGCTGGTCAACCAATTGTTGAATATGGTATCAAAAAGCTTGATAAAACAGCAAAAGGCCAATCAACTGAATTTGTTGATGGAGGTTCAGAGGCGAGATCAATGTTTATACATAGAGTTACTATGAAAAATCTTGTTCCAGGACAAACATATAGTTAGTTTACTGTTTCAATTGATTTATTGCTATCATTTAACCATTAATGTAACCCAATTTTACCGTTTAGTTTACCATGTTGGAAGTGAATTTGGATGGAGTCCAATTTTCTGGTTTACTACAATCAAAAATGGATCCGACTGGAGTCCAAGATTAGCTATTTTTGGTGATTTGGGTAACGATAATGCAAAAACCCTTCCCAGATTACAAGAAGATGCTCAAAGTGGACAATTTGATGCCATCATTCATGTCGGTAAGGTTTATTTACCCAAATAAAACAGAGTTACATTTTAATCTCGATATTTTGTTTGACTTTAGGTGACTTTGCGTACAACTTGGATACTGTAAGATCCTTTTGATTATTTGAAAATTGATCAATTTACTAAATTGTTAATATCATTTCAGGACAATGCAAGAGTTGGCGATCAATTCATGAGACAAATAGAGCCAATAGCTGCCTATGTTCCCTACATGACTGCAGTTGGAAACCATGAACAAGCTTAGTATGTTATAATTGTTTTTACTTGATCCAGTTAATGTCAAGTTGATTATTTTCATTTTCAGCAATTTTTCAAACTATGTCAACCGTTTTTCAATGGTAGACAGCAAAACAGGCGAGATTAACAACCACTTTTACAGTTACGATGTCGGTCCAGTACATTTCATTACTTTCTCGACTGAATTTTATTTTTTCACCAATTATGGGCGAAGTCAATTGCACACACAATTTGAATGGATCAAGAATGATTTGATTGAAGCAACCAAACCCGAGAACCGAGCCTTAAGACCATGGATTGTAACCATTGGCCATAGAGCAATGTATTGCAATTTACACTTCCCAAACTACACCGAATGTCTCAACAGACAAACCAATGTGAGGCACATTTCAGATGATTTGATTATTCAGTCATATGATCCATTAATGTCTCTTTTTTCAATCCATAGTTCCGTAAAGGTGATAGTGAATTCCCTGGTCTTGAAGATCTCTTTTATCAATATGGTGTTGACTTAGAGATTTGGGCTCATGAACATCTCTATGAAAGACTTTGGCCAATTTATGATGAACAGGTTTACAATGGCAGTCTATCTGAACCATACACTAATCCAGGAGCTCCGGTTCATATTACAACTGGATCAGCGGTGAGTTTATTGACTCTTAAATCAATCTTTGTTTCTTCAAATGTTAATCGACTCCAATTTCACCATTAATTTCAGGGTTGCTATGAAGGAATTGAATACAATGTAATGGAACAGGCTGAATGGAGCGCAAAGCGTATTTATGATTATGGCTTTTCAATTGTAACAATTCATAACAGTACTCATCTATCATTTGAGCAGCTATCAGCTGAAAAGGTAATTACAATCTTAATTCAATATCATACAAGTTGATCTATCTGCTAATAATCTGATATTTGTCTTGTTTTTCCGCACAGGGACACAAAGTTGTTGACAAATTTACACTAATTAAAGATAATCATGACTCTTATGAAACTAGGAAGTTAACATCATCTTGATGATAACCGAAATAGCAGCTTTCAATATTCAATCTTCAATGGTTTACAAAATTTTATTCAATTGCTGATATAATTTGATATGTTCATAGACTTTAATAAACAGTATTTCAAATAGCAAACATGGTTCTCAATTTATTCATGATTTGTGTAAATCTAACATTGAATTTAACTGAAACATTTTTATTGTATAATAAATAGGACTAAATGATTAACCGATTGTTTATGCTCAAGTTGCATGATAAAATTGATTGAATAGATTGCTTTTACTATCAACTGATTGTATTGAAAGTTTGTTACAATGTATTCGATGGTGATGGAAAATTCAATTAATGGCTTGAATTTTCCATCAGCAAATGGTTCAATATTAAATAATCTGTTGCCAACCGAGTTCAAAGGTTGATTTTAATTGATTTTAAAGCAAAAATTCATCAATCAATGATTCGTATTAACTAGCCAGTCTTGATTAAGCTTGATTTTGTAGTGGTTAAGCATCTTGATGCAAGCATTTATCAGATCAATAGACTTAAAATTCAATAAACGATGATTGAATGATTGCTGTACATGAGTTGAACATTGACTAAATGATCAATACCTCGTTAATTTTTGTAGAATACTGATTAGTATTGTTCTAATCATAGGCACTTACTCCTCTAATTATCTTATAGTTGATAGGTATTTAATCAGCTCCCTAATTGTGTACCTATTAGGATTAAACACTCATAAATTACGAAAAAATAACAAAAAGCAAAGAAGCTTTTTGGAGGCAAACATATTGTTTGGTACATTTTTGAAAGGTTAGGTAATCCAGTCATTCAACATGCGGTTTCTTTGTTTTTTGTGTATCTTAATTATTAATTTTGGTGATTTTTCTCATGGATTTTTCAAAGTGTCTCGAGTTCGTGAACAGCCTGAACAGATTCATTTATCACTTGGAAGTAAGTTAATAAATTAATAAGATTATTAATGTGAAATTATATCGTTATGTGTTAAAATGTTGCAATCTTTTATTCACTTATAGGAAATTCAACTGAAATGGTGGTTACTTGGACAACTTTTGATAAGATAAAGGGACCAACTGTTGAATATGGAGTCAAGAAGTTTAATCAGTCAATCGAAGGGAAATCAACTAAATTTGTTGATGGTGGATCAGAGAAAAGGTCAATGTATATACACAGAGCTGTAATGACTAATCTCCAACCAGGACAAACATATGGTTAGTATCCACATGTTGCTCTGATAGACATATTGCTTCAATCTTTAGGCTGAATTTGATTTTGAAGCCACTTTTTCGACCTTTTAAGTTAATAACTGTAGATATAAATTAGATTATATTACAGGAAAAATAACGTTGCATGAATTTTTTAGATTTCCTTCTGATTTGGTTAATCTTCTGATGAGCTCAGCAAGCTTTGTGTCATCTTTTTCACTTTTTTCCTTTCAGTTTATCGTGTTGGAAGTGAATCTGGTTGGAGTCCGATTTTCTGGTTTACTGCAGTCAAGGACGGGTCTGATTGGAGTCCAAGATTAGCAGTTTATGGCGATTTGGGCAATGACAATGCCAGAACTCTTCCAAGATTACAAAAAGATGCTCAAAATGGACAATTTGATGCAATCCTTCACGTCGGTGGGTTTTGATTTATTGATTATTACATTATATGATTTCAAATAAATTTTCTTATCTTCTTTTATTTATAACAGGGGACTTTGCCTACGATTTGAACTCGGTACGACTGTGAAAGCTTTCCTTCGTTGTTTTGTTTAATTTGGTCTATTTTGTTTCAGGATAATGCTCGGATAGGTGATGATTTCATGAGACAAATTGAGCCTATTGCTGCTTATGTGCCTTATCAAACTTCAGTTGGAAACCACGAACAAGCTTAGTACGTTTCATCTTAATTTAGGTCACATTTGATAATTTATTCTGTCAATCATTCAATTAATTTTCTTTTCTTTTTAGCAACTTCTCCAATTATGTCAATCGCTTTTCCATGGTTGATAGCAGCACAGGACAAATCAACAATCATTTCTACAGTTACAACCTTGGACCTGCTCACATAATCAGTTTTTCAACTGAATTTTATTTCTTTCTTGAGTACGGGCGAAGCCAAATGTATACACAATATGATTGGCTGGAAAAGGATTTGATTGAAGCCAATAAACCTGAGAATCGAGCTGTAAGACCTTGGATTATAACGCTTGGTCATAGACCTATGTACTGTAATACAAAAGACACCGATGAATGCAGATATCGTGATAATGTGGTTAGTATTAACTTTTAATGATTATAAAAGTGCATTTATGAATAATTTTTACATTAAACCAATCATGTATCCATTTCAGATAAGAAAAGGAATCCCCGTTTTCCATGTTCTTGGATTAGAAGACCTGTTTTATAAATATGGTGTTGACTTAGAGATTTGGGCTCATGAACATCTTTATGAAAGACTTTGGCCAATTTATGATGAACAGGTTTACAATGGCAGTCTATCTGAACCATACACTAATCCAGGAGCTCCAGTTCATGTAACAACTGGATCAGCGGTAAAATTTAAATCAGAGTCAACCTAAAATATCCGATAATATCTGTTAATTGTGTTCTCTATCTTTTAATTAGGGTTGCCGCGAAGGGATTGACCCATTTGTCATTAATCCTGCCAATTGGAGTGCCGTTCGTATCTCTGATTATGGTTTCTCTCAGATTACCATTCATAATAAAACTCATTTAACATTTGAGCAACTTTCTGCTGAAAAGGTATGTGATAAATTAAAAATTAACATTGAATTAAAATTACAAATGACCATTTTTCAATTTAGGATCATCAAGTTGTTGACCATTTTACAATCATCAAGGCAAAACATGGTCCATACATTAAGAAGACAGTTTAATGTTAATGAAGAACATTAAATCTTGCAAGAGTTGATTGTAACGCACAACCTGTGACTGTATCAAGTCAGACCTTTTTTCAGTATTAAATTATATCCTATTTTGTACATTTATACAATTCTATGTGAAATAAACATTTACCGAGTAACTAACGAGTTAGTTTACTTGGAAACTTTATTTCTTTAATGAAATGAGGGTTTAAGGGTTACATTTCAACTTTTAATGTGAAATCCTGTTTTCTTGAACAGCTCTTGATTGAAGAAGATATTTAATTTTTTAATTTATTCAAGTAACATATCAAAAGAAAAAAAATAAAGATGTTTTTTATGATAATACCATGGACAAGACCAATATCAACTTGGATCTTCAACAATGTTTTCACGTATCAAATTTATCGTTGATGCTCATGATTAGTCGATCAACTAGGAATAATTTGTCTGGTTGCCCCATAAGGAGTCATTTTAGCTTGTGATGCTCCACCATTTGATCCTGATTGTAACCCAATAATTGACTTTCCTTTTTTCAAAGTTTCCTCGTCAAATTCACGTTTGTTTTCCTCGGCAAATTTAACTCCAATTACTGGTCCATCATAACCCTTTTTTTGAGCCTAAAAGAGGAGAGAAAAATTAACAAATTAGTCATTTAATTACACCAAAAGATAGTCAAAGTATGGTACAATTATCAGAAAATAATTAGAAACAAAGGAGATTGGGTCTACTAATTTTGAGAGATTCATTAGAAACAATACTTTCAGAAATACAATGTAAATATGACTAGGAATGAGCTATTGGAAATTATGAATTACTATCACGTATTCAAATCTAATGAGCTTTCGTTAACAGTTGACAAATTTTGAAATGGTAAGCACTATTTTTGGTAAATATACATTTAACATTGTCAAACATCTATTGTTATGAAAATCAACTAACAACATCCAAGTTTCATTAGGCTTTTTACGACTCAACCTGATATGGAAAAGATGAAATGTATTAATTTCAACAATCCTTTAGTTGAACCGCAGATACAGGCAATCAACTACAAGCACAAAAATACAAACAACCAAAGCTTTCATTATAAATACAATAATGAGTGAACAAACAATTGCAGACGAAACATAATCAATGTAATCCCCAGAATAACAAGTGATGTAATCAATCAAAATTGCTTATTTAATTCTTGACAATTCAGAATCCAGAGTTGAAAAATAAACCAATCTCGAAATTAGATTATGAATCAATGGACAGTGAAAACAGTTACAACCCTGTTGTTGTAATTTCAGACCCTACACCATATAAGCCTAAAAATAAACACCTTTGATTAATTTTTGTTAACTGAATAAACTGACTCAAGGAGATCAGCAATACAAGTAAGATAAAGACAATTAATTCAAGGTTTATCTGAATGTACTCTGAATTGTTGAAACTTACCAAACCACCAAGTGAGTGAAGACAATTGACAACCTAATGGTAAAATGGAAAAAATAAAGTAATCAGTAAAATTTAATGGTAGGAAAGAAAGTGAATGTAATTCTCATCAAAGAAACATGATAATCAGTTGATATTAAGTTACTTTGTTTGGTTATTTACTGTCGACTTACCATATAAAGGTTTTTACGTTCATACAAATCATTTACTTGAAATAAATCATGATTCCGAAGACCATAAGTTTCACAGGCTTTCAGGAAAAGCTCAATGTTTTCTCGCTGCAAACAAAAAAGGAAAAAATATAAATTAGTAATTATTGTTATCGGTGTTTTGTTGAGTCAATATTTTCAAGCAAAATTGACTTTCAATCGAAGATGAGCTTTGATTAAATGGTAAACAAATATAAATATAAATCTTAATCAAGACAAAAGAGGTAAAAATGCTTCAACTGATCGTCAACCTCATTTTTTTGTTTTGTTTCAATCCAATTCATGCTTTTGCTGAATCATATATATTTAACTGCTTCAAGGTAGAACCGTAAAATAGACCTTCATAACCATTGATTTAACTAAATTTACAATTGAAATTCAATTGTAAAGCTAGCCTCAAAATGAAAATATTCAAGTACATCAGACTGACTGTCATTTTTACCAATGTTGATAATAATAAGAATTTACATTGTAACAATGATTATGAACGTCCATGTTGTGGTTTTGCTGATCAGTTCATCATCTTTCCCTTTCATTCTCATAGTGACGTTAATAACAATGATGATGATATGATAAAATCCATGAACTGTTGATGGGTTAAAAAAGCCTTGAAAAAGCCTTGGAAAGTCAAACACTCTCAAGGTTTGAGGCCAATTTGAGACCGGCTTTCGGAATCAGTGATATCATCATTGTTGATATTAACAAAAAAAAACTTCAAGTCCTCAAGTCTGATGCGAAGAGGGTAAACAATTTCAGTAAAGTTGAGCAAGAAGCAAAAATCTTAGAGTTGATTCAATTGATTGTTCAAAATAATTAACTTGTTTTCATGAAGATAACAGATTCAAGTTAAAAAAGGCAAAAAGCTAAACTAAATCAAGTTATCGTCACATAATCTTCCAGAGATGTGTTTTCGTCAATAGATCTTTGTGATACCATGAAATAACATTCATTGAAATACAGTGGAGACTTCCGTTAGAATATTTCCTATCCAAATATTTGATAATGAATCATTGATAAACTGATAGTCTTGTTTCTCATCAGTCATCTCGTTTCTGGTCCACAAATGAGTTTCAAGGGCGACCTGAATCTATGGAATCTCTTTTTTCTGTTGCCATCACCATAATTACCCAGCATAATTAGATAGACATAGATGGAGATAAAGGAAACATGGTTGTAAGAAGAGTTAACAGCAATTAATTAACATTTAACAGTTACCAACATAAATCAAATCGATCCATAAACGAGTGTAAAACTGTTAACCTTCACTGGACTGGACCATGTCGGTGGTGTGGAACAGATTGTAATGCAATCTGTTCATCAATCGTTTTCATCTGTGATTTTTGCTTCAAAGTGTTTATCAACTCAAAAATGCAAGTAATTTAAAGATTTCATTAGAAACAATCAATTAAATTATGAAACCATCGGCTTAGATAAAATCAGCATTAATACGACAATGATTGGTTCAATGAGATTATTTTCCCAATCCTTTCTAATAAAAAATCTATGATCTCAATCCATTGTTGGATATCAGACGAGTCATGATTAAAAGTATTGATGAAGTGTTACTATTTCAATGATTGATGAAAAAACAATCTTCGCTTATTCCCAGTGAAAGAAACCAAGACTGTTGATCAACGAGTTGTTGAATGATTATTGACTTGTGTTGAGCTTTTTGATCACATTATAATGACAAGATGGTAGCTTGCCGCTGAGTTATAAATATCAATCATAATAGTCAAGCCATTGGTTAGATGAATTTATTCTTACCTCTTTGAACGGAGTTTTTAGCTTGTTAACCTTAGATATTGAACCAGGAGCCAAAGCATTGATTAAACTTCAAGACAACATGGATAACAATTAGCAATCACCCAATAGAAGAAACAGGTGTTTTACATGTAAAAAAAGTGTGAAAAGTGTTACAAATGGACTAAAAAGGGTCAGAAAAATCAAGTCTAATTGAAACTTACTTGCATAGAGCTATACCGTCCTTGAGAGCTTCAGCAAATTCAAACTGATCTTTGATTCCTGCTGAATTGTTATTGTTGTCATCCTCATTGTTATTTAGATTAACAGGCGCATTGGTCACAGCTTGGATCCAGTTTAGTGCTTGATTAGCCAATTCAACGTCGAACTTAGCTTGAGCCTGATTGAAACCCATAACAAAAACAAATTAATGAAACCAAAAGATTACCAGACGATCACAAAGATTACAAGTGTGGACAAACAAACCTTAAGCAAAAGCTCTCGACTTAATCCATAGGATGGTCCTTGAGAGGCCATTATTTAATATCACAATTTGAAGATGGTTAACAAAATTAAAGGATAACAATGAATAATAAAACTGATTGCAATAAATTAGGATATATTTAACAAACTAAATCAAACTGCCATAAAAAAAGTGTTTTTATACAATCACTTAACTTCACACGCCTCTTTCCCTCCTTTTTCATCCCTCCAGACTCTTTCCCTACTACTCGTCATCTGTCGTTACTCTGTCTTCTTGTTTACTGAAAATCATCAAAATTCAGTTACATCAACAAATTATTTTTAAATTGTGTTAATTGTTGCAAACAATACAGAACATGAGTAATTATCTTAAAATACAAGCTGATTTAATATCCCCTTCATTCAGTATACAGTCACCTACCAAATAATGTTAGTAAATTTATGATCAGTCCCTCGATTCGGTTTAATAACATTTGATTTCAAGTTCATTAACAATTAACAAACAAATAACAATCCTTTGATTTACCTTGGCCAAACATCAGCTAGAAAAATTCTGATTAACTTCAGATAATCTAAATGCTAGAAATTATAAATTTGTATGAAATTAAGTTGCGGTAACTTAATTTTTAATTGTTTTATTAACGGTTGCCCCTCGAAAATAATCTTAGTGACATTAAAAGATTAACTTCTGTAAGAAATTACATTTTGTGTTTTCCAGAATCTGGTTTTACAAAATTTCTGGTTAATGAAGCTATTTAATTGTTTTTCATGATTGACAATGAGTAATGAAAGAGTTACTAGTTTAATAATAAAGTTGACAGGTTTCAAGCATTTCATATTTTTTGGATTAAAAATGGGAAAATTTGATAAACTTTGAGCAGTAAATTATTCATCATACATGATATATTTCCTCTGCTTTAAGCAATTTTTGTATCAACTTCACACCCAACATTAATCACCAAAGTGAAATTGATTTCAGAAATGGCCCATGATTTATCAGTCAGAACTAACCAATCACCTTACCTAATCTAACCTAAACTTGACCATTAGCATCTAATAAACAGAGAAAAGGAACGTTTTAGTTAACAAATTACCAAATCAACAATCAAAAAATATCCAATGAACTTAGAAATTTTTGCTCAGAATTTGTAAAAACTGGTTTTGGGTAAACATTTTAGGTTTTTCATCCATTCAGTTTGTAGTTTAAATTTGGACTCACTTTTGCCAGAACTTCATTACAATTTATTGCTTATGAACCTTTTCATTGAAATTAATTTATTGATTTGCTTCTATTGATTTTAATTCTAAATTATTTATTATGCAGGTTGACTCGTCCAGAGTGGGTTGAATAGTTGAGCTGATTTGATCGATTTCATCGGCAAATTGAAAATCTTAATTTTCAAATCCTGGCGCTTTGAATTCCGTAACCAACAAGCAACCATTTACTTGTAACTCGGGGTAACAAACCAACAATAACAATGTTATTATTCACTCTGTAATTAAGTGTTTATTAATCTAACTATTAAGTACATGACCGAGCGTAACATGGAGTTTAATACAGCGGTTAAATTGAACGAATTATTTAAGCAACTTGACGATTTGAAAAATGACCAGAACTGGCTCGAGGATGATTCTAAATGTCAACTTGTTGTTAATGCTGTCTCATTGCTGGATGGTTCATCAGTTGATCATCTTTACAAAGTTACACCTTTCATCTTACGATTAACGGATTATTACAAATCGTCTGTTAAATCGAAAGGTTTGACCTGCCTCGCCATTTTAATGAATGTGTACAACATAAACGATCTGCAGTCAGCCAATTTTCATCAACTATTTTGGCAAACATTAGTAACCTTTATGTATAATGATGGTATTGAATTGGCCGAGTATTTGGTTCCAACTTTGATACGATTTATCAGCAAATTTTCCATAGACCAAAGTAAAATAGACGATTGTTTTCATCAATTAGTTAAAAATGTGCTGTTTACTTCAAACAAAACACTCAAGCTTATTTACATTAAAGGAGTTTATCAATTTCTGTTAGAATGGCCAAATGAGCTGGTTAAATTTGCAAAGAGCATCTTACAAATAGCAATGGACATAATCCAAGATGTGTTGAATCAAGAAAATTTTGATCTCATTGTGACTGCTTACGATGTTTTGGAAATTATCATTGATAAAACTGCAAAACTCAGTTATGTTTACGCCGATCAATTGCTTCTTGCTTTCATCAAAGCCAAATTTAACTTAATGGAGACAAATTTGAGCTGCGAACAAAATTTTGAGCTAAACAAGAAAATTGAAGTTTGTTTACATTCACTAAAAACTCACAATCCTGATTTATTGGTTGATTATTGTAATCTAATTAAAGAGAAAATACCTCAAGACAATGTTGATATTAATTTTGTCGTTACTTTTTTACTGAGTAATCATAACCAATAAATCCTAAAAACCAAAATATTGTATTTTCATTTTCAAAATTCAAACCACAAACTTGAAGAGTTTTCTGATTGTCAATCACACAGCTTGTTTGATTAAATTGACGGAAATCATCGCATATTTATTAAAATGAATTCAAAATTTTGTCCATTCAATCAGAGTCAATCAGCCTCGATTCCTACAATAGAGACGAGGAAAGCGTCTTTGTATATCGTAACCAAGATTTGCAGGACAATAAGCTAGCAAATATTGTCCAATATTCAAATCCCTGCATATTTCCTGTACCTTCAAATCACGTCTATCCAGCCATTCTTCATCATACCACATGACATCACTGCCTGGCATAACACTAGGTCTTGGACGATCAGGTAAATTATTCAGATATGAATCGATATCAGAATTAACAACTTTCGCTAATTTATCCAAAAAGACTCTGCTACCTTTTTGAAGGCAAAAGTTTATGTTACATTCAGTTTCATCAACCAAATCTTGATGCAATAATGTATACATAACGCAAATGCAAGTCAAATCAAAGTCAAATCTTGTATAGGCATATAATCGATAGCAATCACCATCCCTCATCGAAATTAGCTCTGGATCTGAACGGTCGTGTGGACTATAAGGATACCTGTGAAACCCCCTGTGCAATACATGATAGATAAATTAGTTCATTTTAACAAATTAATCAAATAAATTGTATAAGAAATAGATTACGGTTTATTAAAGATCGGGTTTGAAATATTTGTAGACATCTGCGGACCGAGATTCCTCAAACCCATGCATCTCACTGCTTCAGTTTTTATCCCTGTGAACGCTGAAAGCTATGAATGATAAAAAATTAATCATCAAAAACTGCTAATACACAATTGATTGAACATTTACCTGTTCAAATATTGATTTATCCACATCATGTGTATGGACCTTTGACCAATCAAAATGTATATCTTGGTAATCATCATCCGATATTTTAACTCTTATTGTAACTAAAAACAAACAAACAATCAAGTAACTCGATAAAAAGATTCAGCAAAATTATTTATAAATTATAGTAACTTACCTTTATCGGAATTATTATCATTTCCATCCATTTCAAAAAATAAGGTGAATAAAAGTAAAGCGTTAAGAACAAGGTGTAAATTTTTGGTTTGAAATAAACAAAACAAATGGACAAAAGTAGACCTAAATTTGAGTCAATGAAAGGGTGAACTGACCAAATGGGAAATGGTAGCTTTTAAAGGTAAACTTGAAAAGGTAACAAAAACCAGTTTTAAAAAATTTTAAGCGGAAATAACTTGAAGACAAAAGTTGGACTGAAACATCGGGTATTATTAATGGAGTCTATGTTTAAATTTAAATTGGTTAGCTATGATTTAATGAGCGAAACTGCATCTAATTCAGAGTATTTTTATCTTTGACATTCATCATAAAACAATCGGGTTGAATGGTTCATCATGTAATTAAATCAACTTATTGTGTGAAAAAGTCGGTTCCATTGATTGTTGAAATCTATTGAAAGAGAAAGAGCCTCAAAATCATGTTGATATTGATTTTGTATCATTTTTAATGAATAACTAATAAAACAAAAAATTTAAACCAGTTTGAGATACTAATCTCTTTTTATGTTGGAAAGAAATGAATTTGAAAGCTTGAGTTTTCGATTTATTCATTTAATTTGAAAGTACCTAAATCATAGCGACCAAATTATAGGAGGATAAACAATTATCTATTAATTACAATTGACTATGCAAATATGTCACTTAAAATTAACGCACTTAAAGCAACAGTTTTCGTTTATGCATCAGATACACGAGTTAACAAATTGGACAAAGTATTTCCATGATAATCAAGAGTAGAAGTTAAAGATGTTCCAAAGGTATTCAGAGTGTGATAAAGTTGAGCATGAAGAGTAGATAAATTTGGAAGATTGCTGATCTCAATCAACTCGTCTTTTCTCAATACTCGATCTTGATAAACACCAAACATCAATATTAAAAATGGAGCCGTTTTCTCAATCTTCAGTAAAGGCTTGACATTTAGGTTATCTCCAAAAACCATAACAGTTTTGCAACTGCGAGAAAAGAACTTAAGCAGCGGGTCATATTTAGTAGATTTCAATGCTAAATCAGCAATATTATTTTGGTACAACCTAACAGCAAAACCAGAATTGATGATTGTGTTGCGAGCCGCCCGATAATCTAAATCTGCACACGAATTGAGATGATAAAATCCAATAAATGATGATTTATTCATAAAATCTTTCAATTCATCAGCTAATACTGCAATGTAAGGATGTGGTTCTTCATCCTCTAATTTTGTGACATTTGTACATTGCATTGAAGTGGGTATTTCCGAAGCCCTCCTCATGATTGGTTCACAGGCGGCTAAAAGCAGTTTCTTTTCGTACACAGGAAACTGGGGAGACCTCAGGGTTAACTTTTTTTTTGTCCTGATTTGATTTCCACAATTGATAAAATTCAATTTAGCACCTGCAAAGATAAAAACAAAAATTGAAAAGATAAACACATTGAAACTAGAATTTTCAAACTTACCACTGAGCCTTGGACCGGATGAAACTAAATTTTTGGCAATCAAAGACATAATTAGCAATATTCTTTAGATTTTATTCACGAAAAATAAATGTAAAGATGAAAATTTAAACCCAAAACAACATTTGTCACATGGGATATCTGATACGGAAAGAGTATCGGATCCGGATTAAGTTAGTCCGATTCTTGTTTGTTTACTTTCTTGTTTTGCTCCGCATCAAGAAAATGAATTAATCCATTTGATGATGATAATATTCTGATAGTATATCAGAATCACGCCCCTTATCTTTAATTTAAAATATTCTATCATTTTGCCAAAAATATTTCTTGAATAAGTTACTGTTAACCACCAGACAATTTTCCCAGTTTTACAAATCAATTGTTTAATTGTTGATTTAACTATGGGTAAAGACAAAAAGCCTGTTGAGAGTGTTGATGATTCTACATTCGAACGAACTAATAAAGGATCTCATCGTCAAGCTGCATTCTATCGAAGATGTTCTGCTCTTGAAGCTGCTCGTGAATCGGATTGGGAAAAATGTTATTACTTATTGATCGAGTCACTTAGTGGTTATGGTTTAACATTAGATCCGATTGAATATGAGAAGCGAATCAGTGAAAGACGAATGGGATGGGCAGGGATTCACGTTCAAGTTTTGAGTGATCTTGTTAGAAGTGCAACTGAAATGGGATGTGAACAATTAGCCATTCGACATTTGAGCTTCCTACTTCAATGTTTTTGTGAAATTCTTACTAGACAAGAAAAAAGTGACTTTGCTCGAGAACTTGAATCGCTTGGTTCGAAATGTGGCGAAGGAGCTCCAGTTAATCTGACCTTAGACAATGGTTTTACTATCCCATCAGTTAATCTAACTAAATTTCCTATGGTGTCTTCGTTGAAGATACAGAACCTTTTTGCTTCTTTGCGTCCAGTTAAGTTAAAGCCTAAATCGATGGATAATCTGATCCCTACCTCCGCATCCAGTCCTTTTATATTTACTCCTATTCAAATGAGCCGACCCTCTTCTCGAAGAAGATCTTTAACATCACCTGCAGTACAGAATATGGATTTTAAGTGGATTCAAGGAGAAACTTGCCAAATAACTCTTCAAGTATCCAATTATTTGCCTGTTGAATTACAGGTCAATCATATTGCCTTATTAACTGATGGAGTTGCTTTCCAAACTTACCCAACTTCGTTAACTCTTCCAGCTGAGTCAGGGCCATTTCCAATTCAATTAACGGGAACACCTTTAAATAGCGGTAAACTTGACATACTTGGATATTCTACACATGTTCTTGGTGTAAAGAGTGACTGTCGATGGCCTCACCTTCCTAACAGTAGTCGTCTAAAATTACCTGCTAAGTATGTCGTTGAAGTGATTCCTCCACTGCCATTGATAGATATTTCAGCTCCTGATTTACCGAAATCAGACACATTTACTTCTTTAACTACCGATAACAATGCCATCATGTCTAATGTTAGCTTAACAATCTATGCTGGTCAGACCAAAACATGTTCCATTAAAGTCACTAATAATAGTCCGAATAACGATGTTATCGAGATAATCTCTGTTAAAATGATAAGCAAACTTGTCAAGGATATTGAAACAAACTTGGTCACTTGGAATGATAATGATCTGAACAACTGTCTTCCTCTACCCGCTCAATCATCATTCGACTTTGATATTAAAGTGTACGGCATTAGTGATTTTTTATCACCCTCGACGAAAAAACGAGCCTCAAGTTTTAAAGTGAAGTCAGCATCTGTGAGTGGTACTTCGTCTCCAGTTCCAAATATCGCAAATATTACAAATACAAATTCTTTAACAGGATCTCCACATCATCACCCTTCTTCAAATACTGCGGGCGATAGCGGCTCATCTAAACGTTCTCATATTTTAGGTTCAGCTTTAGCTAATTTTTTATCAGAACTTCAAGTCGGTAGCAGCAATTCCAATATCAAAAGAAAATATGATCTAGTCAATTCCATCAATTTGGAGGAATATCAACCTCGTGTGAGTTCAATCATTACTTCATCACATATCGATTAGAATAATAATTTTTATTCATACTTATCGCTTTCTTTCAGGTCATCGAAGTGATCCTTGAATTTGAATATAGTGGAGGTGGAGGTTTAGCCTCTGGATATTGTCGTAGAAGTGCAATTGCCATCAATATTGAAATTATTCCTTCGGTATTGATTACTAAATGGGATGTTCTTCCTGCTGAGATGTAAGTCTAATTCATGAGCCTTCTAACCAACTTTGACTCAAAATGCACAAATTTTTATTAATTTTTTATTAATTTTCATGCAATTATACTTTTCAGGCCTTCCCACTGTTATCTTGTTTTTGATGTTCTCAATGCTACTAATTATGAAATGGAACTAAACTATAGCGAAAATAAGTCCATTTTAATTGAACCTAGAGAAACTTGCCGAATTCCAGTTCCTGTTGAACGAGTACCTTTGATGAATGAGGAAAGTTCCCTTAATAAAGTAAAAAATAGTAAAAATGGAATTTCATTACTGGAGAGATGTAAACATCACCTAGTCAATCAAGTCAACCTAAATTGGAGCTTATTAACAACTGATATCACCGGAGTCGCTTTCATGTCTGAAATACCTTGGACTGGAGATCTTTTGGATCATATAATAATGTCTTCTGTTCAATGGGATGTTAAAGTAAATGGAAATGATTTAAAAATCGAAGAAGATCTTAATTTTTCGATTGGTGAAGCTATAATGTTGACCATTTCAGTAACCAACATTAGTGGCAATTCATTGCGAGATGTTGAATTGTGGGTCTCGTGTTTCCAAGAGCAACAGAATGGAGTAAAAAATTACAAAGTTGATATGAAAAGATCAATTTTGGGTTCTGATAGAGTTTATATTGATGAGGTAAGAATTGAATGTTACTTCCTTGAAATCATTAATAATTTAATGCTTCTGTTTGTTTTCTTAATATTCCAGATTTTAAATTCATAAAGTTATTCCCATGAATTAGGAATGGTCTTGTCTCAAAGGGTAAACAATCAATTACTAGGATTAAAAGGGTTATACACTCAACTAAGTAGTATCAAAAAATACCTTGAGTTGGTCGTAGAGGATAAACTTCCTCGCAACAATGCAATTATCTACCTGTTACAAGATATTTTCAATCTCCTACCAGATACCATGAGTGAAACTTTTGTCAAATCCGTATATGTAAAAACAAATGATCAGATGTTGGTGGTTTATTTGGCATCATTAGTACGATCAGTTATAGCCTTACATAACCTAATCAACAACAAGATAACCAACCGGGATGCGGAAAAGAAAGAGGGTTTAAAAGATAAAAACGGAGAAAAACCTGTGGATTCAAAGAAAAGTCCATAAAAAAGTTCTGATTCATGTACTGTAATAAAATCAATTCAAACATTTTTTGGACAATTTATGAATTTTCAAAACAAATTGAACCAGACTTCAAAGGTGGACTTCAATATGACACCTTTTGATATAAATAACAGATTGATATGAAAAGATCAATTTTGGGTTCAGAAAGAGTTTATATTGATGAAAAGAAGAAGGAAAATCTAAGGAATCAAAGTCTTGTCAAAAATCTTTATTAATGTATATTTATGTCAAACAATAAGAGTTTTTTATTGTTGATTTACAGCATTTGTATCCCCATTTATGGTTTTTTACATCATAATATGAACCCCAAACAGAGGTATGATTGTTTATAAATAATTCTTCTTCATATTGCGATTTGACTATTACCTTGGGAGGTTCTATTTTAGCCTTTCCATCCTTCGAATATTCGAAATATTCTTCAGTTTGACCAAAAATCAATTCTCTGGGTGGCTGCTGCAAATATTCGCCACCACCATACTATCTAGAATACTTTTTTCAATTGATTTTTTAAATTTCTTTTTTTCTACCTCATACGCTTGATAGGTTTTTTCTGTTTTTGTGGGATCAGCTAGCACATGGATGTCAGCTCCTTTATCTCTTGCTTGCCAGCTAAATAGTTGTAGATGAGATACTTTCAATGTATCTCCACTATGACGAGCAAAATTTTCTCCAGCATACGGGAGATCAGCTGGATTATTTGCACTATTCGCGTATGGATTTCCACGCATAGATCGTGTTTTGGGGTCATAGTGCGCAGAGTCAGGATCCAAATTCCGAAGATATTTCGCAGTGTCTTCTCGAATCCGTAGGTTCCTTACAGTAATTCTTTGTTTACTGTCTACTTTTGTTCCTGGCATGTCTAACTTTTCAGCATATTTATCTTCTTCCTCTGAATCTGAATCCACTTTCTTTTCTGTTTCGGCATTACCAGTAGCCAGCTCGTCTTTTAGTCTAGATTCTTTAATTACTTTTTTTGCTTCTTCAAGTCTTTTAAAATTTTCAATTACTGATTGGTACATTTGGGGCTGGAAACCATTCCAGCGATCACGCTTACCATCATAATCGAATTTTAAATTAGGTAAAATCGGGTCATCAGGTGCAATCACAACGCCGGACACTTTAGCTGTAATTTTTCTCGGCCTCTCGAAACAGAACTTGCGAGTATGTCCCATAGCTCCACAATTTTCACAGCTTCCTGGTCGGTATTTTGCTGCAAGTTGTTTACTTTTTCCTCTAATAAACCAGTCATTTAAACTTGATTGATTTTTTGCAGTGTTCGCTGCCTTTTGATGTCGAAGAGTGGGCACACTTGCTCCAATATACCATGGAGCTGAAGCAATATACTCAGGAATGTGAGGGTTTATTTCTTTTCCGTCTTCATCAATAAGAGCTGGCACCTTACCAGCTTTTCGTAAAGCCTCCAATTCCTTTTCTTTTTTGTAGTTTTCCCTGGATCGTTTCGAGGGCACATCTTCAAAGTCAACTTCTTTAACTAAATCAGAAAACAATTTATTTGGTTGGTTCATTTTCACTAAAAAATAAATAGAAGTAACACACAATTTGAAACAAGAAGTATGAAAATTAAATTCAAAATGTAAGAATGGAGGCAAAATGATAGATTTTGTTTTGTTGATACAAGCTACTGACACCAAGTGGCAAAGTTATTCATTAGTATACTCGACGATTCATCGACTTAAGATACTTAATTTTGAACGTCTTAAGTTGAAACTAAACTTAAAAGTGGCTTTACTAAAGCTTCTTAAGATCACTACAATCGATAAACGGTCTATGTCTCTAAATAGGTCGGTCTAAACCAGGTAAAGTGGTGGACAATGTACTGCATGTTGAGGGAAAAAGTCAATCAATAAATTTCAATGTACAGTATTTCATTTGGCGTTGGACGATGAATCAAAAGATTTCATTTTATTTGAGCTTCAATGTTTTTTTTTACAAACTAGATTAAAATCTGAATTGTTTTACACTGTAGATGCAATAGACCAATCAGACTTGGCGGATACTTCTTTCTATGGCAAACAACTGAATCATTGCTTAATATGAAATAAAAATTTTAATACCAAGGTTATTTAATTTTTCACAACAGTTACCAATTTTAGCCATTTGGTTTCCAGGCAATTAAAAATTAATTACAATGATCCGTAACGTTGACAAAAGTCAGTTTACGCCAGCAGAATAGGAAGTATCCTAAACCTGCACCAAGTAAAATTGAAAGGCATATCCAAGTGTTGAAAGTCATGAAACCAAGCATCAGTGTATAGCTAATTGTGACCTGAATTGCATGAAGGGATGACTGATAGAAATGAGCCTTTGACCACATTGAACAATTGATTAGTGTTGGGGTTGGATGTTCATCGGATTGATTGACCGAGGTTGCAATCATGTCATCTGGACAAGCATTTGTTGGGGTATATAGAGACACTTGGTAACTACCAGATCTGGCTTCTCTTCTGAATAAAAATTCTCGAAGACTCTTAAGTCCTTCGTAAAAAATGGCCAATAAAAAGAACACTGTACAGGCGATCAAAACATCTGTTGTTGATTGAAGACTCCAACCTTTAAAAAGCACTGTGTCTCCAAACGTAATGTGAAAATAATTTTTCATCATTGAATCTATATTGACATGGTTAGAACTACTAGTCATTTGAGATGATTGAGCTTTAATGATTTGTTGTGGGTCAGTTGAATGATGATTCAAATCATGGTGTTGGTGATGAACTGATGTTACGTTGAATAAATGATGTTTACTATCACTTTGAACCATTGGCATTAAACCAGTGGTTGTGTTTAATATTGACATAACTATCACAGTGGTAAAGAGTGTTTGAAAGTAAACAATCTGAAGTAATGATGTTAATAAAACTGTTGAAGATAATAGACAAAAGGTAATAGAAAATTATTAATCTTTAATAATAGTAACTTATTTTTTTCATTTAAATCTCAATAATTTATTACTTTCTTAAAGTTAAACACTTGATCTTTGGCTCCATCTTATAGACTACTTTTAAGACAAAGTCTCAAAAGGTTTTCAGCTGCAATTATAAATAAGGAGGAATAATCAAACGAATTGGACAATTCATAATGAATAAAAAGTGTTTGTATTAACTGATGGTTTTACAATTTGCACAATTTTTCCAACATTAACAAAGATTCAGAGCGAGGTTGATTCATCATTCGATATATTTCTTTGTTTAATTCTAGAATTTCATCTCCGAAGTAGAGCTGACAAATGTTGACCCATGGACTCAATGTCTCTATGTTGAACAAAAAGCTGACACCGATCTCTTTTTCATGGAAAGTGAAAAATGGTAATACATCTCGGCCATAAGGCATAGACTCAATTTCCTAGTGCTTTAGCAGCTCGAGCTGTTAATTTCCTTTTAACTTGTCGGCTTTCTTCATCATTCTGTCGAAGAATCTCTGCAAGTTTTCTCAATGAGGCTAACTGTGCGTCATTCTGATAAACAATGCTTTCGATTGACGGATGGTAAATTGGCATAGACGAGGAAGCAGTAACGTAGGCCTTCGAGAGTACAGATGGTGATGCTTTGGCTGATACAACTTGATTTGATGAACGTGTTCGATGAGGAGTCTGTTGTGTATTCAAGTTTTCCAAATCGTCTTCATCAACTTCCTGGTGAATATAAAAAACAGGAGTGAGAAGTAAATGGACAGAGTAAAATTTACTTACCATTCGTTTTGGATCATTTTGTGGACAAGGCATCAAAGCGAGATAATCTGTTTTCGCACTAGCTGGTGTTCGCACATTTGAAGTAATAGTTCTCATTGAGAAATCACTTTGACGGCTTCTCATAGCCGCTTCTGCCAGAACATAATTGTAGATTTGTTTGTACAAATCAAGATTTTCCTCGCCGAAAAATTTCAAACAAATTAGAGTCCATGGAGTATAATCAGGAGTATCGAAAAGAAAGGTGACACCTACGTCTTGTTCTTCATGAAAAGTAAAAAATGGTCGCATCTTTGCTTTGTTGGGTAAATCGTCACGTCCTAAAACAATCAAAGCTCTTTCGTAAATATTTCGCGCAGTTTTGGCAGCCAATGGTCCTCCTGCTTTAAGAATTGCAAGTAAACTTTTGCTTGCCGCATTCTGGGCTGGTCGGTCGAAAAGAATGCTTCTATTATGATTACTTGTGATAGCTCGTTGTGGTTGACTCTGAGTTTGATCGAAACTAGAGCTATCTTGTGATGATGAAGCTGGTAAAGGTGTTGATGATGATGAAACTGGTAATGATGCTGATGATGAATTTGTTAAAGGTGTTGATGAAGATGTATTACTGTATAAAGATGATCTTCCTTTTCTTTTCTTATCTATTGGTCTATTTGGTGTTATAGATACCCTAGGTTTGGAAACACGACCACTTCTAGTTCTTATAACTTGCAAACTATTGATATCAACAATGCCATCAGAGCCAACATTCATGTACTGTAAAAAGATGATAAAAAGAATATTAAAATTGAGAAAGTTAGAAAGAAGTTGAAAACAAATGAAAAAAAGGGTAACTTAAAGTCAGATATTTACCCGGTTTTCCATTGAATCGATCAGCCTGGCAAATTGAGCAAAGTTACTCTCCTTAGCATGCTGGATTGAAATTGGAGCCATAATGAAAACAAAAAAATAAAAATAAATGCATGCAGAAAAATTAAATAATATTGTTTACGCGAAAATGAACTTGATTGTTCTTGATGGATGAAGTGAAGCTATTGTCAAGCCAAGCTACAAAGAAAAACAACTTTTGCCGCCAAATTAGTTATCACGTGAGCAAATTTGTTTGCCGGGAAAATTGATTTATGAACACAAATTTCTGAAAAAATATTATTTTTAATAAACATTTCAACTCTATTGATAGCATCATTTGTAAATATAAAAGCTTGATTAAATTGCCTTCTATGTATCAATGGTCAAAATTTATTATTTTATAAATTCCCACTTATTTTGAAACTTTAAAATAGAGATAAGTTTCCAATTGTATGATGAGATTGAATGAAAATTGTAGCTTCACTCTAATTTCAATATAATTTACTCATATTGTTTGTGAATAATTAAATGAGAATACAAATTTTTTATGGAATAATTAATTTATTTATTGGCAAATGATTTTAAAAATCATTAACACTCTCAGAAAGTGATGATTGTTAAAAAACGGTTTCTGAAATTGACTTGAGCATTTTGTTTCAATGATGTGAATGTCTCTATTACAATTGACCAGTGACTACAGTAAATTAGATTGTTTATTAGGAAGAGAGTGAATCGGTTTCTTAGAGAAGTAGAGAGACAAACAGTTGGAAAGAGAGGGTGATTGATGATCGATAGATTCAATAATAACAAAAATAAAGTTATTGGGAATGATTATTTTAACATCAATTGGAGAACAGCTAAAGTAACAAAAATATTTTGATGATAATTTACGATTTGATGATTGAAATGATGAATGGCAATGTTTTTGTTGATGATGGGATGATGACGAGTATGATGATGATGAATGAAAAATGAAATAATTCAGATAATCCAGCTACCATTTTGTTGTTAATGAATAATTAAAAAATAACCAAAGGTGATTGTATTAAATGTTCAACATTTACCACCAACCTTGGGGTTCTGACCAAGAGTCACTGCTTGGCCATGATGGTTCAGGCCATGATGGTTCGGGCCAGGCTGGGACAGTCTTTTTGATGACTCTGTAGAATGATAAAGATGAAAGATTGTCATTAATTTCATTCAAAACATGATTGATCCAGTTAAAAGTGAAGAGATTGAAATACTTACGGAACTGGAAGAGGGAGTGGAAGTGGGATTGGGAAGATGTACTTTTTCTTGGATTTAAGGAGAAGAGCAAGAGCTGCGAGTTTCTTGATTTTCATGATTTTCCTTCGTGAAGCTTCATTTCCAGATGGGGTGAAGGTGACAAGGATGATCATTACAGCAGCAATGATAAGACAGATTGTGATCGAACGCATTCTGTTAAAATAAAGAGACAAAAATATTTAGAATTAGTTGAGCGAAAAAGATTCTTAAAGCAAATGCTAATATAAATCCAGCAAGCATTCAACTCTTATGTGTTCAATAAAAGCACTATAAACACCGACACTTTTTTAAGTCACTGTAACTACATTTTGCCTCTTTAAGGTTATTGTTAATCCAAAAATTGTTTAATTGTACATTATCTTACACATTTTAAAATATAAATTGATTAAACTGAAGATCAACACAAAGATATTGAAAAAAGGGAAAACCAAAACACATAAGCAGTTGAACCTGTTACTTCTTATGGAAGTAGGGAAAATATGGATTTACACTTTTGCGGTTTTATGAATGTTTGGATATTTTGCTTACTTGATAGGTTGATTTGAGTGTTGTATCCACTGGTTGAGGAACTAAAACAATTGTAAATGTAATTTGTACAACTTGAAAAATTGAATGATGATGTTGATGAAGTTGCCATCATTTTTATAGTGAAACCGCGATTCTAAAGGATCAACCCTAAAACGGTTCAAAGAGAGGGAAAGTAGTGAGAGTTGAAATGGCGTCAAGTTGGAAGGTGAAAAGGGATGAAGTTTAAATTACATTCCGTCTATGATTATGTTAATTATCATTGATTATGATGAAAATCTGATGAACCTCCTCCTTTTTCTCATCCTCTCTTCAATCTGTCTTTTAGCCTGAAGCCTTGTTTCATTTTACTTGACCAAGTACTACAGCTTGTTATTTTTTCCGCGGAAGTAGGTTATATATTATATTATATTACATTATATCGCCATGATACTGTTTATATATTCAACGTTTACTTGAATCACGAAAAACAATTTGGGCGAAATAAGATGAGGAAAGAAAGAGTAAAATATCGCTGTAGGGCATCGTCATCATCACCTTTCTCATTCTTAGCCAAATTTTTATCATCTTTCCACTTTCTCACCTTTAATGTTTTCCCATCTTCATCATTACCATTTCAACTAATCCAAAAACCATCTCTTGACAAACCACTTTCACCTTTTTTTCATGGGTTCAGTATGAGATTAGGATGACATTTAGCATCAAAGATGGCTCAAGATATTGACAATGATAGAGTTAATTATGTATCAGCTGTTAAACAGCTTCATAAAACGTTCGCCTCTCTAATTTTGTACCAATTTTGCTTAAACCGGAAGAAAAATTAGCTTCAATTTTGAGTTTAACCTTTTCGCAGGTTTAATCATTTCTTAATCACAATCGACCATTCAATCTAAAAGGCTGAGTTACAAATGTACAGTGAAACAATGAAAAGATCAGCATGAATTTATCCAATAACCTTATACAATATCTGGTTAAACCTTGATTTTGTTGACCATTGGCAAGAAATTTTTATTGACCACAAAAGATTCATCCATTTCAAGCTTTATACATCAACTCAATTCAATCAATTAAACGAGGTAAGATTAGTAATCACAAAATCATGACTGTTGATTGAATCACTGCAAATGAAGAGATGTTCATTAATTTTTAGATTTCAAGTTAATTGATCATTTGAATAGGAGTGCATTTTAATCAATTATGAATTCAACTTGATTGTTGCATCTGTTACAAATGTAAAATCTATATTTACCAGGATTAACCCATTAATATTTAATTTTAAGATGTCTACAGTCAACTCTAATAGGATGCATGGAGTCATTGTTCCCCAAAACTATGACAATTTAAGAAGAAGAAGAAATTAAAACTAAATAAATTCAGTTAAATTGTAAATTATGTTTAAAAAAAGGTTGTCATTTTATCATCTTAATCAACATACTTTAATATACTCAATACTTGATTAAAATGTTTCTAACTTGCTTAATTTTGTTACCTCAAGCAGAGTTGAAATTTTTCATTATTTACATTCAACAGGTTAATTTATTTATTGTGAGTGATGAGATGAGGAAGACAACAATTCAGAGTGTTTAAATTGAATTTAGTTTATCAAGATCAGTGAATGGATGAATTACACTAAGATTAGGATAAAACATTGTAATTGTAAAACAAGTCTTGAGTCAGCTATTTAAAACCAACAGACAATGGTTTAAGGTTAGGGGCTTATTAATTGTCTTTAAATTAGTACTTTGACTGGGAATCAGCCATTAAAGATTAAATACGTCGATTAGCTGTTAAAAAACAAACTGTGAACTTTATTAGATCAATTTAAAATGATTAACGTCTCATTTAAACCATAATTTCACCTAAATTGATAAAAAGATGGACCATTAATTGATTTATAATTTACTTATTACTGGTCTTAAGCAACTGTTACAAATTACAATTTTTAAAGTTCTGTATTGATGTGGTCATTTGATAAAATTAAATGCAGTTAATTTGATTAGTCAATTAGGATGAGATTAGGGATTTACTGAAGTATCACATAACACATAGATGTATAAATTACATTTTAAAACATTTCATTTTCATGAGCATAAAATGTTTACAATAAGATACAAATAAATAAATTACAAGTGATTTAGTTGATACAAAAAAATGCGGAATCAAACGTTTAACAGTAATCAATTTAAATTGTTTAACCTTAATCAAACTGCTAGTTAACTGATTTATATTTTTCCCTTGCTTAAGGCAAACTCGTACAGATTTGTGATTAAAGCAAGGAAATTTCACTCTAATTTTTCATCATAATCATCATCATCATCAACATAATCATCATCATTAGCCCAGAGGAAGAGAGAAGCTCTATTAACTTCCGGCTGACCGAGTGATCATCATTTCATTTAATTAAATGAAATCATTGCAATAATGGTTGATTGTTACACTTGAAGATGACTTGACGCTTTCATATAACTGACCTGGCCTGGTTTACAATTTTAACATTTTAATACAATTATCACATGGACAGCTGATCATGATGGTGATAATGATAATGATAATGTGTTAATGTCAATCAACAGCAATCATACGTAAGTCTAAACACTTGGGTTAACCAGATTGTTTCCACATTTCTTGAAATTGTTAACTGTGATTATTGATATTAATCAACAGTAAACAAGTGTTATAACAATTGTTGAATTGAACAATTTTTTAATAACACGTTAGGTAACTCATCTGTGCCAATCCTTGGTATTTGAATGATGAATAAAACAGGAAGGTACCAATTTGATTGTTAGACACTTTGTACATGATTTAGCTTCATTTTAATTTCATCTTTCAGCAATCAGATTGATTGACAGATATCAGTCTTTATAAATTAGTAAATCTTGACTTGACTTGATCCAAGTGACATGATTATCCGAATAATGGTTGTGTGATTATTCAAACATTTTCACTTTTCTTGTCAGTGTATTCCTTTAATTGTTATCCATATCGTAACAGTTATTCTTAATTTAGCCTTTTGGATTTAATTTCAAGACAATTGAATCACGATCTATTAGAGAGAAAAAAATGTAATTAAATAACAATTCATAAAACCATTTTGATTATAACTACAAACCACATATATGAATATACATTAGGAGCAATGTATACTAAAGATGGTAACACAATCTTTAACCTTTGCCTGTGATTAAACCAAACAGTGAATCCATTTTGTCCAAATTATAAAGATGATGTTGACGATAATAATATTAATAGCACTGATTGTAATCCTGATGATGGTTTTTCAAAGACAACCTGAAAGACAAAATAATATGAATTGTGATTAGGATTATTAAAATAAGATTACAAACAACATTAGACTTTTGTTACCATTAGACTATTACAACGTATCTTTTACCAGTCATTATTATGATTTTTCGTGGGAAAAGATTAAATTGCAATCACGAAATTAAGGTGCTTCAATTGGGAAGAAACGAGTTGATTTAAATTAAGTTAACATACAAAAAAATGGATATCCTAAAAATCCTGTTTACCAAAAAGCATGTTAATAATCTTCTTCCTCTCACTTTCTCTTAATGACCTAATTGTTGATTAGTCTGTAATTATTCATCAAAATTACTAACATTATTATTATCATCATAAATATTAGGCCTTTCAATGATGTTGATACAAAAACAAACCTTATATTTACGATAACAATCAATTAACAGTCAACAAAAAAACAAACCATCAATTGAAGACAACATTGATCTTGAATGAATCTAATAGATAGTAACAGATCATTTATCATCATTGCTACGATTTGATTTTAATTTTGAGCTCAATTTGATTACAAGATTGAACTTTTACCATAAAAAAAAGTCAAGATTTATATCTAAACATATTTCAAAATCATCTAACTATAGATGTATAATATCAGTCTTGAAAAATAAGCTTTTGCTACTTTTAACGATTGTATCAAATCAGAATCAGACTAATATTGATCAGACAGCTAATAAATACTTACCAGAGGAATCAATTCAGCTGCTCCATTGAAGTTTCATTGATCTTTATAATAATCAATGGTGGTGTTGAAGATTTCAAACCTGAAGGCGTTTGAGTCACAAAAACAAGGCAAAGACATGATAAACAAACTGTACATTAAAATAGTATCAACAGGTTTCTTGACGGTTTAACATTTAATCATGCATAATTAGGAAATAATTGAAACAATTTAATGGTTTAAGTTTAATAGACACCATTTATTAACCATTGTTTGTGTTTGTTGAGTGGCAACAGCAAAAGTGCAGAATCATGTCAAATGTAAACAAGGGACGAGAGGGTAATTAATAAATTGCAGTTTGTACTTACTTTCCCTGTCAATACAGTCTTTCAATTGTTTAGTTATGCAAATTATACTTTAATTGAGGCTGTACTAATTGTGGCTAAATTAAATTAAATCAAGATGATGATTAAATTGATATTTAAAATAAAATTTTAATTTAACAAACGCAACATATTTTATTGTTGATCGGGAAGTGCAGAGTAAGTTACATCCATTTGAATTTATAATGATAAAAATGATTGCCAAGATTAATTGTAAACAAAATTTCCATCCAATCTATCATTTCTATTCAATTCAATTGACGTTATATTGAATGGATGATATTGATTCGGAAACAAAAGATGAATGATTGTTATACAGTTTTAAAGTTGTATCTTGTAAGCAAATCAAAAGAGTCTCAAAAAATATAAATTGAATTTGCAAATAATCACTGTTTTTATGATAAATTGTTTCCATTTCTTAAAATTATTTGGCCTAAATTAGTGAAATTAGGTCTGTGCTTGTTAAGATTTTAATTATGACCAAGAGATATTGATTTCAGTTGAAGTATCGATACAAACCAAACCGGCTAACCAGTGTTGGCTAAACACTAAACAAAGCCAAACCGATCAAAGATTATTAATTAATTTTTTACTTCAATTTTCGCATCTCAGATTAACATCGTTCATGACTAAAGCTGACCTCAATTAGCAGATTAACAATAAAAAACAATGGGTCAATTATTGCTGTATAATCACTAAGTTTAACCTTCCTGGTTTCAACTAAACTTGAATTTACTGATACAAATATATTGGGTTAGTCAAAAGATATGAAAGTCTTGAAATGCTCAATACAAGTACATCGTAATCTTTCGTTATTTTTGAATAATTTTCAACAATTAAATTAGTTTGAAGGGAATAAAATAAAATACCGAAAATTTGAGTCAAAATAACCGATATTTTGACTCATATCAGACCAAAACAATGAAGATCGGAATGATTCGTCTGTCTAAATTTTCCAGACTTCATTTTTTGTCGCAATAAATCTGGTCAATATCTGACCAGTAATCTGGTTCCTTCAACTCTTGACTCTTTTTAATAGCATTTTCATGAGCAATCACTCTATCATCAAAGTAAAATTTAATAATGAATAGTCTAATTTAGTGAGACTTCATCCATCACTTTACCCACCACTTAAGGTATGGTCAGTATAAGCTTCTTATTATGAGTTGAGTTGCCAATTGACAATAAGGTGTAAAAATTGATGGATAATTTGGTGAAAATATTCACATCTGCCTGAAACTAAATCTACATGAAAAAGAATGGAACTGAAATAATCAAAGATGGAGTTACATTTTGTTTGTTTAATAAATCGTCATCCTGTTTGTTGAATTGATTGATACATTTAAATTGATACAATTAAAGCCAGGATGGGTTGATTGGAATGAATGATAACTTGAAAGATTCATTTAATAATCGTAAATGGTTTGGATAATAGATTAGCTGAGTTTCATGTAAAAATTATCAGTGTCAGTATGAGGGAAGCAAAAAATAAAAGTCTTTTATATTCAAAATCAATTTGTCAGTGTTGATAAAAGAGTAGAAACGTTTAATTTGAAATGAGATCGATTTGTCTAAATAATTAATGGTTGTAATGCCAGAAAATAAGGTAAAACCAATTTATAATACATGTGAATGTTAAATGTTGAAGTTGACTGACGTTAAACTTATCAAGTTGTCCAAATTAAGATGAGATAGAAATGAAATCCTTTAGGATATCATAATGTTGATGATGATGATTAGTTGATGTTGAAATATTCATGATATGATTAAATTTTTTTTATCAAATTCATGTCCAGATCACTTGGCTGAAGCTATTTGGTTTGGTATTTACAGTTACAACCAGAAAATAAATGTAAACTTTAGGTGACTTTGATCCTTAATTGATTCCCAATTTGGTTGAAGGAAAGTGAATATCAGTCACTAATTTAAGAAACGTTTATAAGTCAATCCATTTTAATGCAGTCGTCTAAATCCTTAGGCTCAATAAGATTGTATCTTTATTGTATCTTTACTGTATCAATGTTTGTGTTAACTAATCGAACCAGAGATCAATTAAAGCTATCGATTTAGGTGAAATTAAACGGTTAATCATAAGCAATTTCATTGAATTTACATGAAAATACTTTGTGAAGAGAGAAGAGGAAATCATTTCAACGTTGGTTTCATTAGCACAGTTATGTTTACCAGACTGACAAAAGACATTGTGAGAAAAATTGAATCACTTGTCAGCTGATTTGCATCTTATGTTAAGTTGCTATTTAAATTGGTATATTTTAGTTGATTAACAAATTATCGATTTATGTAATTTGACACAACAGTCAGGCTTTTACGAGTCGACTGACATATCGATAAAATGAAGACACTCAAACATCGATAACTATCATCGAGATCGATAATATCGTCCACCCCTAATCCTTGAGAAACTGTTGAATTTACATAGTAATAAATAGTATTGCCATTTGCTATTTAATGATTTAAATTGTGTTTTATGTAATTTGTTGCTTTCCCTCTGCTTATTTGTCAGACTATTTGAACCTCACCAAATGAAAAAGTTAAGTACTTTGTGCAAACGACCATGAAAATAGTTGGTTGATAAACCTTTTGCCAATCAAACCCAATTTCTGGTTTGCCTTGGTGGATTCCCAGCGTGGAGATCTCTTCATTGTTCACTCGTCTCTATAAAAGTGTTTTCATACCGCTTTTAGGATCACTTTTTATTTTGTTTTTGTTCAAAATTACATTCTTATAATTCAGGATGAGTTCAACCATTGGTAAGGTAAGTATTCAACTTTGCATGCTCGACTTTCAGCCTCGGATACTTTTGATGTAACATTAACACTATTTTTCCTATGTTGATAGCCTATCAAATGTAAAGCTGCTGTTGCTTGGGCAGCAAATGAACCGTTGAGCATTGAAGAAATAACCGTTGACCCACCCAAAGCTGGTGAGGTTAGGGTTAAAATAGTTGCTTCTGGTGTTTGTCATACTGATTATTACACTCTATCTGGTTTGGATCCAGAGGGAAAATTTCCATGTATCATGGGGCATGAAGGAGCAGGTAATTTACATTTACTTTATTAATTTTAAAGACAATTTTGCAGCCATTATCTCATTCACTTGATTGTTATACAATATTAGATCATAATAGTTTACTGACAATCGATAATTGCCATTATCAACCACGCAGGTGGTTCAATACGTCAAGTTGATGGGTAATCCTTCAACATGTTGAATCTTTTCCTATTTTGTTGTAATTAAGATTATTTATTACACCATCATACATTATCTTCATGACCACACAATAATGGCAAAATTAACCTCATTTAAGGCGCTTACAGTTTAAAGGATGATTGGTCACTATTACTTTTTTACTACCTTTCTTTTTCGTTTTTCTTTCTTTTATCTGATCAGGTATCGTTGAGAGTGTTGGTGAGGGTGTAACAAGTTTGTCTCCTGGTGATTATGTAGTTCCGTTATATACTCCACAATGTCGAGAATGTAAATTTTGCAAGAACCCAAAGACCAATTTATGTCAAAAAATTCGTCTGACCCAAGGACAAGGGGTTATGCCTGATGGTACCTCTCGATTTTCCTGTAACGGTGTTACCGTTTTCCACTTCATGGGAACTTCTTGCTTCAGCCAATACACTGTCTTACCAGAAATTTCTTGTGCTAAAATCAGTAAAGATGCTCCTTTAGATAAAGTTGGTCTCTTAGGCTGTGGTATTCCCACTGGGTATGGAGCAGTTTTAAATACTGCCAACGTTGAACCGGGAAGTATTTGTGCTGTGTGGGGTCTTGGTGCAGTTGGTCTAGCTGTGGGTCTTGGTTGTCAAGCTAGAAAAGCCTCTCGAGTTATTGGAATTGATATCAATCCTGATAAGTTTGAACCTGCAAGATCATTCGGTTTCACTGAGTTTGTTAATCCAAATGATTATCCTGATAAAACTATTCAAGAAGTGCTTTTCAACTTGACTGATGGAGGTCCTGACTACACATTTGAATGTATAGGAAATGTTCACACCATGAGAGCAGCATTTGAATCAGCCCACAAAGGTTGGGGCGTTTCCGTAATAATTGGTGTTGCAGCAGCAGGTAAGGAAATCAGTACCAGACCCTTCCAATTGGTTACCGGACGAACATGGAAAGGAACTGCCTTTGGAGGTTGGAAAAGTCGAGATGCTGTTCCAAAATTGGTTGAAGATTACCTTGCTGGCTCATTGAAGGTAGATGAATTCATTACCAGAGAGTTACCATTCGAAGAAATAAATGAAGCATTTAATCTGATGAAAGAAGGCAAAGTTCTGAGAGCTATGGTCAGGTTGGATTGAACATCATTATAAAAAATACTTTTAAATATTTTATCCAAATAAATTTTCCTTCATTAACAAAACGTGAATTTAATAAATATCCGATACCTAATCAGAAAAGTTAAATGCTTTCATTCCTGTTGATTCAACTAACTAATCTTAAAACTGTTGAAAAGGGGAACGGCTTTTTCACCACATTTCCACCCTCCAAATCCAACACATCCACCACTTTTAAAATAAACGTCAGATTTATACTGATCATATCCGAAAAGTGATGGACAATGCGCTGGAAGTTGATCCCTTTAACAAGCTACATATGACCAGTGCGGTTTAAACGAGATAACCACGTAGGTAAACTAACGCGGTTAGTGGTCACGCTGCACTGAATGGTTTAAAAGGTCATTACACACTCTTTAAGTTGTTCAAAAGACATAATTTAATAGACTTATGGCAGGTTGTATTTTTTATACATTTGATATTATCAATTTATCATTTCTCATTAGTTCAATCATTGTTAGGTATAAATTATGTGCTAACAATAAAAAGATCAAACAAATAATGCAAATCCTCTTCTTAATTTGTCTAGTAGTAGGCATTAAAAAAAGAGAATAGAAAAAAGTTATTTTTGTGTGAATGAATCCATAGAAAAGAGTACAAGCTCACAAACAATTATAAATATAGAAATTAAGAGATGTTGGAGAGACCGACTTCTGTAGTTATTAAATTTTTTTATCTAAACCAATTCTGGCCGTGAACGATGATGCAAGTGAGTTGAAGATGTCGGTGAAGGTGATGATGAAGATGAAGATGATGGTGAAGTTACCGCTGTCACAGTTGATGAAGAAGGGGATGAGGTGGAGGAAGATGCAGATGATGATGGTGATGACCCAATAGTAACAGCAGAAGTGGTATTTTTTGTGGTTGGAGAGGATGAAGATGAGACTGTAGTAACGGTAGATGGGATTGCATTTGAATCGTTAGTTGTGACTATGGGATTGATTTGTGAAGTTTGATAATGCTGGCAAAGAGGATGGTGATGGTGATCATCATTTGTTACACTATTACTATTAGCGATACAACCAGGATTATTATTATTGATGTTATTAGTACTGCTGCTGCTAGAATGGTTAATATTACCACTATTATTACTGTGAATGGAGTTACTAGTAATATTATTACTGCTTATACTGTTGTTATTGGTGTTGCTAATGCTTGTACTATTAATTGAACCACGAGAAGTGAATGAAGTCATTTCTAATACATTATCACAATTGTCTTGAGGACGAAAAGCTGTCATATTAATCAATGTTCCTGAATTTTGACGGAGATTATTAGATACAGCTCGGTTGAATGTGTCCAAGATTGCCGATGATCCTGAAACATGATGAGCTGACGCTGTTTGTGGATACAATTGATTTGGAATGGTACATGATATACGAGTTAAAAGATGGCATCGTTCATTAAAAGATCGATCACTTCCATGTCCACTGCGACTGGGTCGACTACCTAAATTTAATGATAATCAGATAAAATTATTACATCAGTTGAGGCTTAAAAATTAATGTTTAATCAAAAAGGGATGGGTAAACATTTACTGATTAAATGGTGAGATAAACTAAACGTTAATGAATAGAGTTGGTAAAAAAATTCTCAATTATTATTTAAATATTATTTGAAATAAAAATTGGTCTACAGTAAAATGAAATTGATTATTGCAAAAAATTAAAAAACACAGCGCAATATAAGATAATGATTTCAATGTTTAAATATATTTTTTTGAAAGTCTGAAGGTGTGTAACAGATTTACAGCTGATATAGTTTGCCAATAACGATTATATTTAATTCTTGTCAATTGGATAAGAAAAAACTAACAAAAAATGATCCAAATTAAGATTAGCCAGCATTAAGTTGAAAGTTTTCTTTGCTAATTTTGATGCTAACGGCTTAGATTTATTGAGCAAGATTAAATTATATTTTTATTTTGTAAACCATCTTCAACGAAAAACAAAAGTAATAAAGATCGCATTGAATTTGAGCAAAGTTAACAGCATTAAACTTAATCGATCTCACGGTTTAAATTTTGATCAAAATCGAAAACAAAAATTTAAATAATTCAGTTTTTTGGTAAAATAATAGTAAAGAAGAAGATATTGCTGATTAAATGAATATCTTCCAAGCATATAAATAAACAAGTTAAAGGACAAAAAATTTTCAACTAACTGAATGTTACACTTTGCTTGAAAAAGTTTAAAAATCAAAATCAAATAAAGTTAACCCGAAGCAATGAAAATCAATTATATTGAAGAAACTTTGATGGATCAGAATTGAAACATTGAGTTAAATCAATGCATGAGTTTCTGTCCATTCACAATACGATAAAGGACAATATGTTGTGAAAGGTGATTGATTAAAATAAAACTGACCTCCTCGACTTCTATCGAAAGCGTATCTGTCTTGAATTCGTCCAGCTCGACAGGGTGGGACGGAGTTGAGTGGCCTCATCATCAACTCTTCTTGATTAACTTCTTCTTGACAGGCTCGTCCACTTGAACAGCCTTCACGGCATCGAGTTTTAAAACGATTCCAAGCTGATAAAATTGCTGACTTGAAAGTATGAAAGCTCAATGGTTTACCAATTACAGAACAATATTGTGGATTTGTTTCACCAAAGGAGGTTATTAAAGGTGATACATAAATTGGATAACCAATGGGTTGATCACAAGAGGAATTGATTATGTTCCTCAAAGCTTGTTTAGCATTTTGAATTGACCCACGCTCATTATTACGATTCCTTAAATAAACCAATTCTTGTTGCTGTCCTGCCCATAAACCACGAACACATTCGCGATTTACCTAAAAAGAATCGATATTTTTAGTTACAAAAACGATACAAATATTTAAAACTTAATAATAATTTAACTTACCTTAATTACTCTGAAACTGAGATGCCTTCTATTAAGCATAATTATTTTATATTGATTGGTACCATCTTCAGTGACATGACGCAAGGCAAGAAGATAAGGAACATTTGAAAGAAGAGCATTTCTCCAGATTGGATCAGCTTCGTGTGAAATAACCCAATTTTGTCGATAACTAGAGATTGATGCCCAGAGAACAATATTGTCGTCATATTCATCAGTTGACATGAAATGATCAGCATGAAGTTTTACAGCCATTCGAACACTCGGAGCAATTACTTTTTTGAGAAGGTCAATATCTTTAAAAACCCATTCATCACGAGGAGAGGTAATCCTAAAATCTCCCTTGAACAGCGAATGTAAACCAAAAAGAAGAAACTCGACAGTATTAAATGAGTTATTGTGAGATGCAGCACTGAGAGCTCTACGTGCCAACAATGAAAGAGCAAAACAAAGAGATACAACAGCTTCTTTATCCTGAGCATCTTCGATTACGCTTTTTCGTCTGGTCAAACAGTATTTAATCCAGTTTAGGTAAACTTGACAAAAGCTTGCACGATTAATACCAGATGCTCGGAAATCATAATCCTCATCAACAGATAAATTAAATACGGGATCTAAATCAACAAAATCTCTATCATTTGTAAGACCATCAATCGTTTCCCTGATGCCTTCATTTCGTAGCCATGTTTCTAGTTTACTGCTGACAATAGTATAATATATGAGAGATTTAACATAATATGTGATCAAAGCTTTCCTCAATTCCAATGGTTGTAACATAGATATAGCTGAGTTATCCGAGATTGAGTATCCTTCGAGCACATATTTACTGTGAGTAACTTCCCAGGCAAGCCACCTTTGATTGAATGCAGCATTAACTGAAAGCATTGAGGGTAGATGACCGGGTTCACAGCAACAGCAACCCTCATCATCATTAACAGGTTCACTGATGGCTTCAACCTCTCTTTGTTGGCAGTATGTTCCCCTAAATTCAAGTCCACGAACTTGAAAGGTAACCAAGCCATTTCCAAGTTCAATTATATGCACCAAACAGTTGAGATTATCACTTGCTAAAACAAAACAATCACCTTGTGAAACTTGACCCCATCGTCCAAGAGCCAGATCTCCAAAAAGTGAATGTTGAAGAGAACGTGTTAGGTGTTCATAAAAGATGGAATTAAGGTTATTATCATCACTGCCGATAATACTACGCTCCAACTGGTTTACAAGACGAGTATTTATATAATCAATGCGTTTTGTATTGTAATCTCTTTCCCAGAATTTGACTGGCCTTACATAAGAACAAAGAAAAATGGCACTACCCAAAACAGGTTCTAATGGAGATGAAAGGATTGATGAAAGGATAGCTTGGATGAAAAGCATTCCTGAGTGGGGCACTGAAAAGGGTTGAGCAAAAGCATGGAATGCTGATCCCCAAGAGATTTGCCAAGGAGCGACATACGTGATAACGAAACGAATTTTCAATAGAAGCTCTGTAAACTTGAGGTAAAAGGTTGAAAAAACAGCATAATTGACGAGAAATGGTTCTCTGAGGTAGGAGAGATCGTAATGAAATGTTAACCATGTAAAGAGCAGAATGAAATGATTATGCGATGAATCATTGTACGTAGATCGGATGGATTTAAAAGCACATATAACCATGATGAGAGTTCCTGAGCTGTAAAAACAAATAATTAGATTAAAAGATTTGTACTTTCGACATTGTCTACTTTCGAGAGTAGGGAAACTTACTAGACGCCATATTTATTGATAATTTCGGGAGTATCTTTTGTCAAAATACTTAGAAAGACGCATGGATAAATGGCATTTCTTTCAATAAAACCGAGCCAACATTGGAACTTTTCGAACCACATTAGTAGGGCTTCTTCTTTAACCTCATATTGATCGTACTCTTTGGGCTTCAAGATAGGTGATGCAAAAAACTGCCAAGGCAACTCTTTACGGAAATGAGTAAAAATATAGTGCAAAACAAAGCCCCAAGAAACAGCTAGAATGCTTAAGGACATTTGAACGTAAGGTTGTAGGGTAAAAATAGTGCTAACATGAATAGCGAAGAATATTATGGTCATCAAAATGGCTAGAATCACATCATTTTCTAGTCGAGTCAAAAGTATTTTTTCCAACTTCCCTGGCAAAGGATCAACATATTCTTTCTGAATAGGATTTCCATCTTCGTCATCTTCTTGGCGAGCATCAATATCGTTTGATGGGTTTGATGAATTACCAATGCCCCTATTTGCTTGATTTTTTGACTTTTGGTTCAATGATAATCCCCCACAAATTATATATCTACGGATAAGGCTAAAGACAATCGTTGGGTCACTAGTTTGTCGACTCATAAAGTAAGCGAAAAACACAAGGAGACTACAGAAGATAGAAAACAATACATCATAATCATGATAAGTCAAAACTGTCGAAGCTCTTTGACGATTTGTAACTCGAAGTAATGATGTGAGTGCGATCGCATAGAGAATAAGAACAATAGAAATACTCCGTATTATGCAATAACAGGCAGATGTTAATCCAGTAGTGAAAGCAGTTCCGCCGAAGACATGAATATCAATCTGTTCCATGGTATACATCAGAAAAGTATTGATTTGAGGTAAAAGTCCAAATGAGAAGATAATCGGGAAAGATAGAATGCAGATTTTGGCTCCTTCTTCAATAGCACGAATAACCGACGGATCCATAAAATTGAAATCATAAAAATTTACAGAGTATTTTAAATTGTTGTCCAGATAGTAACGCGACAGCAAAATAATTGAGCAAACAATTGAAAAGTAAATCGGACGACTGTAAATAATGATACGATTGTATCCATGGGCTGGTGACGCTGCATCAGGTTGAACACTTTTTAAAAGTGTATATTGTGAGGAACAGATGACTAAGCAAAATATGAATAACCAAAGATCCGTAAAAAAGCCTTTTTCTATAATTATTGATCCAAGAACAGCTACTAATACAGCTAAGAATATGGACGAAATCAATTCGAATCGAGTCAAACTTCGGTCCAGCAAAGTTAGTAAATTTAAGCGATCAAAACGTATTTTCACGTATCTCCATTGAAAACAAGGTGGAATCCATAATTTGTAATATTGTTTCGGCTTGGCAGGAGAAATGAAATCATTATATCGAATTGGTAATCGGAATGAAAGATTAGCATATTCTGGACTATTGAGATTGGTGGAGAAGCTGACATGACGATCAGAAGTAATAACTATATTTGGACTTGAACCAAATCGAGGGTTCATTGACATCGGGAATGAGATTGCATCTGTAAATAATATACAAAAAAATGAGTTATTAGATTTATAAGATTAAATTCCAGCAAAGGTGAATTTCAAGATTTGAAGATTTTGAATGAAAAACTTTACTTGTTTCTGTAAACATGGAGTTTATGCTTGGTGATCGTAAAAATTGTGTTTCAAGTTGCGGAGAAAAAGTATTATTTATTGAGCATTTTTCTCCTATTGCAAGCCTTTGGTGCTGAGTATTGCTTTTTGAACCACTTTCGGGGTGAGTTTTTTCCATCACAGTGAGTGAATCTGATGAATCTGAGGATTCAGATGAGTCTGACGCCCATTTATCAGCATTTGATCGGTTAGAAGGTAAACCAGAGGCTGAGGGTATGTCAGCGAAATAAGGTTTACTCTCACTATTCACTAAGGTTTTAGCAGTTCCGATACTGTTTTCATCGAATATGTAAGTTAACCAAGTACCACATTCATCCTGGAAATAAATTAAAAAGCTAATAATGGTAAGAAAAGATTTTGTAAAATATAGAAAAAAAGAGATGCACCTGAAAACAATGAACAGCTCCAGTTGATGTATCATCATTACTTCTTGCTAAATGAGTTCCTGGTGTTGCTAATATTCTTGCCAAAAGATAGCTTGGTGGTCCATCGACAGATTTGACGGATGTTGGTGAGGAAGGAACTATCGCTTGACTTGTTGACGGAGATGGTAAATCATTTGCTGCAAGAGGCTGATAAACTACAACTGATGTTCCTGGTATAACTCCGTTCTCTGAATTATTATTTGCACGTATAGATGATTTTCCTGAATTGATGCGATTAAGCTTTCTAGATGTTGATCCCTCTATTGAGTTTCTAGCACTTTTGTTTGACAGACTGTGTTCGTGTTGATTAGCAACTCCATTACTATGAACATAAATATCACAAACTTTAGAAGTGTCTGATGAAGTTTCCATGTTAAGTGTTTTACTGGCTTCATCAAAAGATTGGTAGCAGATACTACTTTTATCACCTTCTTTCTCATCGACTTTGTCCCCACCACTTTCATCATCATCAGGACTCGTAGTTTCTTCTTCCACTACGTACTCTCCGGAATCAAATAGATGATGCAAATATGCGTTAACCAATTTTATTATAGTGAATATGGAAGCTATAATGAGGCAATAGAGAGACCATACTAATATATGATCTTGACTATTTAGATAACTTTTAACACAAAGCTCTATGGCCAAAGGAAGACACAACAGCAATAACCAAATGTATAGATGAAAGAGGTTGGAAAAATGTGACTGTTTTTGATCATAATACCATCCTCCAGTGAGACTAGCCCAAACACCTTGTCTTAAAATGGACAGCAATTGACTTCCCATGGTGTTTTATCAGGTACAAAAAACTTAAAGAACGGTATTTAAACAATAAATAAACAAAAAAAAGCAACAAAATTATTGACTAAAAATGTTTCGTCCTTTAAGAATGCCCTTTTTTATGATAAAAAATGATAACACTTTCAGCTGAATTTTTATCACATTGTTGAACTAATCGCATTTGAATTTCCATGATATGTAATTTTCAACAGCATTATGACAGGCAACAGAACTTCACGAGGCAACAATAAGAGCTAAATCGCAATTAGTCTTTAATATAACTCTTTTAATCACCTGATCAGCTTCACTAATATTAACACAGATTTTAGAGGCTCCCGGCTTTCTAGTCATGAAGTTAAAATGTACTTTTCACATGGTTGATTCGACTTAGAATGGTCAATCATTTCATAAAAGATTAACTATAAATCATACATACTTTAAATAGTCAATCTAATAACAACAACATAGTAAACAAAGGTTTTAGAGATACAATTCAAATAAAAAATCACTCATTAAAAAGGAGAATATCATTGGTTATTGATAACCGGTTATTTGGCTAAAAAAGTAACCAAATATAGGTATTATAACCAGTTGCTTGACTCGGTTAAAAAATAACCAGTTATTTTGGGGTTTCAATGCAAAAGGAATGCAAAAGAAATTCAGTTAAATTTTCATAATTAAGGTGAAATAATTAAAGAATAGTCTTTATTAATCAAATCATAGAATTATTTACTCTGTTTATCAACACAGGTAAGATGACAATTTATCTTCAACTTGTACTTACAAACATATCGATATCCAAATACTCAATTCGAAGTCGGATCCAAGTGATTTTCAATAAACTTCATTGAGGTTTTCCCATGTTTTTCACAAAATCAAAAGATTCTAATGGAGGGTAAAATTAAACAAGAACCTGGAATCGAAGAGGTTGAGAACACCGAATTACTCAACTTTAAAGATCAGTTGTATGAAATTAAATGTGCTAAACTTTCAAAACGGATTGCAGAATATAAATTGGAAAATGAAAAACTTGTTCAACATATATGTGAGATTAAGAAATTGATAGACGATTATGGCAAACAAAAAAGGTATGTTATTGTATTAATTTATTAACTACTGATCTAGCTTATTAGATTACTCAGCTTTCGAAAATTGAAATTATTTAATCTTCGATACCAAATACCAAATTAAAACATTGTGCAATTAGTTCAACCCAATAGAATAATATTTTTATTTTTGATCAAATTTGATTTTATGCTGGAATTTCATTTAAGAATATTTGTTCAATTTTTCAAGTTCTAGTCTTCTATATCATCGATTAAATTCCCATAAAACAATGTTTTTTTTCCATTTAACATGATACTCTCAGTATAAATTTGGACTCTTTCAATGTCAATTGACTGAAGTAGTGCAGATATTTTATTGATTACTCGCAAACTAAAGAAGTACAGTTTAATTTTGTATTTTATCATAGATCTACGTGAAGAGACTGCGAGGGAAGAGAAGTGTTTCATTAATTCTCAGCTTGGTGCTTTTGCGAACAATCCATAAGTGAGGTTGTAATTCTTCAAATGGCTGAATTGCAACTCCTTGCCCACGAATCCAGAAAATGTCAACATCCGATAATCTTGCATGCATTCAACAGCTATTGAGCTCTGTTAAAAAAAGAGAAAAATTAATATCTTGATTAGATTCAATAAAACCAAAAGTAAAGGATGATAACCATTAAAGATAATCATTAAGCAATAACTTGTTTCAATTTCTAATTGAAAGAAATGGGAATTATCATCATCATCATATTATAATATTTTGTTGAGTTGTTAATGAATAAACCGTTTGGAAGACTTTCTGGTATTGTCATTATGTATATAATTGATAGATTATTCTAGCATTAACAACTATTAATGCATTATCTTAGCTAAAAGGTCTTTCCATTAAACCAATAGGTTATCCAACGAAATTAATTAATTGATTGAATTCCTAGATCAAATTATCTGATGGGTAATCTACCACAACGGAAACAATTTACAATCAAGACAAGAATGTAGACTCACTTCATTAGCGAATAAAGTCAAGGTAAATTTTCCAGGACTGAAGATTTTGAGAAGCCGGGAGACCAAATCATAATAATTTGCTTGAGGATAGTTAGTTTCAAAGCTAACATATGAACAATGCGGCTCTGGAGTGATGTGGATCGTCATGTAATAGTCCTGATGAGGGAAGAGAAGATTTCATTTAATTATCGCGATGAATCAAAAAAATGTAAAAGCTTATTTTAGAACATGTTTGGTTCTATGAGAAATTCAACCATTTTCAAGATGCACAATCAACTCTTGAGATGGCCTTATCCGAGAAGATCATAGAAGCAATTTGAAGAGGATTAAGAGTGTTACTTGTTTTACAAATGTAATCTTTCTTTCTGTTTAAATAAACTAATACATTTGAAAATGGTCAACTGCTAGGAAATTTAAAATAATTAGTTAACTTACGCCATTGATGAGACCATTCATAGAGTAACCACAAGGTTTAAAAAGAAAGTCGTCAATAACCATTCCAGGAAGCAATTTGTCAATACCAGATCGAGAAGTTGCTTCTTTAGCCGTTGAGCAGACCTCTCGAGTAAATAATTTCATGACCTTTGGATCCAAGTTTTGCATTATTATCTCCAAAGTTTGATCAGGTCCTTCAATCATTTTTAATGGTTCGATTTGATTGAGAGTAAACAAAAACCAGCAATCACGATTTATCGGACCCATACAATAAGCTGCACCATTCTCGAAATAATTATCCAAGTACTCAACTTCATCATAAAAAGAGCTGTGAGGTTTAGGTTGCAATTCAGGTCGAAGGAAATTTTTTCGCGAATAAAATATGTCCAATACTTCATCGAATCCAGTAAATTTTTTAACCAAGTAAAGAAGTGGCTCAATACAATTGAATAAAGTAGTGGTACCACAAGTTTTCAAAATAAATCGATTCTTTGAGACGAACATTGAGCTTTCCGAGAGAACGTACGCATCGAGCTTGTCATTTTTCTTGAAGCTAATGATTTCACAGTTTGCCAGGGACAATAAAGATTCCCAAGCTGTTCGAGGGATCAAACGAAGGTCACAATTAGTTGCACCAGAATTTTTTTGAGATGAGGTTTCCGAGTCGAACCATATTTCCAGCAGCTTCTCAGTTCCCTCAAAAAAATGACAATAATCTTGCTTTTCATCCATTTTTTAGCACAATTTTTTCTTGAAAAAGGCTTTTATTGCACCGGTTAATCAATCAAAAATATCACTTATATCACTAAAAGATTCCCTTGAATAGAATCTTCGATAACAATAAATAAAATAACAGAAATTGAGTCAATAGACCAAAAACAAGTGAAGGAGAGGGCGAAAAAATAGAACAAAACTCTTTAGTTACTCTTTGGATGAATTTCAAAGATGAATGAATAATTGAGATCACAGATACGCAGTTTATGATTAAGTTATCAACAATAAAATCAAAATAAAAGAGATCAAGAATGAATTAAAAATGACTAACAAAAGGAATGATTAAACATAATCAACCGCTTTGTCCAAAATCAGGAATAAAAACAATCAATTTTAAAAGTAGCAAAGCCAGTGGTTGCCAGATAAGGGGGGATGAAGGGGATAACAATTTAATGCATTTTGTATTCTTGCGCTGACTCCATCTATCAAATTGAAAGGAAGACATTGCAATTAGACGAAACAATTTGTTTCCCAAAATGTTATTTACACAACTAACGAGTATGGCCAAAACCTTTATTTTAGAGTCAAGAATAATTTGTGAGATTGTCGGGTATAAAACCTGAGTCCATTAATGTCAGATCTGGAGATTAATGGCATAAATGGACTCAGCTTTTATGCTTCTACTAACCCACAACGTCTCTACTCTTAACCTTAAAGTCAAAAATGTTTGCCCATTTAATTGTTACAAAAATTTTGATTTGTCACTCAATTTGCCATTCAAGTTATGTTTACACACTAACCATTAATAATTAGTGAGTAACCACGAATTCTATGTTAAATAGACGATTAGTCTGTTTTTTTCAAGAATACAATGTAATAACAATTAAGAATTACAACAACAATCGGCATTTTTATCTTTACTGAGAAACTGTTTGATGTTTACCAAAATGGGTTTCAATTTTGTGGCGATCTCAGATAAAATTGATTTTACCTTATTGTAATCATTTAAAGGTTTCTGATTGCCTTTCCTTTACATTGATATTTTATTTTGATAAAAAACAACTTCCAGGTTTGGTTAAATTGTATTTCTCTAGTTATGTTTTCAAATATTGAATCTTTATATTGAAAATACTGAATTTATTTTTATCATAAGAAATTTGAGTAATTTTACAAGGAATACATGATTGTTAAGAAAATTGAAAGGTTAGAGGAAAATGCAGAAGGTGTAAATTAATAGTCGTCTGTATTTGAAAATGAATAAGAGTAATTCAATACTTTGCCAGCTGGATTAGTCCACAAGCAATCGCAGGACCCGAGTTACCAGTTCTTTTGCTTTCCGGGTCGCCACTTCGTCCCAAGTCATCTGGTTTTTCAGTAATCTTTCAGAATGATAATGAAAAAGATAATGAAAATCGAGATAGATTTAGTTTTTGGGTGAAATTGAAACTACGAGGAAGATGGCTGTTAAAACTTACCACAATGGTTCGGTTTAGAATAGAGTAGCCTCCAATTAAGCTGATTATTTGATCATTAAGATCAAAATAAGTGACTCCATCTCGATCAGCAAATATATTTCCCAAATCACCAATATGACGAACCCAATCGTGTTTGCCTCCGTGTTCAGTTTTCTGTGGGTTATAATGATCACCTGCAGAGGAACAATCATTTCCAGTCAGAGGTTTCTCCAAAATATGCATACCATGAGCACCAGGAGGAAGGCCCAAAATTTTTCCACGAATAATTACATTATTATTGTCCTGTTGTCAACCGGTACGATAAAAATCAATGAAAATATTGAAGGGTTAGTATTTATATCATTTACAACTTGTCTTGAAGATCTTTAAAACGGATTCTTACTTCTTGTTCAAAACTGATTGATCCTGTTATTTTATTTTCAGATCCTCTAATATCGGCAATACCACGAGCAATCCTGTTCCTGTGATATGAATAAGGATGACCTGTTGTTGGGAAATAATAAGAAGGAGGAAAGACGAAATTTGGATACCTTGGAACCCAACCTATGCCATTATCAAAGGTTGCCGTACTATCAGCAAAATTGGCTGGACCTGGAAGATCATATTTAGCTTCAAAAGCTGATAGAGGTGGCTGGGCCGAGAAAGGGCTCGCAGATAAAAATGATGATTGAGACGGATTTTGTGATTGAGAGTTGAATGGTGAATATTGAGAGACACCAGAAGATGATAGAGAAGAAGATGGTAATGAAGACGAAGACGAAGACGAAGGAGGAGAGGGAGAAGGAGGAGATGAAGAAGAAGAAGAGGATGAAGATGGAGATGGAGATGGAGAAGTGGGAGAAGAAGAAGAAGAAGAAGAAGAAGCTGAAGAAGGCGAGGAAGGCGAGGAAGAAAGGGAAGGAGGTTGGGGAGGCATTGATAGTGAAAGTGAAGGTAATCCTGGTGTTGGACCAAAGGGTGATGTTGACGATGAAGGAAACGGTTGAGGTGAGGGATAAGCCGAAGGTGGATAACCTATTGGATAAATATGAATTAGTTGATAATCCAATCGATTGGCTTAAAGCATACCTTGTGGGTTGATTTTCCAATAGTTATTGTGATCAGTCATTTGAACAGGTGGATTCATCGGTTGTCTGTTTGGATCAGAATATTGTCCATTGTAAGGATTATTGTATTTTAAACCAAAATTGAGAGCATTTCCAAATCGATATCCATAGCGATTAACTGAAGACCAAAAATATGATGGACAATAAAAAAGGTGAATTATAAACACAGAAACAAGGTTGATTCTTACTTGATGTGGATGGATAAGGATAACCATAATATTGACCATATACTGAAGATAAATAACAAACAACTAAATGAAGGGTGAAACAATTCGTAACCTTAACCAGTATTGATTTGTCCATTTCAAAATGAATTTATGATAACTTTAGTTAGTAAAAAAGGATTGACCAGATGTATCAAAAAGTAAGGTATCAACTCTAATTACAACTAAATCAAATCACAAAATGATCTAATGAACCTGAAGTTGATGTGCTATGATACATAAAGAGAGGGAAGCCCTTGCAATGGCAAACCATTCATAAGGTGACATCCTCATCCTCCTCGTCTTTACATTATTTTTGATTGGCCTGAGTGAGTTTCAATGAAAAATCGAGTAACTGTATCATCATAATTTAATCACAATAAAAGGTTAACATGAACATTAAGGTAAACTTCAACTTTATTGGATTGGCTAATAAACATTTTATTTCATTTGAATGTTCAATTGAACAATGTACAGTTAGTTGTCCATCACAAACTCAGCAACAATTTATAAATAAAAAAAGGTCATGTAAAATATGAAAAATTTACAGAAAACTGAATCGGTTGGGTTAATTTAGACCAAATTATTGAAATAATGATTCATTCAACTTTTATCCTACCTTGAATTTTTATAGTTTTACATTTAAATATTAAATCGTCAACTTTTGTTAGGCTAATCAAAGTTCTGTGATTCGTAAACTGATTCTTCTTTCTCATATTAACTGATTAGTATCTCAAACTGGTTTAAATTTTTTGGTTTTTTTAGTTATTCATTAAAAATGATACAAAATCAATATCAACATGATCTTGAGGCTCTTTCTCATTCATTAGATTTTAACAATCAATGGAACCGACTTTTTTCACCACAATGAGTTGATTTAATTACATGATGAACCATTCAACCCGATTATTTTATGATGAAAGTCAAAGATGAAAATACTCTGAATTAAATGCAGTTTCGCTCATTAAATCATAGCTAACCAATTTAAATTTAAACATAGACTCCATTAATAATACCCGATGTTTCAGTCCAACTTTTGTCTTCAAGTTATTTCCGCTTAAAATTTTTTAAAACTGGTTTTTGTTACCTTTTCAAGTTTACCTTGAAAAGTTGCCATTTCCGATTTGGTCAGTTCAATCTTTCATTGACTCAAAGTTAGGTTTACTTTTGTCTCTTTGTCTTTGTTTATTTCAATCCAAAACTTTACACCTTGTTCTTAACTCTTTATTTCTATTCACCTTATTTTTTGGAATGGATAGAAATGATTTTAACTCCGATAAAGGTTCGTCATTATTAATATTTTTGATTAATCTTTTTATCGAGTTACTTGTTTGTTTGTTTGTTTTTAGTTACAATAAGAGTTAAAATATCGGATGATGATTACCTTGATATGCTTTTTGATTGGTCAAAGATCCATACATATGATGTGGATAAATCAATATTTGAACAGGTAAATGTTCAATCAAGTGTATTGGCATTTGTTGATGATTAATTTTTTATCATTCATAGCTTTCAGCGTTCACAGGGATACAAATTGAAGCAGTAAGAGGGATGGGTTTGAGGAATCCCGGTCCGATAGATGATCCGCAGACGTCCACAAGTATTTCAAACCCGTGCTTTAATAAACCGTAATCTATTTCTTATACAATCTATTTTATAATTAATTTGTTAAAATGGACTAATTTATCTATCATGTATTGCACAGATGGTTTCAAAGGTTACGGTTAGGTTATCGTGTACGTGACTATCCAGAGCTATTTTCGATGAGGGATGGTGATTGCTATCGACTACATGTCCCGACAGCATTTGTTCCTGATTTGACCTGCATTTTCGTTACCTATGAATTATTGCATCAAGATTTGGTTGATGAAACTGAATGTAACGAATTCTTTTGCCATTCAAAAGGTAGCAGAGTCTTTTTGGATAAATTAGCGAAAGTGGTTAATTCTGATATCGATTCATATCTGAATAATTTACCTGATCGTCCAGGACCTAATGTTATACCAGGCACTCAAGTCCTGAATTATGATGAAGAATGGCAGGATAGATATGATTTGAAAGTACAGGAAATATGTAGGGATCTGAATATTGGACAATATTTGCTACCTTATTGTCCTGCAAGTGTTGGTTACGATATATTACCACAAAGACGCTTTCCTCGTCTCTATTGTAGGAATCGAGGTTGATCGACTCTGATTGATGAACCAAATTTTGAATTCATTTTAATAAATATGCGATAATTTCCGTCAATTTAATCGAACAAGTTATGTGATTGACAATCAATTTTATACTTTACAATTTTATGATATTATTTTGAACTGTTCTTGATTAGTTTCTTCATCCAATAATATTCACGAATCTCAGCCTCATATTTAGGTCTAGTGAGGCTGTGACTATTTCGTAAACTACAACTGTAATTAAATTGCTGACTTTTAAAAGTTATTGCAACTTATCAGCATTAAAAAAATAAAGACCACAAAATTTGTAAAGTCAAAGATTGCGCTAAAACACGAGCTCGTAAAGATAGCAACTATCTTTTCAAGGATCGGATCCATTTTTTCAGCCGTTTCACGGTAAACCCTGAACTCAAAGTATTAGTTATAACTGGTTATGTTTATTTGTTTTATCAAAGTTAGAGGATGAAATGGAGGGAGATAAAGCCCTGAATTTTCGTATTATAGCTAAATGCCCGAAGACTCGTGCTAGAAGCTCACATCTTACTCTTGCTGCAACATCACCTTATGGAACTCAAACTCTAGTCAAGACACCAGTTTTTATGCCGGTAGGCACCAATGGCACCCTTAAAGGATTATTACCTGAACAAATCGAAACTTGTGGATGTAACATGATGTTGTCAAACACTTATCACTTAGCGTCTCGACCAGGATCAAAAATTGTTGTTGCTGCCGGCGGCTTACACAAATTTATGAATTGGAAGAATGGGTTATTAACTGATTCCGGAGGATTCCAAATGGTTTCTCTGTCTAAATTGATGAAGCTCGATGAAAATGGGGTCATTTTTACATCACCCTATGATGATTCAGTGGAAACTACCCTCACTCCAGAAGGTGCAACTGCCATTCAACACGAAATTGGTGCTAATATAATTATGCAGTTAGATGATGTGATTTCTTCTACACATTCCGATCATGATCGTTTTGTGGAAGCAACACATCGAACTATTCGTTGGTATGACCGATGTAAAACCCAGCACAATGGTTATGAAGCGAAACAAAATCTATTTCCGATTGTCCAAGGTGGTCTAGATCCTGAATTGCGAGCGTTTTGTGCCCAAGAAATTGCGGCTCGTGATCCTCCAGGTATTGCCATCGGTGGACTTAGTGGAGGCGAGTGTAAGTCTGATTTCATCAAGATGGTTGCTTGTTCAACGGAAAATCTTCCTGAAAATAAACCAAGATATCTTATGGGTGTTGGATTCGCAGTTGATTTAATCTTGTGTTCTGCTCTGGGTGTTGATATGTTTGATTGCGTTTATCCGACTCGTACTGCCCGTTTTGGTTGTGCCCTAGTTGGCTTGGGAATCAAAATAAATCTTAAATGGGCCGTTTTTCAGAATGATACTTCAGTTATTGAACCTGGCTGTGATTGTTATGCTTGTGTCAATAATCACAAGCGATCTATGATCAATCATTTACTGAAAAAAAGAAATACAATCGCTTGTCATTTAATAAGTCAACATAATGTTAGATTCCAGATGAGATTTATGAATAAAATTAAAGATGCCATTGCATCGGGAGATTTACCAAAGCTGATTTTGCAAACTTTAGATCAACACTACAAAACACGCGAAGATTATCCTGATTGGGTATTGACTGCTCTTGAGATTTTAAAAATAGAAGCCTGAACTCAATATATTTTGATGCATTCAAATGAGTCATCTTAATTGTCCCATTACTTATCGCAGATAAAATGACAATAGTTTTGCTATGCTTTTTACATTTTACATTTTGTATTTTTGTATTTTTGTTTTGACTTACCTAAACTTTAGTTTGACTGTATCTACCGGGCGTTTTTTTCTCATTTTACGCCTTCATGCAGTCATAACTCACGAACGGTTAGTGCTACAGACTTCAGATTTAAAACATAAGCTTATCTAGATTGCACAACGATAAGTTCAAGTGCTCAAGGTTATTCAAGGTCAATTCTTTATTTGACCTCTAATTGACATTGAAAGGTCATTTTCTGAAATCGCAAAATTTTTCGGACCCGATAGTGTTAGTTCCATATCCATAACTCATACCATTGGAAAGATGGGATGAATTTTTCCTGATCACCTGAATGTTAAGGAATCACCCATATCCTTTAGTCAGTATGAGTTATGGACATGTAACTAACACTATCGGATCAGAAAAATTTTGCGATTTCAGAAAATGACCTTTCAATGTCAATAAGAGGTCAAATAAAGAATTGACCTTGAATAACCTTGAGCTCTTGAACTTATCGTTGTGCAATCTAGATAAGCTTATGTTTTAAATCTGAAGTCTGTAGCACTAACCGTTCGTGAGTAATGCTTGCATGAAGGCGTAAAATGAGAAAAAAACGCCCGGTATATAGTACCGAAGACAGTATATTAATAAAAATTTTAAAATTTGATTTGTTACGATTAATCCAAACAATTATGACTTGAGGGAATACTAATCAACTGATTGTCTTAAAATTTTCTTAATACCTGTCTAGCAGTTTGCAATGAGTGTGTATCGTCTAATGGAGTGGGTTGCAATCTCAACATTTTTTTAATTTTTCACATTAATTTGTATCAAAATCACTTACATGGGTGATTTATTCTGAGGTAGAGGATTTAAATTAAGTAGATTTAAGCAATTTATTTAATACAGTAAATTGTATTCAATTGTTTTCGTATTCTATGATATTAGTATAAGATCCCCAAACATGTGTTTTACATTTGTTGAAAAAAAATAACAAATAATGTCTTAGCTGTGAATAATTTTTTGAATGAATTATTAATCATTAGGTGAGTCTTAACAATTAATTTTGTTTCTTAAATATGTTGTGATTATTTATATATTTGTTTCATTTTTTAGCTTGCACCGCTCAGCAAAAATGTTGACTTCCAGAGTTATACGAAGTCTGGCTCTTTTCAAATCTCATATAATGTGTGTAAATAATGTTGAAAAACGAGGAATCAAAACTTGGTTGTCGAATACACTGCGAGAAATGAAAGATAGGAATCGTGATTTCGACTTAGTTCCTCATAAAAAAAGACACAAACGAGAATGGGTCAATTGGTAAGGAATACATTTTCAAAATGCTACAATTTGGATAAGAATCAATTCTTATGTTATGCTTCATTTTTTCAGGAATTATGACTCTGAAATTTATGCTTTTGGTAAACGTCTAAACGAAGATCTATCACAGGATGAACTGAAAAAGATTTTTATTGATCAGTCTTATGTGGATGAAGAGGAGAAAAGAAAAAAAGATTTGGGTCTTGAAAATGTTGGCGTTACTTTACTATCAAATTCTGAACTTTCAAATAAAGGGGACAGTATCATGAAATCTTTTACCCAATCTTACTTGCGATTTTTCTTACCAAGAGTTCCTGAAGAATGCATTTCGTAAGTAAAATCAAATGCAATAGAAACTAAATTTAAGACTAACTGACTGATTTGTTTTACAGATCAATTTCCCATAATTTATGTTCAAATCAAACTCTAAGTCATATAGGAGGATATATTGGATGTAAAGATTTAATCATGAGTCCAGTAAGTTGTTTATTTTTGCATTTTAAGTATGGGAATTTTATTCTTTTAATCTCTTCTAGCTTATAGATCCCACTGAAGAAATGATTGCTAACTCTGTTAAATCATTAATTGCTGTTCTTGACGAAACTAAAGGCTCAAAACAGTGTGAAAAGTTCATCATCGATATAATCTTACCTTACCTACATGATAAAGATCTTTTAGCAATATGGGATCCGGTGGATCCTGAAAATAAAGTGCGTAAAATTTTACAAAATGATGGCTTGCCAGATTTTGAGCCTAGATTAATGCGAGAAACCGGACGGAATACAATTTTCTCATGTTATATAGTTGGATTGTATGTGAATAAGAACCTAATCGGATATGGTAAGATATGATTGTTATACAAACTAATCAATAACTAACCTTTTCATCCCTTAAATTATAATTAATTTTACTCAATTCATTTTGCTGATCTTTTTAGGTCCTGGAGAAACTATTCAAGTAGCTCAAGAAATGGCTGCATATGATGCATTGAGACGCTTTTTCAATTTAACTGTGTCTGGAGTACGTTTTAAATTTGGTCCAGCTGCTCACAATTTAGACTACAAAAGTAAACAAGAGGCAAATTTTTCAATTAGAGATTGGAAATTGAGTTACTTTACTCAAAACACAAACCCAGTTGAATCGCCTCGTAAAGTAGCTGTTTCAATGTAATCTATGTATTTAATTAATAATAACTATTAGAGTTTATCAAATTTTGACTTTTTATTCTGTTCTCTTTATTACGCTTCAGTTAGAGGATCTAATTTATATCTAGAGAGTCATAGAAGTGTAATAAATAATATACCAAATGCTGATCAATGGTGATCAATGGATCAATGAATAATCTACTATAATCAAAGACATTTTTCAAAAAAATCATTTCAGGCTAAGAAGTTCTAAAACCATTCTTTTGCACTTCAAACGAAAAGTCTAAACTAAAAATTTTGCTAAATATTGTTCATCTATTAAACTATAAAACAAAATAGTTTACTCTATTATCTGATAGATAACCATTTTACATATTCTTATATACAGGAAAAATGCAAACTAATACCAAAGTTAATCAAATAATTATTATACTTCAAAATATAAAATTCAATTTGCTAAAAGGCTTTTTACAGTTTGAATAGCCCCTTAGGCAAGAATGCCTTAAGAGGAGCTGTCATAGTATAGTGGTTAGTACTTCGCGTTGTGGCCGCGACAACCCAGGTTCGAATCCTGGTGACAGCACACTTTTTTGCCCTTTCTCATCTTTTCTATTGATTCAATTTCAAGTGTTAATCTTTATCATCTTAATCCTTGATTGAAACTTTCCCCAGTATTTTTTGTCGGCAGAGCCAAAAGGTTCGAGAAGCGCAACTGATAAGACAGTCTCATAGATAAACATCGGAATAGTACATCAATTGGATAACTCACTCTCCATCATTGGCTTATCAATTTTTTATTTAAACATTTTTGGATCTTTTGTTATGCTAAAAAGATGAATGCAATATTAAATTATTTTGATGTTTGATTTGATAATTAAGTACTTGAACACTATCAGTTTAAACAAATGTTTTATTTATGACGCTTTTGACGATTGATTTCATTTAACATCAATTTGGCATCGATTATATTTTATTGTAAATTTATTAAATATTCAGTCATTTAGATTTCATTAAAAGGTTTATCAGTTTTATTTCAATTGCTTAATTTTGGGATGTTTTTAATCTGAGAGTTAAACTAATTTGTTTTCCTGTCCTCCTGAATCGATCATTACCAGGTTTAGTTGGTTTGATTTTGAATGACTCCACTTTAAAAGGTGGTCCACTTTAAGGGCATTTAGTTGATTGTTGAATTAGTAAAACTGCAAATCAAATGGTTGAGGAGATTGTATTTCATTTGAACCACGAATCATTCGAGTTAACGGATCTTCTCGAGCTGGTTGTTCAGGCATGTTAATAGACACATCATCATTTAATTGATTCATAGTGATAACTTGAAACAAAACCAGGCACATGTAAACCAAAATAACTGAAATGATTGAATGAAACATGGTGATAACTAAATAATCTACAGAACCTTATTGTCTCTAAACATCGTCTATTTATCAGGTTGGATGCGGAAGGTTGGTTCATAAATACATGATTGATAGTTAATTACACTAAAAAATTATAAATCATTTACATCAGTTAATTTGATAGAGCTGAGGGTGAAGAATAAAATATTTTTGTAATAAATTTGTAAACAGGACCCTAAATCATGATAATGATATGTCAATAGATTTTATATTAACTGATGATTATCACTTAAAATCTGCTAATGCAATACGGTTTTCATAATCCAAGTTTACACTTCGATATTCTCGTTGGAAGGTCTTTTCAATTTGACTTCTTGCTTAAGATTCGGTCTCTCGGTTCGTGTATGCCAAACTAATACTTGAGTACATTTATCTGATTTTGGTTCCAGTTCACTGATATCGGAAATTAATTGTTTAAGTAAATAACTTTCTTGAAATCCTCTAGGAACTTTGAGTGTAAAAAATGCTTTCGGATTTTTGAGTATCAAAGTAATATTAACAGCAAATCCAGCCATATCTAGAGGATATAACCTTTCTGGTTTGTAAACAGCATTCCAACCAATTACCTTGTTTTCGTCATTAACTAACGGCCTTTCAACCATCAATCCACCAACTAGACCAACCGGCCAGCAACTGACTTTCTTTGTATCCCTCATTTCATCAAATAAACGGAGATCATAAGTGTTGTCATCGTCAGCAAAATATACGATTCCTCTTGAATCAATATTATTACGATTATTTCTTAACCATTTCAGGCCTTCATTGCGTTGTAAAACACCTCTGGGTTTTAACCAGTTCGGATCATTTAATTTAGTTCGATATTCTATAGGGGTTCGCTTAACCAAATGAGTCACACGGATATTGCTACGATTCTTTGAAAGTGCTTGAAATCTTGCTAAAAAGTTTGAAATTAAATTACTGGGGAAGTCACTATCTTCAATCAAAATCCAGTGAATTGATTCAACGTGTAACAATGTGTTACCAAGTCTCGTTAATTCGGCTTTTTGCTCGGCTCTTGAATATGTTGGAGTAATCAAATAGATTGTTGGGAGTTTTTCTCGAGGTAAATTGATTAAAGGTGATGGGGATGACGAGATGTTGGTGTTTTCTTTTTCGGGACATCTATGTGAATATGATTTAGTGACACAAACTGCAGAGAAAAAGATGAAAAATATGAAATTAATCACTTTTGTTGGTCTGCAAATTAAGATGTTAATTTTTGAAAGAAAATATTAATTTAAAATTACCTGCTTGGAATAAAGTTAGAACCAGAGTCAAAAACAATGCTCCAAGGATCACAAATTTTAAATGAGTGAACGTAATTCTCATCAAAACACACTCAATGATATTACCTTCATTGAAGAAACCTATGGAGGGTGAGAGAAAAAAATGGAAATTATGAAATATTAATCATTGTAAAGAATCAAATTTCCCAGATGTTTTAGTTTGAAATAGCTAGTAAATTACAGTGAATAAATTACAGATTAATAGTATTGTGTTAGGTAGGTCAAATATTCTTGAATCAATGGCTGATTTTGATAAACTTTAAAGATGAATATGACCAAAATGCATAATTAATATATGAGCTAATGAATAAACTATTTAAGCACCAAAAAACAAGAATGAAAAGAGAAGTATAACTTACCAGATTGTCGGAAGTATAGTTACTCACTTATTGACAATAATTGATCATTTTAAACTCGAAATCAAAAGATTGAAATCAAAATTAGTGAAACTGTCAAATTTATCCGGTTAATTCTCAGGTTGAGATTGAGATGACGCCTTGGAAACGTTAAACACATGAAAAGATCAGCTGGTGGTCAAGATAATAATTGCATATCAATAATTGTTTCAGATGTTTAACTTATTTAACTAATTAAATACGAAAAATTCTGAGTAAACGTTTAAATTAACAAAATTGCAACCAGAAAATGATAATAGATCTAATTTCTTATAGAAAGTAATGTGTTTTTGTTATTTGTTTACACCATTGAATAGCCATTTTCAAAAATGTTATTGGCGCTAAAAATAAAATGCACAAGATTCTTGAAGTTATTAGTTTATTCGCCAATCTAAATAAACCATGAAATATTTAAATCAGGCAATTCTATTATCGAAAACAAAGTGATTTCCTTGTTAATGAAGATGATATCACAATTAATTATGAAATAATAATAACACAAAAAAAGATGTAACCAACCATAAATAGAGCAGAGAAGAGTGCCGTAATTTGCTGGAAATGACTTAGTCGGTGAAAACTGTATAAATGTGAATATTTCCGGTAATCAGAGGTTTGATAAAAACCAAAGAACATTGAAACAATAGAATGATAATATCAATTATCAAAATTTTACACGGGTTGATTGAAAAACACGATAATTGCCTCATTGTTTGGGGATTTGCCTTAGCATTGAAGATACATTACCAGTTCTGATAACAGCGTTGGTTAATAGGTATGAGCTGAATGATTAGCATTGATATGAAAATCATACGATTGATAGTGATAACTTTCTCCCTGGTCTGATCAAAATCAAAATGCTGTGAGGTACTTAAAAGGTAACTGAATAAATTATTCAAGACACATAATTTTAACGTGTGTTTGAAACAAGTGGTTTCAATTTTACAAATCATGTTCAATCCAATGAAGCTCACAAATATTGCAACAATTTTCACCATAATTGCTCTTTTAATTGATCCATCCACATCAAAGTGTAAATATTCTTGGGAAGGATTTGGTGTGTATCTCGGTGCACTTAACTCATTCAATCAAACAACCGAAGAGAACCAATCAGCCGTTCTAACCAAACTCTATGATGATCTAAAATTAAGAAACTTTCGAACAGAATACATGCCACAATTTTCAACTCGAGAAAATAAATATTCAATTGACTGTGTTGATTCGCAAACATGTACTTGGATTGGGATTCACTCCTTGTTGGCCAAGCTACCAGAAAAATCATTATATGTAACCATTTGGTCTCCACCTCACTATATGAAAAACTGGTTAAAGCAATTGAAGACCAAGTACGAGCGTCCATATTATTACTATATTAAAAACATCACTTCAATAGTTGAAGAATCATTTGGTTTGTCAGTCGACAAAGTGTCAGTTGCTAATGAACCAGAGAACGTCTTCGCTACTTGGGATCGGTGTTTAATGACACCAAATCAACTGTGTAGTATAATTCAATCATATGGTGATCCATTGACGTCCCTTTGCGCTGAAAATGCTTGGTTTAAAATATCCAAATTGTATCACAGCTTTTCCTTGGGAAGTGTTAATTGTGAAAAATCTTGTCCAATAATGACTTCACATGGTTATCAGGTCAGTCTCAATCCATTCAAAGATTTTGGAACAGTTTATTATGATTCAACGGTTTATTCCGAAAATCCTTCGTCCCCGGTTTGGATAACTGAAGTTTCCTCGACACGTGGTTCTGCTCAATCTAATGAAATGGGTGAAGCAATTGATATGTCAATTAATATTGTTAATTATGTGGGTACAACGTGTGTTCAGCGTTGGTATTATTGGTATGCTTTTACCATTTCACCTTCAGGTGAATCATTGATTTGGTTTGACCAGAAAACGAATCAACTCTACTTTCCTAAAAAGTATTATTCCTATCGACACTTTACTCAAGCAAGTTTTGGTTCGAACGATAGACTTAACTGTTCAACTCAAGATTATTATTGTTTACAATTTATGCCAAATGGCAAAAAAGTTTATGTCAATTCAAACAATCAGGATAAAAAAATTGATCAAACATGTAATCTTTGTTGTACAACAGCTGACAATAGCTACAAATGTACCCAATCTAACAATCTACCTTCACAATCAATTTGTAGTTGTTAACAGAATGTTGTTTTTTAATTTGTAAATTAGACCAAAGATTGTAATTTTTTATATTAGAAAGATTAACAAATAAAGTAAAATACCTTTTCAAAGTCAATATTTAATGTCCTTTTAACTCAACCAGCTAGGGCCTTGCAACCCTTGAAATTATTGAAGATGATTAAAGTTGAAGATCACTAAAGTTAAAATCAAATTCACAATAAATCAATAAAAATAGCAGAATTAAAAATTTTATTAAAATTATCAACTTACAATTGTTATATATTTTCCCGGATTCTCCAAACAATTTGATTATTAACAGTAAACTACAAACAGTTGCAAGGCGTGTTTACCAACTCCATTCATGTAAACAACAAACCAGCTCAGCAAATACAGAAAGACTTTCTCCTTACTGTAGTCAAGACTGCTACTCAAATGGAAAATCTATTTTAATTTGTTTTCAATATTATTATTTATGTTTGATCTCAAACCAATTTATTAATGTGACTTACTATTTTAAACATCGATTTTTAACTTTTATTGTTAATATGTGAAGGTAACTGATCCTATGTTGGCAATCACGCAAAACGTCAGTTTACTTTCATCATATGGTCATCATTTGGATTTTATATTTTGTTTATAGTGATCTTTTGTAAATTTCTCAACTGTGATTCATTTTTACCATCACTGATTGATTATTTATCATGGCCTACCTAAGAAGCTCTCGGAATTATGTTTGGAATGTGAACAATGTTCTTGGGAAAGGTGCAACTGGAGCTGTCTACTGTGGTGTCAATAAATATACTGGCGATCCTGTTGCTGTTAAATCCTTCAATCATGCTTCTCATATGAGACCTTACGAAGTTCAAGAGAGGGAATTTGAGGTCCTTAAAAAGGTCAACCATCAAAATATTGTTAGATTAATTTCCATTGAGGAAGAGGTAATTACTATTTTCCTTGTTTTATTCCATTGTCTCAAATTGGTCATTTTTCTACCTGTCAAAACTCTGATGAAAATTTTAAGTTAAAGCGTATAAGGAAGTGCTCAATTTTATAATAAATTTGGGTCATTCTATTATTATTTATGTGCCTTAACCTCAAAATCTTTAGGCCTTTAATCGTCATTTTAAGTCAATGACTCTTAACTTGCTGGCAAAATGACCATTCAATTAGAGTTAAATGGTAGAAAGATTTCCTTTCCAATTCAATTGTTTATGGAAATTTGACTATATTCACCTATTTCTATCAATTTCAGAGTGACACTCATCACAAAGTTCTTATAATGGAGCTCTGCACTGGCGGGAGTTTATTCAACATCCTAGATGATCCTATTAATTGTTATGGACTCGAGGAAAAAGAGTTCACTGCAGTTCTCAAACATTTAGGTTCGTAAAAAATTTCATTACCTTCAGGCAACCTATTACTAATTTGAATTTTTTTTCCTTCCACTTTCCAATTCTAGCTGCTGGAATGAAACATTTGAGAGACAATCACATTATTCACAGAGATTTAAAACCTGGTAATATAATGAAATTTATTGGTGAAGATGGTATATCTATTTACAAATTAACTGATTTCGGTGCTGCTCGGGTTCTTGAAGATGATCAACCATTCATGTCACTTTATGGTACAGAAGAATATTTGGTAAATTAAAAAATTCCTATTTAGTGCTAACGGAATGATGGCATCTTATTCGATAAAATTAATAGGGTTCCTTTTCTGTATCAGCATCCGGACATGTATGCCCGAGCTGTCCTTCATAAATCCGCTGGTAAATCATTTCGAGCCAATGTTGATCTCTGGAGTATAGGAGTTACGCTCTATCACATCGCTACAGGATCCTTACCTTTCAAACCTTACGGAGGCCGAAAAAACAAAGAAACAATGTAAGTTTCAGCTAAATGGTTCAGTTATCTTAATTACATTCAGTCAAATTAATCTCATTATCTTTTTTTGAATTTTCTTTACTTTATTCAAAAAGGTTTAAAATTACTACTGAAAAAGCATCTGGTATTATTTCTGGATGTCAACACACAGACAATGGTGAAATTGTTTGGAGCCGGAATCTACCTCAAACTTGCCTTCTGAGCCCGTAAGTCATATTTGATTACAATTGAGTATCTCAATCAAAAACCTCAATTTAAAATGTTTTTGTATTTATCATTCAGAGCCTTACAAGCATTAATTGTTCCTCTTTTGGCTGGAATTATGGAATGTGATTCTCATAAAATGTGGTCATTTGATAAATTTTTCACGACTGTCACATATGTTTTATCTCATAAAGTTGTTTATATTTTTTATATCAATCACATGGAAGATGTCGTCATTTATCTTCATCCAAGTGAAGGGTAAGATAATGATAGTTGCAATTTTTTGCCTCAAAATTAATGGTTTAATCTCAATTTGTCCTAACAGCTTGAACGATTTGAAACATCATTTAGAAAATAAAGTATCCATTCCAGCAAAAAGTGCACTTCTCTTGTGGAACAAGCAACAAATTCATGATTTAGCTGAAGTTTACTGTACTCCAGATAATCCAGTTTTATTACTCAATTCAGATGTTACCAAATTGAAACAAAGTCCTCTTCTTTCCAAAAGTTTATCCAAATTTCCAATCATGCACACAACGGTGACAAACTTTGAGGAAGACGCACAAAAGTCAAAGATTTGCTCTTCGATTGCCTATGCCTATTCCAGAACAATTGAAAAATGTGTTCTTTATTATCAACTTGCCAATATTACTCCAATGCATGTTATGTAAGTAATTATCTTGGTTGGATTTTAATCATCCTTTCTAATCCATGTTTTTTACTCTCTTCCCCGACTTTCAGATCTTTGATTGATAGTAATTTTAGATTACTCACAGAAAAACAACAAGCCTGTTCTCATTTTTACAATTCCCTTACTCACCAATTAAATTATTTCAGTGATGTTGACGACTATCTCGAGCATATAGTCCAGCTTCTGGATTTGGGTGATTCTGTTAGCAGTAACTTTGAATCTATGGTCCGAGCTCAAATATTATTTGAAAGTGCAACTGAGTATTCAACAACCCTGATGCCCAAGATGACCTGTATGAAGGAAAACATTAAAAAATTACAAGAGGACTGGCATAAAATGGTTAAATCAAATACCGAAATTGAAATTGAAACCTCAAAATCTAGGGCAAAATATTATTGCCAAAAAATACGGGAATCTTGGCAATTTTTACACAAGGATAAAGCTGCTCGTGTATTGTCCGTTGCAGAAGATCAACTTCATCAACTAGAAAAGGTTAAAATTGATAACAATAGCAAAAAATTGAAGCTTTTAATGGAAGATATTTGCTTTAATGCTTTATCTGAGATAACTAAGCGACTCGAATCCTGGTACACTGGAGCTCAAGTTGCTCTTAAGCAATCCGAGCTTTTATTCAAGGAGTTTTCATTATTCACGAATAAATGTGAAGAGCTTCAGCAGTGTTTCAACAAAGTTCGTGATGATCAAAAAGGTCTTTGGCAGATGACTTTTAAAAAGATTGAACCCAAAATGAAAGTAACAACGGATAATCTGACGGATAAACTCTTGAATGATGGAGCCAATGGATGTAATCGACCAGTTCCACATGATCTCGTTAAGTTTTTTAGAGAGTAAGCTACAATTAATTCATTATATCACTGTTTCTCCATCAATTTACTAAATTTTAGCATTTTACCTTTTACTTTTTCATCTTAGGTATGAAGAAAAACGTGAGAGATTCTTCTCATTGGTGGAAGAAAATCGCAATCTGGTAAATGAGTAAGTAGCATACATTAAAACTTTAATGATCAGTTGATTTGAAATATTTTTCTCATTATTTCTCTTCAGATTTGAATCGATCTCACTGAGAGATAACCCACAATAACTTGACCTCTAAGGTCTTTAATTTTCCCTTCAAATCCTGTCTTCTGGAAGAAAAGTTCTGTAAATCTAATTCTGTGCAAATACTATATGGAAACCATCCACGGATATCCAAGCAGGACTTGATCTTTATAAACTCTTTTTTATAACAGAAATCGGATAATAAGGATAAATGCATTTTAATATCTATCTTACATTGACCAAGAGACTATTAAAGTATCTTTATTTTAATATCTATTTTTGGTTTAAATTTTATCAAAGATCAGAAGCTAGGGCCTTGCAACAACCTTTCGTAGTCAATGATCTTGATGTTTCTGTTTAAATAAACCAGTTATCTGACACGATGCCAATTAAATCAACCTTGACTGATAGCAGTTCATCACCAGAGCTGCTATTAATATTGAAATCTCATGATCATGAGGTTAGATCAGCTAGAAAAGGCTTGTTTACAATTAACAAACCAAAACATTGAAGTTTGCAAAATAATGAAATATGATCATCATAAATTGAAGTGTTTTCCTGTTAATTTGTCAATTCCCTTGAAACTTGGCATTTGAAAGGTAAACGAAACAAATTATTTGAATAATAACAGAAATCGGATAATAAGGATAAATACATTTTAATATCTATCTTACATTGATCAAGAGACCATTAAAGTATCTTTATTTTAATATCTATTTTTGGTTTTAAATTTTATCAACGATCAGAAGCTACATTTTGGTAACAAATTGTAAGAGTATCAAGAACGATGTATTAAATTGATGATAAATTATCGTTAAACGTAATAGAAAGAGAAAAAATGCTCTAGAAAAAAAAAGATTATGTTGAGCGCATAAATGAGATTATGATTCTCATAAAGATGGTTCTTGCATTATTATTGTGAATCGTTAACTTGATTTGAGAAAAATATCGCAGTCATACTCAAGGAGAACACAGTAATTAACATGAAATGCTGGGAAACATCTGGTTTGCCATTCACCGGTGATAGATAATATCGGAAAGGATAGTTAACAAAAAAGGTAATGAGAAAAGACAAGAAAAAAACAAAATATAATTAGACTTTTCCATTGAGTTGCAGCTGATAGAACCTGAGTTATGATTGAATTACTTTTTACAGGAAAACCTGCACAAGACATTTCATGCTAATTATCAGTTAAAGGGATGGATGCTATCAACAATCAAGCCATGAAAATAATGGTCACAATCAATTAACTAATTTGTAAATAAATATATAAAAAAAGATTATTGGTTTATGCATATGCTGAGTGATAATTGAGAAGTAAAATTGATTGCTATCTCGATCACCATTCAGTCAATAGACTGCTGATTTTAGCACTCATCTCAATCACTGGTAATTTTTTATTTTTATCCTTCATCTAATTTGGTTCAACTTTTAAGAGTTGAATTTTCAATTGAAAGGATAAATTAGTAATCAGTAAAATTTTGTTTGGTCAAACGTTTGCTCAATCTTATAGGCAACAAAAATTTCAATTGGATTAATCCAAAATTCACATTTAACTTTAGCTCATGCTAACTATTATTTGTTTTGCTGACTTATATTAAGCTTTCGTTTAGTGGATTAAAACGAAACACCAATCTAGTGAATTTAGGATTGCTAAGGTGAGTATACTCTTCTGATGAACTCCTCAAGTAGACCTTAAGATTGATTGGATGGAGAAAAGAATGAAATAGTCAAGGAATGGGGATTTGGGATGAAGAAAGTTACAAATCTGTTGAATAGAAGATGAAAAAATTGAAGATCTTTGATTTGTTTATCACTGGTTGAGATCAACTTTCTTGATAGTGAATTTTCGCTTGGGCGATTTAACACAGGTAGTACCATTAACGTCGATCCCTTTTCTATCACTGGTTTCACTATCATAACCGGAATCTTGGCGAGATCTCATCTTGGCTTCCATAGGATCAACGTTTTCACTTTGTTTCTCCTCATCATAATCTGTCGGTGGATCAGCACTATTAATGAATGGTCCATCATCGCTATCAATAACGGATTCTTCATTCATGTTGCGTCTCGTTTGGTTGGAAATTCGTTCCTGGTGGGTTGGATTCGGCTGACTATGATTATTTGGTTGCTGTTGAAGTGAATGATGGTGAGGCTGTTGTGGTTTCAATCGGTCGTTATGCTGAAAATGCTTGGTATTGCTGATATCGTTTTTGTTCGTTGGGTTTACAGGTGAATTTGTAGGATTCCCCTTATTGTTGTTGTCTCGCTTCCGGTTCTTTTTCTTGTTGCCTCCATTCTGTTTATTATTCAGAATAGTTGAGTTTATCTTAAATGTGGCTTTAGAAACATAGCAACTGAAGTGGACACTTTTTTTAGGTTTTTCCTCCTCTTGTCCAGGACCTTCTGTAGCCGAAGAGCAAGAAGATTCTGTTGATCCTTCACACGAAGCTTCCAGGGGCGAAATACATTCCAGAGATTGAGTTTGGCCTTTCTCATGAGACTCCAATAAATTTGATTGGTTAGAGCTATCACAACTTGATTCGGATAAGGTTCGGCGGTTCCAATCGCGAGGATACTTGAGGATACCTCTAACTGGTAAAGTCTAGAATAGAGATAAAGATAAAAAATAATAATTAATTATTTGAAATTAAAGAGGTCATGGATAAATTCGATTTCCTTCTTCCATTGTGTAATAGTAAATACAAACCTCTCCTGATGATTCTGAAACTGTTCGACGAAGCGAACGATCAACCTTTCTTATTATAAAAACAATATCCTCATTGTTTTTGTTTCTTATTGGAGTAGATCTCGGCTTAGTATCACAATCACTTTCACTTCGAGTAGCTCTCCTTCCTCCTCGATTGTTGCAACGAGCATTATTCTGCTTAAACGAGTGTCGATCACCATTAAAATTATTTTGACGATTTTTAGGAACAAATCTGAATCTGTTACCAGACTGAAACTGTTCTTGGGGCGAGAAAACTTTAACCTATAACAAAAAAATTATTAGTCTAGTCAAAAAAATAAGCTCAATAGGACGTACATTTTGACCATTTTTTGCTCCTTCGGTTGATTTCATGCTACATGTATTTTCAATGATAAGATTGTTGTTTTTATTGTTTGGCTTAGATTTCCCAGATGTGTTTCTTGAATCATTTTCAACAATGGGGTCATCATTTATCCGATTATTATTCAGATCATCAGCCACTTTATTAGATTGAGATGAGCTACACTCTTTTCCGGAAATTTTTTCGGGAGATTGGGCAGATTCCAGAGACTCTAAATTTGTGTTGGCAGTTGAATCAGCTGAGCTTGAGAAGGACAAAGATGATTGCTGAGAAGAAGGTAATGTAGATCCATAACTTTTGATAATAGGTGACACAGGATTATGCAAATCTTCTAAAGAGCCATATCCATGTTCACTTGAATTATCACAAAAGTCTAAATTTTTACCAGGAAATTTTTGGGTTGAAGAGTTGCCAGTTAATTTAACATCCATTGAGAAATTCAAATTCTGCATAAAGCACAGGTAATTGTATAGATCCGAATTGTAAAGATGCACAATGTTAAGGAAGAGAAAAATTGTAAAGTGTGAGTTAATATAGTTTGATTGAGACTCAAAGTCAATCTAACAAAGATTGTAGGATTAAATAAATAAATCTTGAAGACAAAAAAAGATGAAGAGAGAAAGAGTTGGGTGAGCACAAAGAAGATTTACAGAAAAAACCAAAAACAATCAAACAAAGCAGATGAAATAATGAATGAGAATAGGAAAATTTTGAATATGATTAATCAATCGAATGGTCTAGAAGATTAATAAGAGAGAAAGCAAATAATCTTACCGGTTATTGTAATCAAGCACAAACGATTAACAGATTGTTGTTGAAATGATATCAAAGCAGAAACTGCAACATTACACAAGTATTGATGTCTTTTTCCTTTTTCTCAACGCCATCTACATATACGGCCTTCACTATAAAACTTATACACAACATTCAGTAATCAAATGGTGATGTAAATCAAAAGTCTTAATGCAAGACTAATTAATTAAGAGCATTTAATTATTCTTAGTAACATAAGATCTTCCATGTGTAATAAGTTAAACGGTGTTGCGGCTAGTAAAATTCAAGCAATAACTTAGCTAAATGTCGATAAAGATTGTTGATAATATTCAAAGTCACAATATTTTAATTGTCGAATGAACTTGGATAATTGGATAATTACGCGATTTTAATGATTTTAAATTAATTCTCAAGCAAAATTGTGATATCAATAATGTTGAACACTTGAATGTATTACTGAAGAGGTTGACAAGATCTAAGTTGATTACTGTGTTATTATATCCACAGACAGTCAACAAACCATGGTCTTAATCACGTTATTTTGTATTATCTTGTTACAATTAAAGTAATCAGCTAACAAACTGTTGATTAATGAACAATCCCATCAATGCCATTAAAACAACAACAATAGTAGTCTTTGTACACATACCTAACCAGATTTCTCGTGACCTGAAAATTGAATTGAATCATTAATAAATCAACTGATCATATTAGCCTATGAAAATAGTAAAACATAAACACACACACATTAATGACTGTTTAAGCTCATCAATAGTTGGGCCAATTGTTGAACAATTCAAGGATCTTCAATAGAAAGTGTGAAATCTTCAGTCATTACTTTTTTTAAAAACAACAACATCCTAATAATATTTCAACTGCTGAGGTTACCGTTTATTAACCAGAGAAAAGACTTCATTGATTATCATTATTCTAGCAGCAATTCAAGAACACGGTTGTAAACAAATAAGTCATTATTTAAAGTTTCGATGCTGTATCTCTTGAAATAATTGCAAATCACAGTAAATCACTTTCAAAAATTTAATCAAAATTAAATAGCCTTCAAACAGTGAATGCAATCAGAAATGGAAAAGTGGTTACAAGCTGAATTTAATGAGAAAACTATTGCAGTTTGTTTACTAGGCTAATCACTTAATGTTAAAGTTGAATAGTTTAGCCACTGATTTAATCCTTTGGATTGTTAACAGTTATCATTGTAATTAAGGCAGATATTTTTTTAACACGTCAATAGATGGATGTAAATGACTACAATAAAATTGAGTAGAGTTGCATGTTTTATTATAATGTATTATTTAATATAATTTGTTGAAGCTTGACAAAGAAAAATGAGTGAAATTATCAATATTTATTTATTTATATGTATATTTATATCATTATCATTTTCCTCTTTGCACGATTATAACGATTTAAAAATAAGACAGAATGGTTATAAACTTATTCTAATATCATCTCAAACAGTAGCTTATACAATTTTTCTGTCTTAAAATTATCATTGTTGATATACAATATATAAGCTTATTAATTTGTAGTAATTTGTTAAATTTTTCAATAACTTTTCTTAAGAAAGGTAATTTCTTTTTCCTCCTTTCATCAGGTTATGGGTTTGGTTGTGAGAGGTGATTAGCAAATGTTGATTGACAAAAAAATGTGAAAAAAGTTCCAGGACAAAAGTAAGGCGAAAAATTTAAAGCCAGGCTTTCAAGTTAGGACATGATGAGAATTTGGTGGTAACGTCAATTTTGTTTCTTTTAAATCATCTTTTATTTGGGTCTTTTCATGCGATGAAGTCCATTCTTATAAATGCTGTCTTTACATTAATCAAATTTAATTAACTGTTGAGTTGTACGAAGTAGTCGAGGTATTATTGTTAATTGATGCAGTCTGTAGCTGAGGTTGCTGTTGGTTTGATTGATTATATTGTTGCTGGTTTGCAGTTGACTGGGAATTTGTTTGCTGCCAATGTGACTGTTGTTGGCATTTGGATGCGTGTTTCGGCCATTGTGCTTTCTGACAATCAAGACTACAATAAGATGTATTCCAACAGCAAAAGTACATTGCCTCTTTAAGACATTCGGAGCACCAGAGTTTCTTTTTTGTTTCCTCGATTTCTTTGCGATATTTTTCTTCCAGAGTTGTTGTCAATTCTTTTAAAGCTCTTTCGTTTTCCTTTTGCCATGATTCTCTCATTTCTCTGTGAAAAAAAATAAAAGATTATTAAAAATGAAATTCGATAAATGAAGGTTGAGAAATGAAAAAAATATGGTATAATTTACAAACCTTATTTTCAAATTTTGATTATGTTCAATTTCCTTGAGCTGTTCTTTGTGCATCATTTTCTCAAACTCGTATTTCTTTCTCAATGCTTCCAGCTCATCGAAAATTTTAGTTGACTCGTTTTCTTCTACTTTAACCGGGACTTTCTTTTTAGCTGAACCAGATTTCTTAACAGATAAAGGTGTCTTCTCGTTTTCCACCTTTTCTTTATCCTTCTTGACTTTTCCTTGACTGGTCTTCTTCTTGACTGATTTTGGTGTTTCGTCTTTTTTTGGCGAAGCGTTTGGCTGTTGTGGTGATTGTTGCTGTTGCACTTGGGGTGAACGTAATGGAATTTTAATAGATTTTGGTATCGTCAATTTAGGTATAGGCGCTTCACTTTTCACTGGTTTCTCTGGAATTGTCGGTGGATCTGGTGATGGTGAAAGTTCACTCGAACTTTCTACCTTTTCAGATTTCAATCCTTTACCATCACTTTCGGCTATTTCCAGATCATCTCCTGTCTCGTCGATCACAAGCTTGTCTTCATTCAGATCAGAGTCTCTATCGTCATCAAGTGATGACATCTCTTCGTCTTCAAGTCCGTCACAGATATAAAGTTTGTTAACATTGATGGGCTGTTTTGATTTTGCATAGTGAAACTTGAATGGAAACAATTCATTCAATCGTTTAACATGCAAAGCAAGCTCGTTCAAGGCAGAATCATATTTGCTGTTCTTTTGTCCTTTCCCGGATCCTTTAGCACTTTTAGTGGAATTTGGTTTAGTTAATAGACTACATTGTTCAACAGGAACCCATGATCTATGGAGAAACAAGATAAAAAGACGTATTAGTTGACATGATTTTAGAAATTTTGATAAGAGCACAGGAGAAAAGGAAAACTTACCTATCATGCGCTCCAAAAAATCGCACATCAACTTCGTTCTTTTCTTTATCATATCGTACGACTTTTGCTGGCCAAGGTGGATAACCTGAAATAAATGAAAATAATCACATTAGCACCACTTAATCAAATGAGACAAAATGCAACTGAACCTAATGATACTTACCTCTCATTTTAGCGTAAACAAGTATGTGGGGTCGGGCACAGGGCTCGGTGAACCAATCTTTATCTTTAAATGTGTAAAAATTTCGGAAACAATTGAAGCAAATTTCAATTTCTTGCATTTCATTTTTAGCCACTTTAAGGAAATAATTGGCATTTTTTGTTAGAGGATGATTTGGTGAATTGTAAATATAACAATTGTGGACGATATATTTTATGTCAGCCATTAAACTGTCCGTACTTTTATAGACTTTAGAACGAATATTTCTTTCGATTGTACTGAAATCCATAGGATGTTTTATAAAACTACGATAATCTGGAAAAACTGCATCAGATACAGGTTGATGAAATGATCTATCGGCAGTCTGAAATTGAGGAAAAAAGAGAAATGGTTAGTAATTTTTTCACTTTAAAAATGTTTCTTTTGAATAACTTACCGCCTTGATGGTCTGTACAGCAAACATGAGAAGTTCAGAGAAATCATGTGGATTTAAATGACTCAGGGTTGAAGATTTTGAAGCTAAATCTTCTGATTTGTTAATGGCAGAACATTCGATACAAATCCAATCACTATTATTAGCACAATTTTTATTCGCCTCGAAGAGTTCACTGGAAGCAGAGTTATCAGGTGGCAGACACTTGCGATGATAGCTTCTGGGACACGATTTACAGGTGATATAGTTATTGCCTTTCTCTTTGTGGCATATCCAACAGTAGTCGTCCTTTTCTTGCCTTTTATCATTCTTATAATGATGTTGGGCTAGTTTTTTTTCCGCACTTTCAATTGTTGGTTCATTTTGGTCACGTGTCACTTCATCGATGGGGCGCTTTTTGCCCTGACTTTTTGGTTTCATAGAAATTTCACAGCTCGGTGAGCCACCATGATTAGAAATACCATTCTCGGTGTCTTGCATTTCGACCATTTCGTCTGCAGAATTTGTCAGCAATTCAGGTTGATCGTCAATTTTTGTAGATTCAGAAGCAATAGAATTATTTTTGATATTGGCGATATCACTAGTCTCTTGCGGTTTTGTTGACGCTAAAGCTCCTAGTTGATCTTGGGTGGTAGAAGGATCGGGAGTAGAAACATTTAAAATTTGAGATGATAGTGAAGATGATGGGTGAGATTGTGATGACGATTCTGATGATTGAGGAGGTGGAGGACTAACATCACTGGCAGGGTCAACAATTTTCATCTGGTTTGAGTCACTAGAGTCCGAGTCAATAGCTCCTTGCTCAGTAGCCATTTTTTGTACTAACTATGGAAAATTTAAAAGAAAAGTAGATTATTATTGGTTTTGTTAAAACAGGAAATAGAGATATAATTGTGCTGAAAGCAAACTAAACAAAATGGTTAGCAAAATAATCGGTTTTCAAAGTGTTTAGGACCTACGGCCATTGAGGGATTAACTCAAAATAAAGCGTCTTATCGATAAACCTTGAAAATGAAAGCCAAACTGATTAGATACTTTCAACACAATTAAAACTTAAAATAATCACAAAATAGATTATCTCAAATCAGAGGATAAGATCAGATTCAGATCAGAGGCTCGAATCAAAGGCTCAGATCAGGTCCAGGTCTATAAAGTCTTATTGCATTTTGTTTGACATCCTACCTAGAATATACACTGATTCCGGTGTCAATATTTGAAGTTAAATGATAAAAAATATATAGGTTCGATTTTAAAGCAAGTTGATTTAATCAACACTGTTTTTAATTGATCCATGACCAGTCAATCACAGATATCAGCGGTGAAAGTTGATTTGCATCAATTTGAACTCATCATTAGTCTTAAAGGATAATAATATTACAGTGATGATCAAAAATTTTAAAATTAATAACATTATGCTGCATCAAAAGATGAAAAGCAGTTCAAGAAGCAAATTTGATTTCAGCGCCATCTTCAAGAGCCGCAAGTAGCCAAGCTTTGATGGTTTTTGGTACCTTTTTTGATTTACAATTATCTTGTTTTTACAAATAATATTTTTATTGGAATTGGTAACAAAGTTTCGTTAAATTTTACGTTCCTCTGTTTTAATTTTGCATCCAAGGCCACCACCAATTGAATGGATCGTTATTATTTGATCTATCATCCTGTGACCACTAAAGTTGGAAATGTTTTGATAAAATAATGTTCATTAGTGATGTTTGTTTTTCATTGCATGTCAACTTTGATCTTACCGTATTAGGTTTACCGTTTTCAATCCATTTTGGTATAAAATCTTCATTCCATGTTGGTATCTCTTCATTGATTGGCCCTTTGTTTAGATGGGAAGATTGAATTATGGAATTCAGTCCGCTACGTTTAGGACCATGAGATGAAAGATGAGAATTATTGTCATGATCTAGAAAACTATCGCTAGGATCAATGCGACGTCTTCCACCTGATTCAACATTATCTTGATTGTTTAACAATAAGCCGGGAAGATGTTCTTCTCCCGGTAAATTTCCTAAGTCGATGGTCGGGACCTGATCAAATCCATAAAATTGGTTGAATACTTTCTCATCGTAGATTTCCTGATTTTCAGAGTTGTCTTTTACTCCTTTGGATCCATAATCATTGGTGTCAGTGATCGTTGTTGGTGAGGTTAATGTTAAGGTTGGCGAATTGTAAGAATAAGGTAACATAGTCTGCTCCGTAACTGTTGTTCCTTGGTTATGAGTTATCCCAGACATACTCGTATATCCAGGATTAACAAATGTTGGTGTATTTATCATTTGCTTCATTCCATTTGACTGGCCAAGTTGGTTTACTTGATTTGTTTTGATATTCAGTGAATTCAGAGCATTCATGGTATTCACCGAGCTCATGGGACTCATCGAAGTCATTGTGGTGTAACCATTCAGCCCATTCAATCCACCAGTCTGCGTTTTGACTGATCGGTTATTTTCATCATCTCCTGTATGTCTTTGTTGCTGAGACATTACAGTTGTTGGATACATCATTCCGATTCCGTGATGGTTGCTCATTTGCTGGCTGTTTGCATTGCTGTTAACCGAAGGGTACTGAGTTATTTGAGGTGTCTGACTGTTTGGCTGTGAAGTAACATGAAAATCCACATATCCATCCTCCGATCCTTTAACTTCTTCAATCAAAATTGGTGGTGAATTTTTGGTTTTACGGATAATAATTTGAGGTTCCGTTGGATTTGGAGTTGTCGGTAATAAAGATGTTTTCTGGAAATTTACTCGACTTTCTTGAGCCCGATTATTCTGATTATTCGATGATTTACCAACAGATAACCGTGTTTTTGCTACAACATAAAAAAGGTATAAAAAGTTAGTTAAATGGAGCTGAAAACGAAAATACAAGTTACTTACGTTTAACGTACGGTACCATGATTGGAATTAGTTGTGGTAAAATTGAAGTTCGGCCACAATTAACACTACCTTGAGGACAATCACGAATATCCTGATCCTTACTTAAGTTCAATTCACTTGACCAATCTTCAAGCAATTGCTGTTGACGATCCCGTTGATTATCAGATAAAGCATTATGGAATGGTGAAGATCCGATTGGCACAAGGTGTTGTTGAATGTTTGATGAAGAAGCTGATGGTGAAGATAATGAATGGGCATTTGGTGGATGATTTTGATTTGAATGCGAATGAGGTGGATGGTTTTGATTTGGATTTGGCATAGACCATGTTGGATTTGATCCTGGCTGTACATTAGATCCTTGAACATTGTTGTTATTGTGGTTATTATTAGCAGCATAATTTTGATGATGATTATTAGGTTGACCCATTCCTCCTGGTCCAACAATGATAATTGTACTGGATCCTTTACCCGATTTACGAGGAACAAAACGAGAAGCAGTTAACTCACCTCCTGGTCCAAGAACAATTATATTGCTTCCATCTTCCTTTTTGGCTTCTGAAAAAATCAAAATTGATTGGATACAAAGGAAAAGAAATATTGATGAGCTGATTGTCGAACTGATTGAAATCCGATCAATTCTTGACTGGTTGACCATTGCTGTTTTCATTTAAAAAATTACTAAAGACAACATGAAGAAGTATTGGAAATCCTGAAAATTTTACTACAGAAAGTTACAATTCTATAAAAATTTTTTGTCTTTTTTGCTGTAAAACTGAATCACGAACGAAAAATATTAATAAATGAATTCCTTTTTGCGAGACAAATGATAAATGAATAAATTATGTTAATTGAATTGAATAGGAATCTTATAATCAGCATTTTTTGTAAATCATATTTTGACAAAAGACAAAAATAAGAGAGTCAAATCTTCTTGATTAGCCATGTGAAAGTAACAATAAATATAATGGCCGTGAATGTGCAATTAATTCAATTGTATTTGATTGAGATGAAAAAGATTCTAAGCTCTCAAACCTTTAATCTCAGTTAGCAAGAAGGAATTGTATTTTGAATCTTTTCAATGAAATGAATTAAAAAAAGGTTAACCATCTATAGGAAGCGAATCGTGTAATTAGATCAAAAATGTTCATTAAAAGGGCATTTAAGGAGAAATAAATGCTTCAAATGGACTAAACATGTATTAATAGATTGTTTGAAATGAAAATACATTAGTTGACAATTTAAACTAATCGACATCCAGTAAAAACGGAATAATTCAATTCTGCCGTCAACATCAGTTAAATGTGGAATAATTAGTTTTTCATGATTTCGTTTCTCTTTTGGTGTAATTTATTTTAACTACAAGCTGGATTGATAAATTGCTCATTCAATAGTTTTGTATAAGTTGTTAATTGTCACATTAGTTTTCCTTAATTGATTGGTGGACTTTTATGTTCAAAGATTGCTTTACAACCCAGGAACATAAACCATAAATAAGGTTTGTTACTAAAAAGACACAATTGTCAACGCATTTTGTCAACGAACAAATTTACACAAATGGACTAAAACGGGTGAAAATGATTTCTTTAATATTTAGACTCTGTTGGTTTGTAGGGACATAGAAACTGAGTCCATTTGTGCGATTAACAAGTCTCTCTAAAAGATAGTTTTCGAGAAAATCGGGTTCGGATTTTAAACTTCGAACGACTTTTATACAATTATGGAAGCAAGTTTTTTCATGAAACTCATTTCCCTGATGTAACTTTTGATGATAAACCAGAAAGTGTACTTTATTATATGAAATAAAACTTTGTGTTTCTGTAAAACAGATAAGTTCGATTTCCAGTTAAACCGGTCGCTTTCTGTGGCCAGAAGAGTTATAGATCTGAAACTTATTACCTGGCCATAAAAATTAGTGGTACACATTGAGGGTTATGTACTTTTTTCAATTTATCAAAAGTTCTCTTGATTTTTGCCATTGAACTTAAAACTTTAAATCTCCATACTTCGAGAATAATGGCACCTACAATCATCATTCTTTGTCCAATTCAATCCTCTACTAATTTATAATTTACTTCAATTCGAAAACTTTCCCTTAGCTCATTTTGGTCTTGATATTTGGGTCGTAAATGCACGAGTTACAACTATTAATAATTTAGCAAACAAAACTCATCTAAACCCATTTATTGGTAAATAAACCAATTTTCTGGTTTAACTTATAAATGGAATGCAAAGAATACAGCCAAAGGCTCGAAAATTTGAGTAATCGAGTCGAGACTTTGTGCATTTGTAGGGACAATAAAACTGAGTCAAATGGTGCTATTGAATAATTTATCCGATGGACAGTTTTCGAGAAAAGCGAAGTCAAATTTGAAACTTCGGTCGACTTTTGTGCAATAATGGAAGCAGATTTTTTCATCAAACTCAATTTGCTGTTACACCTTTTGATCATAAAGCAGAAAATGTACTCATTTTGAGCAATAAAGTTTTAAGTTTTCTGTAAAACAGATCATTTCGATTTTTAGTTTGAACGGCCTTTTATTCTGGCCATATGAGTTAGCGAACTGAAAATTAGTATTCGTAGATAAAAACTAGTGGTACACATTGAGGGTTATATACTTTTTTCAATTTATCGAAAGTTCTCTTGATTTTGGCTATTGAACTAAAAACTTTGAACCTCGATATTTCGAGAATAGTTGCATTTACAATCAAGATTCTTTGACAAATTCAATCCTTTACTAATCAATAATTCGATTGAATTCAAAAAATTTCCATTAACGCATTTGGATCTTGATATTCGGGTTTTAAATGCACGAGTAACAGCTAATTTAGCAAAGAAAATGCATCTTAACCCATTTCTTGGTGAATAAACCACTTTTCTGGTTTAACTTATAAATGGAATGCAAAGAATACTGCCAAAGGCTCGAACATTTGAGAAAAGAGTCGAGACTTGGTGCATTTGTAGGGACATAAAAACTGAGTCAATTGGTATCATTAAATACTTCATCCAATGGACAGTTTTCGAGAAAATCGAGGCTAAAGTTGAAACTTCGATCGTCTTTTGTGCAATAATGGAAGCAGATTATTCCATCAAACTTATGCGACTGATGTAAATTTCAATCGTCAACCAGAAAATGCACTTTATCAAATGAAATAAAACTTTGTGTTTCTGTAAAACAGACAAGTTCGATTTTTAGTTTAATCAACTTTTCCGTGAGACCTTAAGAGTTAGCGAGCTGAAAATTAGCATTGGTAGATAAAAATTGTTGGCAAACATCAAGGATTGAATAGTTTTTTTAATTTGTCGAAAGTTCTCTCGATTTTGGCCTTAAACCGAATGATCTTCGGATCTCTATATTTCAAGAATGGCATCATTTACAATCATGATTATTTGACCGAACATTAGATTGAACTATGGGCTATGATATTTCAAAAAGTTAGATTATTGAAGAAACTACAAAAAAAGTTATAGCAATAGTTTACTTAGGTTGTCAGATTTTATACTTTGTTAAAAAAGGTGAATTGCTATTTAATGTTTGCTAGAAGATAATTTATCATTAAATGAATTTGCTTGGATTTCTTCAGTGTTTAGTAATATTACGTTATAGTCCGTAATAAGATCTGTTGATTGATCAAGGAATCATGACTGTAAGTGATGCTGTTCTCGAAATATTCTGACTCAAAGTTTTTTAGTTTATGGCCAAAATCAAGCGATCTATCGCTGAATTGATAAAAGTATGCAATCTTTGATATAAAGCAACAATTTTTATCTACAAATACTAATTTTCAGCTCGTTAACTCTTATGGTCACACGGAAAAGTCGATTAAACTAAAAATCGAACTTGTCTGTTTTACAGAAACACAAAGTTTTTTTTTCATTTAACAAAGTGCATTTTCTGGTTGCCTATTGAAATTTACACCAAACAAATAAGTTGGATGAAAAAACTTGCATCCATAATTGTACAATAGACGATCAAAGTTTCTATTTCGAACTCGATTCTCTCAGAAACTATGGATCAGAGAAACTTTTTAATCGCACAAATCGACTCAGTTTTCATGTACCTACAATTCAACAGAATCTAAATTTTAAAGAAACCAAATTTCACTTGTTTTTGCCCATTTGTCTTTCAGTGTTTGTGGCAATTGTGCATAAGTTTTACAATTGTTTTGACTGTGTCTTTTGTTAATATTAACACCATAAATAAGGTAAAAGTGACCTTAATTCACGCAACTGTTTAGGAATACTAAGTAAATTGATTTCTAGAAATGATTTTATTTCGTAAATATTCATCTCTTCACAGCACATTATATCATGAAATAAATACAAGTTATTCATCGCAATTGTATCAAAATTGGTATCATAAAAGGTACAGAAATTATCATTAAATCATTCGTTTATTTCAAAATGTTATTACCGAAATCATTGATCGATATTAAAATTTATTTCTTTATACCAAAGATTTCATTACCAATTAAAATTTGAAAAAGTTTTATTAATATTTTTGATGGCAAAATTATCAATTGATTATGTACTTTAAGTCCTTTGATTACTTTTTCACGGCAAATATGATTACAGCGAGAATGTTGAATATAAGAATCCAACAACCGGTAGCAAAAAATCCAATATAAACTTCAAATCTGGTAAACTCCCAGCCTCTGGTGATAATATATCTCATACTCTTGATTGCTAATGTTTGCGGCATCAAATAGCTCATGTCTCTCATGAAATCAGGCATCGCTTCCAATGGCCAAAGTATCCCACAAAGAATCAAATTAGGATAAAATGATCCAACTGAAATCAACATGGCTGATTGTTCTTCATAGCAAAGAGCAGAAATGAGGAAACCTAGAGAAAGAAAACAATCAATCAATTCATTCAACTAAATCAATCAATTAGACCACTTACCAAAAGACATTCCAGCTATTCCTTGAAGAAGTGTCAAAACTGTTACTGAAATGACGCTTCCATTAAGATCAATTTGAAAAATAACAAAAATGGTAAACAAAAGTAAAATTGTTTGGATCAAGATGATTGAACATTGAATGATGATATGTGCAAATAATATTTGATAAGCTTGAACACCAGCGACAAAAGTCCGCTCCAAGAGTCCTTCTTTTCGATCCATAACGAAACAAAGAGCCGTCAACCCAACAGCCAAAATGTATGATATGCCAAGGATCAATCCTGGAGCCATAAAATTACGATAAGATGGCTTCAGTTCCCCGTAAATCGGTGGATCAACAGGTTTAAACAAAGGCTCTGCAATTGCTGAAGCCATGAATGGAAAGCTTTCATTGACCAAGTTAATGATCCATTTTTGAGCCGATGTCACCAGTTGAGTTATCAAAGTGATTTGAATTGGAAATTCTGTAAAATATTAAGTGATTAGTCGATATTTTTAAAGCTTATTTCATGTTACCTGTTCCATCAGAGTGAAAGTAAATTGTGCTTTCGTTGATGATTTTTCCCTTTGAATCAGTCATCATTTCAAACATGTCAAACCTATTATCCAACTGTAAACTGTAGTTAGGGTTGAAGATGAGTGCTCCATGTGAAATGCCCTCCTTCACTTGATTCAACGCCTCGTCTTTCGAGTCAACGTAATTCTGTAGTCAAGTAATCAATGTCTTGTAATTGTTAACAATAAGATTGATTTCACTTACAATTTTAACATAATTTGGATCAATTAGATCTAAAAATTTTTGACTGTAATTGGCTCCACTTAGGTCTTGATTGTAAACTGCTAAGTCAAGATTTTTTGGCTCTTGTCCAATACAAATACAGAATAAAATTATTTGAATGGTTGGTAAAACTAGTTGAAAAGTCAGCATTCTGGTCAAAATATAAGCGTTATTAATATCAAGATGTAAAGACAACAGATGGACTGAAAGGCTTCTACTTACGGAATGTTTCTCCTTAATCTAATGGCCATTTTTTCAGTTAATGCACCAATCTTTCTGCATGAATCTTTGAACAGCTCAAGTTCACCTGTGATCGGTTCAGGTTTGGGTCTTTTCCATTTGATTTCCTTCGATGAATTGACTTGGCCAACGGACTGACGTTTTTTAGTGGCATTTACGGTTCCACCATTCTTCTCGATGAATTGATTTGATGATAAAGTTCGCTGTTCGTGACAAATTTTCAAGAAAATTCCTTCCAGAGTATCTTTTTGGTGAGTTTTCATTAAGCATTCTGGATCTTCCTCAACAAGTAGACTTCCTTCTCTCATCAATCCGACCTGAGTAAAATAAAGATCATCAAATATAAATATTACATTTCAAGAAACTTCACATTTGACAAACAAACAGATTGTTTAATTGGTACTGAAAAGACACAGTTAACACTATTGTTACATTTATGCACAAATTGACAAATTGACTGAGGGACAAAGGAGCAAAAACATGTGAAATTTGGTTTCTTTCAAATTCAGACTGTGTTGGATTGTAGGTACATGAAAACTGAGTCAATTTATGAAATTTAAGAGTTTCTCTGATCCATAGTTTCTGAGAAAATCGAGTTCGAAATCGAAACTTTGATCGTCTATTGTACAATTATGGAAGCAAGTTTTTTCATCAAACTTATTTGTTTGGTGTGAATTTTAATGGACAACCAGAAAATGCCCTTAACTAGATGAAGTAAAACTTTGTGCTTCTGTAAAACAGATAAGTTCGATTTCCAGTTAAACCGACAGCTTTCGGTCACCGTGAAAGTGAATGAGTTGAAACTTATTACCAGGCCATAAAAATTAGTGGTACACATTAAGGATTAGTTACTTTTTTCAATTTATCGAAAGTTCTCTTGATTTTTGCCATTGAACCTAAAACTTTGAACCTCGATATTTCGAGAATAGTTGCACTTACAATCAAGATTCTTTGACCAATTCATTCCTTTACTAATTTATAATTCGATTGAATTCAAAAGATTTCCATTAACGCATTTGGGTCTTGATATTTGGGTTTTAAATGCACGAGTAACAGCTAATTTAGCAAAGAAAATGCATCTTAACCCATTTCTTGGTAAATAAACCAATTTTCTGGTTTAACTTATAAATGGAATGCAAAGAATACTGCCAAAGGCTCGAACATTCAAGTAAAGAGTCGAGACTAGATGCATTTGTAGGGACATAAAAACTAATTCAAATGGTGCTATTGAATAATTTATCCGATAAACAGTTTTCGAAAAAATCGAAGTCGAATTTGAAACTTCGATCGTGTTTTGTGCAATAATGGAAGCAGATTTTTTCATCAAACTAAATTTGCTGTTGCACCTTTTGATCATAAAGCAGAAAATGTACTCATTTTGAGCAATAAAGTTTTCTGTTTTCAGTAAAACAGATCATTTCGATTTTTAGTTTAACCGACCTTTTGTTGTACCCATACGAGTTAGCGATCTGAAAATCAATATTCGTAGATAAAAATTGTAGGCATACATCAAGGATTGAATAATTTTTTCAATTCGCCGAAAGGTCTCTTGATTTTGGCCATAAATCGAATGATTTTCGAATCTTAATATCTCAAGAATGGCAGCACTCACAATCATGATTATTTGACCAAACATTAGATTGAACTATGGGCTATAATATTTCAAAATATAAAATTATTCAAGAAACTACAAAAAAAGTTATAACAATAAGTTACTTGAGTTGTTAGTTAGTTAAACCAGAAAATTGGTTTATTTATCAAGAAATGAGTTGAGGTGAGTTTTCTTTGCTGAATCAGTAGTTAACCGTACATTTGCTACCCAAATATCAAGACCCAAATGCGCTAATGAAAAGTTTTCAAATTGAATTGAGTTAGTAGTAGTAGAGGATTGAATTGGTCAAAGAATGCTGATTGTAGGTGACACTATTCTCGAAATATCGAGGTTCAAAGTTTTTAGTTCAATGGCCAAAATCAAGAGAACTTTCCATAAATTGAAAAAAGTAAGTAACCAGCAATGTGTACCACTAATTTTTATGATTAGGTAGCAAGTTTCAGATCTCTAACACTTCTGGTCACAGAATTCGATCGGTTTAACTGGAAATCGAGCTTATCTGTTTTACAGAAATACAAAGATTTATTTCATCTAATGGAGGGCATTTTCTGGTTGTCAATCAAAATTAATACAAGAGAAATGGTTTCCTTTGAAAAAATATTCTTCCATAATTGTACAAAAGTCGAACTAAGTTTCAATTTCGAGCTCGATTATCTAAAAAACTATCAAACAGAGAAACTTTTGAATCTCATGAATCGTTTCAGTTGCTATTTCCCTACAAATCAACAGAGTCTAAATTTAGAAGAAACTAATTTTTACCCGTTTTTGCCCATTTTTAATGTAGTGATTGTATACATTTGTGCATAAATGCAACAATTGTCCTAACTGTGTCTTTTTAGTAGCAACCTTTTCATTAGATTGCATTAGAAATAATTTGTTGCTAAAAATTGATTCATACCACATTAGCTTGACGAGCTTCTTCGATATAATGGGTTGTAATGATCGCCGTCATTCCTTCTGTTTTAGTCAAGTGAACCAAATGACTCCAAATGCTACACAATGTTAATAAGAATGAAAATCAAGTATTATTCAATTTCTTGTGAATATCCAAACTAAAACAGTTTGTCTCATATATTTTAGCACAATCAACTATTGAAAGATCATAATTTATATGCAATCGAGTTTTTTGCTTAGAACTTCCTGAAAACATTGTAATCAATAGGAGAAAATATTGATTGCAATATTTTTGACTAGCATGGAAGAAAATTGATTATGATGGTTAAATTTAAATCCCTCCCATGATTCCTGAATTGCTTACAGTTTAGCTGATTACCTTTCTCTGAGCAATGGATCCACTCCTACAGTCGGTTCATCAAGAATAAGCAAAGGTGGTTTATGTACCAGAGCAACAGCAAGGGAAACCCTTCTTCTTTGACCACCACTGAATAAATCAACGATAAAAATAGATGCAATTAAAAGTGAACCATAAATAACTGAAAGGATTGAGATTAGCCTTTGAGAAACTGTCAAGTTTTACCTTAAATCGGACACCATTCTGTCTGGATCAGTTAAATCTAAAAAGGACAAAAGAAACTCAACTCGAGAATGTCGTTCTTCTTTGGGTATTCCAGTCAACTGTCCAAAATAATTGATCGTCTCTTTGACCGTGAACTGCATATATAAAGCCAATTCCTTAAAAAGGTAAAAAACACAGAAACAAACATAACATTAACATCCAATATAAAGATCAACAGAAACACTTCAATCCCATTTTGATCTTTAAACAGATTTCCATTACCTGTGGCATGTAACCAACACCTTGACCAGGCACCAGACTTTCACGAGTTCCTGGTTTGTAACCAAATATTTGTATATCACCAGATTGTGGTTTCAATCGGCCTAAAATACATCGAAGCAAAGTGGTTTTGCCACAGCCACTTGGACCCAATAAACCATAACTAGATGATCAATGGATACAAATTAATAAATGTTGATTTGGTTTCCTTGAAAGATTTTGATTAACTCACATAATTCCTTCAGGAATATGAACATTGACATTATTAAGAGCGATCATTGGTTTAACTGAGGTTCCATAATTGTAGGAAACATTTTTCATCTGAACAGCTAATGATGGTGATTTAATTGTTGGCTTTGGTGATTGTTGAGTTGTTGGTGTTCCCTCCATTACATTGGATAAATTGATTACTTCCATTTGATTTTAAGTAAACTTGATTGTAAAGCTAGTTTAATGTTCGGACACTAAAATTGATCACTAAAACTGTTTACTTTTGTATTTCTTGTAATTGAATATCCGAGACACTGATTGTTGTTGACACTGATTCCGATTAGTGGGCAATTGTGAGATGATTTCATGATAATCATATTTTCCTTGTAGCAATAATATTAATAGAAAGAGTAACTATTGAAAGTTAGTTTCACTCTTCCTCTCTCTCTCTTTTAATCAACATAATCAAAATCAACTAGAGTGATCAATCAAATTGATTTGCCAGCATTAATGTGTAAGATGATCCATTAAATTATTGTTAACCACAATGACTAATATTACGATTACTTTTACCTTGTTGCATAAAGTAACAATTTAACCGTAATACTTGGTTTCATTGAAAAGTATACAAAATTACAAATTTATTCAAACAGTTATGAAGTTGATGTTGTTGATGTTTCTTTGGTCAACCCAGAATTTGTTGGTTAATTTCAAGTGTCAGGCAGATCTTGACAATAAATTAGTTGATTATGATTACAATTATGATGGAAAAGATGAGTTCAATGATGAAACAAGGCAGATAACCATGAGAAATGTACAAATGTTGGGTTGACATTGAAGCAACTGTAAATATTAAGAAGAAAAATAAACACAAAGACGATTTGAAAGGCTGACAATTTGTATGGATAAAGATTGATAAATGATGATAAACCTTATTCTCTTCTCTATCTTCCTCTCCTTTTCATCCCTTTTTAGCTGCTGAGCATCCTCCAAGGCAAAGTATTGATTTTCATCCATCAAGTCCATCAGATGTAATCTAACATGAATTGCCTGGTAAGCCTGTGAAGACAAAAGCAACAAAGATATGTTAAAATAGACTTCATCAGACTTTTGAGTGTATAAATATTATTAAACTGTTCAAATAGATGGGATGAGGGTGAAGATGAAGATGATGAGGATAATGGTTCACTGGATAAAGGTAAAGGAGGGAAAAACGGTGAGATAAAAGGTTGTGATAGATGATGAAGGCTGATCTTTCATGTTTTTTTACGGAAAAAGGGAAACACAAGAAAATTTATTTTCATTATCAAACCCAATAGTCAATGATGGGTTTCCGGACTAACTGTCCCTTAAGGTCTTTTAACAGTAATGTTATACCAAATTTGATTAGTTGATTACATTTTATCGATTACTGACAAATTATTCTTAGGCCTTAATATGGCTTGAGCTCGTCTATGGCTTAGGGTTACATGAATTTTGCATTTGTTAACTTAATTTGATAAGTTACTTTATTTAGTTTCAATGGATTGGTTTAAAAATTGGACTTCACTGTTTCTTTAAACGCGATTTTCACTGTTTAAATTATCAACGCTAAATTGTAAAGATGTTTAAATTGTGAGGTTGCAAGGTTTGATTTTAACAGCCCTTTGTTATCCTTCTGACAGATTAATTTGATTAATATGTTCACACACTTTTTAAACACGCAAACCTCCAACTAAACCTTTTTTTTGTACAAAAATTCACATAAAGGGAATCTTGATTCAAGTTGATTCCGAGACAAAAATCAAATTGAAAACCTTGGGAGTTATGGTTAATCAAGAAGTCTTTATAATTTGTTAATATCCAACTTTAATCCTCTGCTAACAATCATTTTATCGATCGATTAATAGGGTTTCTAGTTTGATCTCTATATTCTGGTTAATCTTCTGGTTCTCAACCTAAAACAATTTCAAGATGAAATAAAAGTTCACTTTAATTTTCAATTGTAAAAACATTTTATTCAATTTATTGCTTAATCTTTCAAGCTTGAATTATCTGTAAATTATCCGTAAAATTATCCAAATGTAGTTTATCACATCATGAATAATGATCTCAATTGGATAAAAAGATTAACGTTAGTTTAATCAAATTGTATTTAATAATTAACTTTGTCAAAATTGAATTTCGCGTCTTTTTGTCGGATGGCTCCATCTCTGTTAAGAAAACACCACCATTATCAGGTGTTTTTTTCTAACATTGAAAGTTTTCATTTTATAGTTGAATAAGGTTTTGAATTTTTAATATTTACTTTATGCTATTCTGACTTAATCAAGATAAATCATCAATTATCGCAATCTATCTACAATTTGGTTGATCTAAATTTATTTTGAAGTTGAAGTAATTAGTTCTAGTCTTTGAATCAACAATACCTTGGACTAAATTCTGTGACACAGTCTCATCTTTGTTTATCAATCTCGTTGCAAATATTAAATGCTATTATTTTAATTACAAGCTAAAGTAGTATCAATTTATTGCTCTTCAATAGTTTATTTGAGAACTGTTTTGAAAATATTCCCAGATTGATAAGCTTCCTGACATTGGTATTTTGTTTCATTCCATTTCATATTCACTCCTTACAAAATTATTTCTCGGTCAATTTTGTTTCTTTTGTCAGGATAAATTGGTTTGATCAAATTATCAATCACCTCTAAAATGTTTCAACTCGAGCTTTCACATCTATTAATCTGATTATATAATACAATCAATACTTTTGATATCTTGGACAAAAATTGAAATTGGAAAAGGTGGATTATCATGGCTGAGATGAAATTGATCGAGAAATGTTATATTTTCCCAATTAAATATAAAATTAATGGACATTTCTCTTTTAGTTATTTGTTTTACACCATTGGCCATAATTGAAAACATTGCTGATATCTGCATCTACAGTCTTCATCAAGTAAAGAGGATTTGCCTTTAAAAATTGTTCTTAGTCACTAGTCAATTAATCTTGATTGTTTTTGATTAAGGAAATCACCAATGATCAACATCTTTTAAGATAAACTATCATTAACTTTATCTTGTTAAAGAAATGAATATCAGCTTTGCTCTAAGAGTAAAATCAAGTAAAAGTGTCACTTTCAGACTATTGAGTGATTTGGATCATCATTTTCATCCTCGAAGCATTCAACAGATCAGTTCAGTCTCAAAGTTGGTTAAACCAGTTTCAACAATAAAAACATCTACATCATCACTATCATCTTTGGTAACCAGAAATCTTGCAACTTCATCCACATCTAAACAGGCAAAAGACTTATCTGAAAATAGTGTAAAATCTAGGAAAATGGCCCCAAAAGGATTAACCAGTGATGAACGTGATCAACTATTGAAACCATTATTGGAATCTGGTTGGAAAATGGACGATTCTGGTCGAGATGCAATCAAAAAAGAGTTGGTTTTCAAAGATTTTATCCAAGCTTTCGGTTTCATGTCTTCAGTTGCTTTAAAGGCTGAAAAAATGAATCACCACCCGGAATGGTTCAATTGTTACAACAAGTTAAATATTCTGCTATCATCTCATGATGTCAATGGTTTATCTGAGCGAGATATCAAATTGGCTAATTTTATTGACAAAGCCTGGTCGCAGATCAACAAGTGAATGCTGGTAACAGATCACATTCAACAATTGTCTTAATCTTTCGATGATTTAACTGATAAACCAATTCTATTCTATTTTTTCCGGCTGATTGTTCCATTGTTACCCTAGATATTCAAAATATTTGTGATTTTCCAACCTTTAAGCCAGCTATATCAATAGTTTTATTGTAATATCAGTATACCTCATCAAGAATCATTGTTAACATTGAAAATAATAAAGGTTATTAACAATTATTTCACTTATAGCGTCCGGGATTGTTGTTTAACCAAATTATCTAAAGATACTCATGATTAACTGCAATTCTGCTGAAATCAATCAATTTTCACAGCTTTACTTGTTAGCCTATCTTGTTGTGCAAAAAACAATAAAGAATGCAACCCAATTTTCAATGATTATCCTAAAAAAATATTTTAAATATCTAACTAATTTGTAAATATTCAAGAAATATCACTTGACAACAATTTTGTTACCGCCGGGAGGAGCAAACCAAGTTAATCAAGGCGTAGCATTGAAGTTAACCACAATTGAAGGAATGAAAACAACCTGTATGTGTTTACTCCATCTTGTAGCTAAATGGCGGCTAGAGAATGAAAAGTCGACATTGATTATGTTTTCAACAATCGAAATTATTTAATAATAATTGTAAACAGTGCTTAAACATCTTGGTGTTTTAAAGTCAGCCAATCATCACCCAATGTGTTTTATCTCCATTTGACTCTCCATTCTTTGGGTAAAAACAGTCAACAACAACTTGCTTTTGTTCACTTGGTTAGGCTCTCTCTCTCTCTCTTTTGCTTCTCTTATGATCTCTATCAATATCTGTTTGTTCAAATTAGTCTAATCAATCAAGTATCTTCTTTTTTTATCTATTTAATCCAGTGATACACCATTTATATACTCTTCATTAAACCTTTGTGAAATCATAATTGAATGACAATCCTCATAACAATAAGCAATTGAAAAACAAAACTTACTCCATAAAGCCTCTTGTTTAGTGTTGGTGGTTGTATCTCTCTTCTTCTGTTTTTGTTTCCCTGGTTGTTTTCAGTCACAAGTTTGACTGAATATTCACCAATTTATTTTAATTATGGTCAGTCTTTATCAACTGTTATGTATATTACTTCTCTCATCAACATGTAAGTATCTAAATCTTTGATTATTATGGTGTCACCCCAAGTTTTGAGACAATATATTTGGCTAGCCAAACATCAGCCAATTTTTCCTCTTGCCCAGTTTATTGTTTAGCTCTTCCTGTCTTTGATCTCATCTCCCAGAGTTAACCATACTCAAATCAATTAATTATGTAGCTAATTTCATTATTTATATCAATGTAGAATCAGTTGATGGCCTTAACATGAAATTTGAAAACCATAAACAGTGTTTCTCTCTTGTATCTAGTTTACCTTGATTCTTTGTTGCCTTTGTTACTTCTATGGCTTTGTATTTCCTTCTATGATTGCATCACTCATTTTCCGTAATTTCTTATCATCACTTAATCCATTGAATTTACGGAAGCTGTCATAAAACAATCACTTGTCGGTAAAGTTGACAATTTATTCGTTTAATTCAGCAATTAGGGTTATTTCGCTTCCTCCAATAAAACCATTTTAACACTAAATCCGAAATACTAAAGATAAGTATTGAAGATTTGCTTCGCCCTAACAGTATCTTGTAGGAATCTCATCTACCTCACAACACTCGAGATGAATAAGATACTCATTACTTCTTATCCATTGTTTACTCATTATTATCACATTAAAGTCGAGGCTCCATTAAAATCAAGCAACCAATTACATGATTGTACCTTGTTTGGTGGTATTTTTAAATAAGATTCATTCTCAAATCAACTGGCGATCTTGAGTATTACTTTACTGAAATTTTTATTAACATGAGATAAACTCAAGTGAATTCATTGACCTTTTCATATTTAGGGTTGCAGGGGGGAAAGTTAAAGGAAGACGCTCAAGTTGTCTTGGATTTATAATTTAATTGATTGTGAGATGAACTGGAAAGTTTTTAATATCTCTTCCGAGTGCAATGGATGAAGAGTTAAGTGAGGAAAGAAAGAGAGAGTAAAGTAACGGGCATTTACCTTGAAATCCCTGAACCTCAGGAAATATAAAACACTGTATACGACCTACTGAAGCCCTCAGGTATTTGGTCATCTTTTTTTCTTGTTTATCATGTTTAAGTGCATGTTTATGCATGATAATCAAAATGAAATGGGCAACAATCAAAACCGTTAGCTTTAAAAGTGACATTTCCTCATGAAACCTGCCATCAAAACATGATATCATTTTGAATTATCTTCAATTCTATTAATATAAATTTTCTTTTCTTTTCTCCCCTGTTCATAGGTTTAATTGAAAGTGCACCAACAGAACCGTCTGGTTCATGTTTATCCTGTGAAAAATTGGTTCAGTTTTCAAGGAAACTCTCCGATTCACTTAAAAACCAAGACGTACGAAAAAATGTCGCAAAATGGTGCGTTGATTCAAACCTTGGCGATAATCTTGCAATGGTAAACTCATGAAAAGTGCTAATTGACAACAAAGAGCTAATCAACTTGTTTTATCAACTTTCATCATGATTATAGTCATTGTTTCCCATTATTTATTGTATTCCAACAATTACTTCATTCTTCTCAGATATTCATTTTTAATAAGTGTTTACCATTTAATCCAATTCTTAGTATTCAAGACAAAGTCTATTTAATTTCTATTCTCCATTCATTATCAAGTTCTTTATACTTTTCTTAATCAGTAGACTATGATTTATCTCATGAAAGTTGAACTATTCAAGCTCAAGTTAAAACAGATTAGCTCACAGATGTCATAATTTTTGTTTTTAACACACTTTGTTTATTGCTATTTCTTTGCTTTTCTTTACAGTGCGACTTCGTTCTCAATAATACGGAATCTGTTTTGAGTAAAGTGGTATGTTTATCAGTCACTCTATTTTCCAATTATCCCTTGAAACTTGACTAATTGAATTTCCTTTTTCTCTCATTTACAGGATTCAAATCGCTTTTGTTTTGGAATTGAAGCTTGTCACTCACACCATTTACCTCTTATAGAAACCGATGCTAGCAATTCACCAATCGAGTGTGAGTTTTGTCTTAACACATTGACCCACATCAAGGAAATTGTCTCATCTCCTGCCACTGCAAATGAAATTAAATCTGTTTTGTCTACTGGCTGTGAAAGTCTTAAGGAACTCAAAGATGAGGTAAGAGAAAGTCCGTGAAAATTGACACGGATTGATATAACTCCAAGACGAATTGTTTTAATTAAATTAGCTACTCTGATTACTAATCTTTATTTTATTTTCTCGTCTCTTCCAGTGTCTCAAACTTATCGACGAAGAATTGGACTCTATTTTCAAATTTGTTCGTGAATCATTTGACCCAAAGCAGCTTTGCATTGAAACTCACTCTTGTCCTTCTCGAAAGTTTAACATCCCTTCAATCGATAACAAATTACCAGAATTAACTGACTTCGTTAATATAGTTCCTCCAAGTCTTTCAACGCCTGTTGTCTTACAAAAAGGACCTGTTGCTGTTTCAACGACACCCCAATGTTTAGTTTGCCATCTTATCTTTAAAATAATTGGTAAAGAACTGGAAAAAAACAGTACAGTTGAAGAAATTGAAAAAATTCTTGATGACGTCTGTTCTAAAATTTTCAAAGATGAATCCAAAGCTACTGAATGTCAAGAACGAGTTGACAAATATGCCAAACAAATTATTGATTTAGCATCTTCAGGAGCAAGTGCTGAAGTTGCCTGTCTTATTATTGGTGCTTGTGAGGCTGGTGAAACTAGCGGTAAAATAGTCAAAAATCCGGTTGCCAAACCTAAATCAGCCCTTGAATGTGAATTATGCAAAAAATTATTTGAATACCTGTACAACTTTGTCGGGGGAGATCGAGCTCAAGTAGAAATTGAAAAAGCTTTAGATAAAGTTTGTGACAAAGTTTTCTCAGGTGCCCAATCCGCTACTTGTGAGAAATATGTAAAAACTTATACTCCTGTAATCACTAAAATCATAATCCAAACAACCAACCCCGATGAGGCTTGCAGTTTGTTCAAGTTATGTGATGCCTCTATTGAAAGTGCCGAAACAAACACCCCATTGATTACACTCATTTCCAAATCCATCCCCAAGACTGGATCAAGCTCTATTTGCGATGTATGTAAAGCTGATCTTAAGGCTAACTTGGTTCAAATTCAATCTGTAAGAAGCTATTATGGCCCTCGATTAGACTCAACTTGTCGTTCACTCCAACAATCCAAAGATTTTTGCTCATCTTACCAAAAAACCATCAATGCTACTTTTGACATTTTAGAGAAAAATTCTGACCCAGTTGCTGCTTGTACCTTTTTCGGAGCTTGCTCGTCAGGTATCAGGACTGGTAAAAGTGTTTTCACTGGAGAACGAGAAAATTCAATCACAGCAAATTCTGATCAAAACTCTGTAAACAAAAATGTTGAAGGAGTTAAAGGTGTTATTTGTTCAGAGTGTAAAGCAATAACCCGCTACATTGAAGAACAAGTTTCTGATTATAAGACTGAAGAGGAGATAGCAGAATTCATTAAGAATGATGTTTGCGGTCGACTTCCTAATCCTGGCCTTAAAGAAACTTGTAAATCATTCATGGAGCAATATGGAGATACATTTATTTACAAAATTGCTCTCAAAATATTTGATCCTGAAATGGTTTGCTCCAAAGAGTTTAGAGTTTGCCCATCTTTATCATCAATTGACGATAAATCAGACATTGAAATGATAAATGATGCTGTCGGATCAACTTGCAATTTATGTGTTGACATGGTCTCAAAAATTGAATCACTTGAACCATCATCAAACTTAACTGGCCATGGACTTATAAGCCAAATCTGTACTCAATTCAATTCTCAAGAAAGCATTGAAAAGGTTTGTACAAAAATCATTATATTGCTAATATACGACAATCAACTTTCCGCATTTTTAACCTTTATTATTACATTCTATTATTTCAGTGTAAAGTCATGTACGACGCTTTTGGTGCTCATTTTGCTCAAATGATAAACTTCGACTCTCCCCAGAAAATCTGTTCATCTGTAGACATCTGCTATAATAATGAAAATGTTCATTTACTTGGTGGACAAAAATGCACCTTTGGACCTGCATATTGGTGTCACACCTCCGATCATGCCAATGCTTGTAAAGTAAGTATCTCATATCTATCATTAAGTGTGCTTAAAAGTTCTCAATTAATCTGTTTATTTTTATTCCATTAGGCAATGAATTACTGTAAGAAAAAGGTCTGGAAAGCAATTGAAGAAAAGGATGTTAAAGACACTCCTCAATGTGTTCTTTGTCACCTTCTTCTTAACATCGTTGACAAAGAGCTCGAAAAGAACAGCACTGTTGAAGAGATTGAAGGTATTCTTGATAATGCCTGTTCCAAAATTTACAAGGACCACGTTAAATTAACAGAATGTAAAGATCGAGTTGAAAAGTATACCAAAAGTTTCATTGATTTGGCCACTCAAGGTGTTGCTCCTGAAGTTGCATGTATCATCTTTGGTTTCTGTCAAGCTGGTGAAGATACACAAGGAGTCGCTTGTTTACGAAATGAAAAAATTTCCTGTCCTCTGTGTAAAGAAGTGATTGAAAAGGTTTACGCATCTCTATCAGAAAACAAAACTCGAGAAGAGATCGACCAAGCACTTGAAAATGCCTGTAATCTTATGCCTGAAACTCAAAAGCAAGCTTGTTTAGTTTACGTCAAAGTTTATGATGAGAAACTTGCTCAACTTATTGCTGAAGCTGCTGACGCTGATGAAGTTTGCCGTAAAATTGGCCTTTGCTCTGAGCAAGCTGATGAAATAATTGAATCGAAAACCGCTCCTGATCCTGAATGTATTCTTTGTAAACGAGTTTTCGAATACATTTACTCCTATTTACAAGAAAATCGAACCGAAGATGCTATTGCAGATGCTTTAGATAAAGTTTGTGATGATATTTTCCCCGCTTCTCGTAAAAAGATGTGCCGTAAATTCGTCGATACTTACACATCCCAAATAATCGACATTGTTTTACAGACAACTGACCCAAATGAGGCCTGTGTTCTTCTTGGTATGTGTAAACAGTCAACTAAGTACACTGCTGAAATTGATGAGGTTGAAGAAATAGTTGAAATTGTTCCTTTAACTCGCCTTGGACCCAAAGCAAAACCTCTTGGTAATTCAGCTGCTGACTGTGTCAAGTGTTACAAAGACACAGCAGCTATTTCAACTATATTTGACGATGAAATCAGCACTTTATCTGCAGTTATAACAAACGCTTGTGCTGAATATCTGAAAGATGAGGCTAAATGTAAAAATTATATGGCAACCTATTTTGATCAAGCTCTTTCTGCTTTGGATAAGGAAACAAATGTTGAATATATTTGTCAAAATGTTTTACAAGTTTGCCCACCTGATACCGTTGAACGGGAAAATTCAATTGAGAGAGAAATGACTGATAAAAACGAGATTGAAGTCGAAGGAAGACCAAGAGTTGCATGCGCTGAATGTGAACTTTTTGCCAAACTCATTCAATCACGTATTTACAACTACAAGACTGAAGAGGAGATTACAAATTTTATTAAGAATGATGTTTGTTCAAATTTTATTACTGAAGGACTTAGAAGCTCGTGTAGGTCTTTCGTTAATGAATATGGAGACTCGATCATTCAGATGATTGCTTTGAAAGTTTTTGATCCTCAAACCATTTGTGCTAAAGAACTGAGACTTTGCTCTTCAACTGAATTTGATTTTATCGATAAAAAAGTTGAAGAAACCTGTAAATTATGTATCGAAATGGTTTCCAAAATGGAATCACAGTCAAATCCAGATTCAAAATCAATCTGTTCTCAATACCAATCAAACGAGAAAAATCAGAAGGTAAATTATTCTTGAGAAATACATTTTCATTTTTTAATCAAATTTTATTTTCTCTTTTTTTCAGTGTCAAAGTATTTATGGTGCTTTTGGTGGACACTTTTCATCAATGATTGCCTTCGATTCAGCTGAAAAAATTTGTGAAGTCGTTGATCTCTGTTACAGTATTTCCAATCATCATTTATTAGGAGGACAAAAGTGCTCTTTTGGACCAACATATTGGTGTAATACTAAGGCTCATGCTGATGCCTGTAATGTAAGTTGAAATAATTTGACAAATGAAAAATTCAACCATTAAATCCAATTTTCTTTTCTCCTCTATTAGGCTTCTGATTACTGTCGCAAAAAGGTCTGGATGCCAATTGAATAAGTCTGGTCAACATGTTAAACTACTTCAACCAGCATTAAAAACTTTTGGTCACAATAAAATACGATTGACCAATCTTTTCTAGTTTACAGCCAATTTTTTCTATCATTTCTCCCCAAAATCTATGCAAAACAATTTGAATGGCTGGTCAATCATCAGTATTCAAATGAATAACTACAATCAATAACTTTCTTTTAGACAAATTATTGATTTCCTACTCTATTAAACTGTACTCTTGAATGAAAAGTGAAGTCATTTTTATGCTGCTATGTTCATCATTTATAAAACAATTAAATTAAAAACTGAACTAAACATTTTCTCTCAAATGATTATATGAACATTAAGTCAACTTACAATGCAGATCAGATACTTTATTCATAATTAGATTACAATTCAATAAAATTAAAAAAGTTGATACATTGTAGTGTAAGGCATTAAAAATTTTGATCATTGAAAATGTGAAAAATAGTTGTAATAATAAAAGAAGGTTTATCAAGGCGAAATAAATCTTCTGCCTTGATAAAATCATTAATTGCTTGATTTGTGACTTTGATTGTTAGAAATCTCGTCTTTCAGAAGAGCTTCTAATGATATTGCTTAAATTAATCAAAATTTTATTGGAAATTTGAATGTATTGTCCATCAAACTGATCCTAAATTGTTTTATCCAATTTACTTATTGTCAGTACTTTCTAATTCACTTCTTACACATTCAACCATTTCCCTAACATGTCCAAGAGAGTCAAGAATGGCAACTTTTTTATTATGATCCTCATTTGATTGTGAGGTTGAATTGATTCCTTCATCTTCAACATTTTGACTCGAGTCGATAGAATCAGACTTTAGCCATGATCTAGCTAATGTTGCACTGGTTGAGTTGGTTGATGTGGTTAGGAGTGAATTTGGTTTCACTAGTGATGACTTAATGTTTGAGGAAATCATCAGATCATAAACATCTTTCAAGTTATTATATTTAACTTGAAGCAAATCAATTAACTGATTTTTTTCTTCTAAAGATTGAGCTTGTTTAGCATTTTCAATGACCAGTTTCTTGAGTTTATCCTGTAAATGAGCCAATTCTTTGTGAATGGAATTAGATTCGATAGCTTTTGGATTATTATTGTCACCAGAGTAATCATCATTAAACTCTTTCTCCAAATCAGAAATACATGTTCCAATGCAATTTTGTAGCGACTTTTGCAGTATTTCATTTTCAAGAGTTAAATTGTCCAATTTTTGCTTCATCTCAGTAATTTTAATGGTTGCTAAATTATTGTTGACTAACTGTGATCGCAAGCTTTTGATAATGTTTTGAGATTCGGAGACTTCTTTAGACAATTTATCAATATGACCAATAATCTCGTCTGGGATCGTCTTGGTGGTCAACATGTTTTCCAAATCAATTCCAGAACCATCTGATGTTTTAAAGACTTGTGATAATTTGTGATAATCAGAGCTTGATTCATCTATTTGACCATCATTATTTGCAGGTGCTTCAATGGTCAATCCAACAGAATCCAAAGCTTTCTTTTGACTTTTATGATTTGACTTTTCTTTTGATTTGATCTTATTGGAAGCTGATTTGCCCCTTAATTGGTGTGAATCGGATAAACTATCAATATAATGTTGTTGCAAGATTATGATTTCCTGGAGACGTCCAATTTCATCTTGGGTTTCCTTCAACATCTGTAGAGACAGGTCAGCTTTTGCGTTGTTTCTGAAGCTACTTTCACCCAATAAGCTATCATGATATTGATGACTTTCAATGTTAGCCTGTTTATGTACACCAATACCGGCATCCACAATCTGTGAGTCATCCATTGTTTTGTTTGGACAAATAAATAGACCATTATCAATGTCCGATTTTGTTGACATTTTTGCTTTAGATGCTGAGTTGAATGTGACCCTATTCAGTGAAAAGATTGATGAAGATCGGTGATGCACCATTAGTCGAGCTGAAGAGGGTTTGGTACTATTCCCAGATTGAAACCAATCAATGCCACTATCAGTTCTTGATGGAACACTTGAATACATTGGCTTGTACTGACGGCGGCGACGGATAGCATCCAATTTGGTCTGTAACACTAAACTACGCTGGTGTAGTTTCACATTTTCACTCTCAAGTTGGCTCATCTTTAACTTTAGATTGAAAACCATATCATCTAAATTGACCAGATTCTTGTTTTCGCCCTTTTCCAAGGTTTGCTTTTTAATATCCAACAATCGGTGAAGCCTTGTAGTCAGCAGTTTGATGTCATTATTGGCTTCATGAACCTGCTTCTTTAAAACCATATTTTCATCTTGAATCCGTAAAAGCTTATCCTCAAAATCGTTATCCATTGAAACTCTATTTAAAAAGACACAATAATCAGATCAACTGAAAAATTTACATTCACAAAAGGCCTAGAAATTCAAAATCAAACTGATAATGCTTTCATGTTTTGAAAACAACAAACTGGTTGCTAATGTGAATGAGAGAGTCCAAAACAATCGCCATTATTGTTGTAAATTCAATATTTATGTTTACTTTTAGACTTGGACCATAACTTAAATTATTAATTCACCAATCAAGTGAAATCAAAATCTATCAAACAATAATCATTGTCTGTCAACAATCAAGGGTTAAAACCTTTCTCTGGCAAGGTTTGACTCGGTTATTGATTAGCTTGGGCCTAGGTCCTAAAAATGGTCTTCACCAGTTGTAACAGCCAACTGTAATAATGTCAAATTGTTAAATCATCTTTATGATTGGCCTTAATCAGCTAAAGGTACTTGAAAAGATACATGCTGTCAATGCTGTCTATTAATGTTAATGAAATTACCTCTCCTCCTGGATCGGTCAAATATAAACCAATTGATGATTTTAGTTATTCAATTTTCTCTCCCGTAGATTCACCTAATCAACAATAACTGCTGATGATGATTCCAAGACACTGTAACATTCTAACATGATTATAAATTAGACTTGTGTAATGTAATGATTAAGTGATGATGATAATGCCTTTAATTACCAAGGACAAACTAATGATGTCGTTTAATCTTGCTATTTTTACCTTTTCACTTTCATTTTAAATTGTTATCCAATGTTCCAGTTACAGTATTTACAATAGTTTGGTAAATCAAAGGGCAAACTATCAATATCATTTGAAATTTCATGTTACAACAATCCTCCGGATCAATTTGAATGCAATTAGACTTTCACCAACGAAAAACTCGGCTCAATTTTTGATGCATTTGATTGTTTAAAAGCTGATTCAGACATTCATACAATACATTTGAAACTACAGCTACTGCAAATGATTAATTGGCATAGTTCGACCATTTAACTTTCGAAGATTGTATATTTGTTGAGATTCATCATTCGTAGATGATGAAATGCCATGTTTGATTAATAATAAAACTATTAGCTGGTAAACACGAGATCAATGAATGTCTCTTTTCTTCTTCTGCAATTAAATCACCTTCTTAATAGCAGTTTGATTCCTATGCCATTTTTAACTGCTGTTAATCCCAAACAACTGTGATAAAAGAGTTACAATAATGTAACAATTGGTTAAGCCAAGATAAAAATCAAGTGAAAGTTGAGTTCATCTGATCACCTCCATGTGAATTATGAGCCAATAGTCAAGGTTCACACACACGCAATTGCAATAGCAATTTAACCCATTTCAGTTGCAAAGATTCAATCGGTTACTGATTCACCTTGCAGATAAAAAGTTAACATGAAACTAGTTAACAGCCTTTTTAGATCCAGAACATCTTGAATTAACTGTAACAAGTTTCCCAATCTTTGTACTGATAAAGTAAATCATTATTCTATGGACCTTTCTTTTATTGGAGGCTTGGCATCCATTTATCGTCATATTTTATCAAAATCATCATATTTATTTTGCCATAAATCCGGAAGAATTCTAGATTGCTGGTAAAAATCTATCTAAACGAGAAGAATGAAATTATATTAGAGATAAAGATATTAAAGATATCAAAAGTGATTTCAATTGAAATCAAATCAAAACTCAAAAGCATTCAAATAGTTTGCTTTCGTGTAAATACATGTGTCAACTGAATAACATTAATAGGAAAGACAATGACTTCAATATGATGCAAAATCCAATTCTAATTGTAATGCTTCCAAAGCTAATAGTTCGATGATCATACTTGATAATTAGTTCCTAAGGCTTTTTATCCGTCTCTTCTCGTTCTCTCTTTCTTTGTTGCTATCCCGCTAATCTTGATGAACATGATGATGATGATGATGGTTAATTATGATATTGAAAAACTACACGTTTTAACGACCATATTAGAAGGTGTGTCGAGCTCCAGCCTCCAATTGATGATGCAAACAATGATATGAAATGGATAAAAGACACTTTATTTCGCAAATAATAGAGGAAATTTGTAAGACTAGATTATAAATTTACTAACTAATCAACAAAATAAAATCACAATAAATAATTAACCTTTGATGGAAACCTTTTTAGGCAAGTTCGCGGGTTAACGGTTAACCAGCTGTTAACCGCCATTCAGGTTACCATAGATTTGCTAATAAATTAAGACCGCAACATTTAAAAAGCAATGATTATTGAATTGATTGGCAAATTTTTAATAATTTATTAGCAAAACTCTGCATTAATCAAACTCTAGTTTAACTTTTATCGTTTCTGTAAATGTTACTTTCTATTAATTGTTAGTATTTTTGATGATCATCATCGTTTTTCACTCTCATTCGGAGGTGTGTCACTCATCTGGAAGGTTTCAATTTCAATACGATATAATAATAGTCGTTCAATAATCAGTTATATTTAGCTAATCTATTATCATTAACAAATGATTATCTAATCTAATAGATCGAGACAGGAATCAAACTCTCACAATTAACATTACACTTCAACGTAGTCCCATAACAAGCCCATCAATACGGTTGAACTTGTATAATCTTCAAATAGAGTTGTTAACCATTTGTCTTTATACAATTTTACTTTGAGATTGGATCAAATTTGACAATTTAAAATTCAATTCAATATCAAACCGCTCAAAATTCAGTCAACAGTTTAACCCTGATTTCAAGCAATAATTCAGATTGATAATGTAAAGCAAGGAAGATGAGTTTCTAGTAATGGGTTTTGATGCTGATCGACTTTAATGATCAGTTTCTATTTTTATATCCATTTCATTTTTTATTAGATTATAAAGATACCTGTAACCATCATGTTTATCATTTCATCAAAAAGTGACTGATTAAAAGGTGCAATCAAAAGCAATGATAAACAAATGTTTCAATTTTCGAGTTGATATCTCAAGCTAGTAATAAAATAATTCACAAAGCTGAACCTTGATTTAAACGAAAGGATTTAATAGTTGAAATTCATCGCACTTAACCAACAATGAATCTTTAATTGTTAGCCTTAACCTGATAAACAAAATATGGAGTGAAATTGATAATTGTTGACGGTAAATCTTGTTAACATTTAATGATACTCGTTTCAAATTGATTTACTTAAACCAGACAAACATGTGAAGATGTAATCACTTATAATGATCACCATAAAACCTGTTAATTGCAATAAATTAATCGTGTTAACCTTTCAGAGACTTAATTACTGAGATTCTCTGTTTCAATATTACGTATTAACATTGCACAGTTTAAGAAACATTGAATAATATTGATAAAAATGAAATCAAAATTAAGGTTAATTTAAAATTGGGTTCAAAATTGGCGCATCTTTTTCACCAAACAGTTTTGTTTATAAAATTGGTGAACATCTGAAAGTAAGAATCTATTTTTTACCATCTTTTCATGTACATTTCATTTCAACCTTTGATCAGTTGGTAATTGGTAAATTACCTGTACTTTGAACAGTTACAGTTAACAATTTAACAGTGTTTAAACAGCAAAATAGATATACAATAAAGAATTGAATGACAATTTAAGAGGATATCTTTACCCAACTGTAGTGGTAAATTTTCAAGTGTACAACCTCAATACTAATGGTGAGATTTTGATTGTGTACTTGTGATTATTGACTAGTTAAGTAAAGCTGCGATCAACAAACGGACAAGTAGAAGTAGATGTTGTTAGAAACAATTAATCAATAGTTAGATCAATCACCGTTAAAACGTTGATTAGATTAGTGTATATGTATTGAGTTGGATTGATGAGTATTACTGTTGAACAAAATTAGATACAATGTACAAAGTATCACACTTATACGGCCATCAATGTAATCAACATAGCAACAACTACTATAATTTAATTAATTATTGTTTGTATTGTATATTGTAATCTGAAAAATGATCCAATTTAAAGTAGTCAAAGTATACTTGACTTGAATTGACTTGTAGAGGTACTTGGAAAACTTAGGAGGTAAACAGTTTTGTCAATATTTGTGGCCATTTCATGTAATCATATATTTTTCCGTCATGTAGCAGTTCGTGGTACTTGTACACAATTTGCCAGCTCAACAATCAGTTTATCAATCAATCCATAGAGTAAATGTAAAGATGTAAAGACGTGCAGATGTAGATGGTTGAAAAGGCCAAATCTATTGGTTCAACTTGGAATAGGCTTGATAAAACTGACCACAAATTGGCCATATTTTAGGTGTTCTGACCTAAAGTATTTTGAATAGACTATTTTAAAATAAATTTAAGGTTTACTCGTAAAAGCTTAGTTTTAAAGATTGTAGGCCTGAAGAGTGAATCATTTATGGTGCATCTTGACAACAACATGTGCTATTGTTAATGTTAATCAATTGAAAAAATAGAGTGAATAAAGGATTGATTGAAGGAAAGGGAAATTAATTGTTCAACTGTAGAGGTTTCTATCAGAATTTATTGAACAGCAAAGAGTTACTATGGTAAGTAAAGCACTGCAACTAGATATAACTGGATACAACGGGAGAGGTTGTAGCTGTTGATGATAATCTAATCAACTATATGTTAGATTTAGGTGATTGTTGGGTTGAGTAATTCAGGGGAAGTTTTGATAAGGTGAGAAATGAGATGAAGAATGAAAAAAAAGATGTTAAGAGTTAAGTTCGAAAAAATTAAGATTAATCAGGAATGAAAAAACAGGTTAAATGAAATATAAATTGATGGATTATGGGTTGTTGTTGTTGAAAAGGAGTGCTGAGTTGGTCTACAAGAGAAGCAACGAACATGGCTTTAATGTCATCTTTAATTGTATGGAGGTAAAATTTAATAGAGTTGATCCAATATCAGATGATGTTCGGATTAGCCCATAATTGTTTTGTTGTAATCACAGCCATCTTTCTCATAAAATATCGAGAAATATCCCATAAAATATATGACTTTATATTTCGTCTTATCCATATTAAATATCTTGCTTTGATAGCCACGATGGAAGGTCTCCTGATCTCAAATTTGAAAGAAACATCATGAATTGGAATACCTGAGAAAATAAAAAGAGATTAATCAATGTTAATAAACAAAAATGTTAGACGATAGAGGCTCTAGCCAATGTTCAGTGCATTTCTGTCTTTATTTCAGTACAAATATAACGTACCAAGGCTGTTGACAATAATCAATCGATTGTAGAAATTAAATTACACCAAGTAAGCATCATTTGATGAAAAAAACAACCAAAGATCCATTAAACACCAAGCAACAGTTAGCACATCAAAAGTTGATTGTTGTTGGTTATTAGAAAAAATGTGTTCAACAAGGCGACAAAGTATATCTTTTACCGCTACCTTTTTTGATCAGGTTAAGGTTGGGTTAGATTAATGACAATTTAATGTCAATCAAAACAAACCCATGAACCATCAATCGAAAGTTGATTTATTAAGCTTGAAACCTTGAAAAAACTAACATAAAAAGAAACTGATAAATCACAATTAAGTTTACAATAATCAAAATCAATAACAACAACACCAATACAAAAAATAAAAAACCAACACAAGTTTATTTTAAGAACAGAAGATGGCGCAGCAGCATAGCGAAACAAACAATTTCAATGTTTCGCTAAATTGCTGTTAATTAATTTGTAACATAATTTTGACAATTTAAGGCCTTTGATAAAATAACTAAGAGTAAAGAGCTACATTGACAGGGGAAATTTAATTTGATTATAATGAACTAAAACAGCAAACAATACAAATTTCAAATGCTTTCACTCAACACTTAGCTTTTACTTTTGGGTTGTCATTATTTTTGAATTTATTTTGTCATAACTCTCTACAAATCATTTGATTGAATGTCCACAATTGTGATTACATATTCATTTCAAACAAAGGTTGCAAAACTATTCAAATTCACTTCAACTATGGTCAAAATAGACTAACCCATTCCTAAATTTAACTTTCCTTTTATTCCTAATCTTAAATTCATTCCGAAAGCAGATTAGGCTAAGCTCAATCGCTAAACAGCTTAACTTTTTCATTTCTTGTGATTCTGTAGTTACATTAGACATTAATGTTAAATCTATTAAACAGTATTAATAGAAGGTAATAAAGCGACATTTAATGGCTCTGAAAAGTGAACATAAATGAATATAAAAAGCGTAAACTGACCAACATTAGTAAAGCAAATTTGATAGATTTACATTATAATGGATTACATTTGTTCATAAAGACATTAGTTGAGAAAAGGTTTCAACAATTGTTGTGATCTCGTTAATGGTTTAATCAACAATTTACAAGACTATTGGTCATGCAAATCACAATTAATCCATCAGTTTATGATCAATTGATCACGAATTGTTGACCAGATATATCCAAGCAAAGCGTATTGACAACATTGCTTCAATGGTTAACCTCATATACTTCAATCTAATGTTACCCTTACACTTTCAATTTATACCAATAACGGAACCATGATTTATCGTGATGAAAGATTAATGAAAAAACTGTCCTAATCTGAAATTGATTTAATTAATTTCAATTCAGACTAATGGTGGAAAAAGAGCAAAAAATGGATTTATGCTTGTGGACATTGATTAACCTTTAATTATCGTTGAAAGTAGAGAGGTAGAAATGTTATGAATAATTAATATTGGTTGATGATTCTTTTATATCCTTTGATTGAGATAATTGTATGTAATAGACTGGATTATCGATGTTTCCATTATTATGTTAATATCATGATTATCGCTGGAGCAATCACGAAACACGAAAGTGTTGATCATAGTTAGCCATTAACAATTTAATTCCCAATTATCGGCCAAGTTGAATCCACCAAGAATTGAAATATGAACATAAATAAGATGAAAAAAAGCAAAAATAATCAGTAAAATTGAAAAAACAGTTTTCATCTCAATCGGCTTCTTTTTTTACCTTTAAGTTATCATCACACCTTAAATTGTTATAATTTGTAGCCAATTTTCAGTCGATAATTGGAATCAAAATGTATTACCGGAAGATTTTTAAATTCATTGTTGGATAGGATTGCCATTTCATGTCCAACCTTAGCTGTTAATTGTCCAACACTGTAATGATTAGAATTAAAAAGAGTTAATCTTTAACCAAAAATCGAGTAGCTCATAGAATATTGTTGATTCATTTGAATTGTTTAGATTGATTGGTTAACCTGGTGAAATTTAATTATGGAAAAATCACTTCCGTGAAATTTCACTCATTAGTTGACAGTTGATGGTAAAATGTATTGATCAGAATATTTCATTCGGTTGTTTCATCTTATTTTTTGAATCAAAATCAAAGTGTATTACCTAAATGATTATTAAAATTGGAAGAATGATTGAGCAAGTTGATTGTTCACCAGCAAATTCCAATCTCATCAGTTTGTCTATTTTCCCTATCATGATTAAAGAATCTGGTTAAAGATTGAAAGGTTCAATAGCCTATTCAAATTTTGGTTTTACAATCAAGAAGCATAATTAGAAGTGAACAAATTAATAGGTGAAAAACAGTTGAATTAAACCTGAATCTGATACCATTTTGTTTTGTCTGGTTTAAAACAAAATTATGTTTTAAATAATGCGATTCTTTCCGCCATTCATTATTCCTGAATCATTATACTATCATATTGTCAAACCTAATTAAATTGTGAAATTGTGAAAGTCAATATTTGCCATAAAATTAATGAGGAAGACTTAATTTACAATGATAAATATTAACTGAGCAAATACATCATCTAAAAATGCAATTATCCTGTCTATGGAACACCTTGAATCTAAAGTAAAATCACACATTAATCATAAGAAAATCATGAAAAATATCATGATTATCGGTCTTGACAATCCTCAAAAGAATATTTCTTCAACTTTTTTTCCTTGTCAACTCCCATCCAGAGGCATTTCATCAATGTAAATTAGGTTAATTGGTAACATTTAGATATCCAATTTAATGGAAGTGAAACTTCAATTGATCCTTAATGGTTATTACTGTTGAACTCTTGACTTTTGTCCAATGCTTTGATATTCTATTAATAAGTATCATCTTTTTTTTACCTAATTCATGGTGATGATAAAAACAAAACGAACAATCCAGGTTTCATGAGATGGTATTGGATCGATGACCTAGAATTCAATTCATGACCTAGACGATAATCTCGAACACTTTTCCTTGGTTACTGACGTCATAATATTGTAGGCCCATCTTGGAACCAGAAAGAAAGGGAGAACGAAAGAGAAAACTCAGATGATTCTGTTCAGATTCATGGTGAGGATATTGAAAGAGTTGAATCGATAGAGTTCAGCATTAAAACCTAAAGAAAGACAGAATAAAAAAGAGAGGAAAAAGATATTAAGTTAGGATTTTACGTTTTTTTCCTTGTAATTGTTGGTTTCTTTTGTTTATTTTAATCTTCAACTGTTAATAAATTTGATTAAAGAATCAATTTGTTTAATTGCTTACCTTACTGTTAAACAAAGGATATAAATATGCAACACCATTGATGATCATTTGTATGGACTAATGGTATCCACAATCGTCATTATTATTGTATACAAGACAACACTTAAAAACATGTAACCATTCAACAACAAGCTACAAATTGTATCCTTTAGGTTGACATCTTTTTTTTCATTTAATAGTGTAACAATTCAACAAATTAACCTTGAGATTAATTAACTTTTCCATGGATCACTAAATTTAATTACAATTGTTAATGTTGACAGTATTTGAAAATATCAAAATATGGATAAAACCAATTTACACAAAATGGACGACAAAAGAGTGTGTTGAGAATCCAAATTACATCATGGATCATAATTTTCCCTCCTTTTTGCTTCTCAACGTTAAATTGTACTCGATCCTAACATCAAAGGGTAAGTAATTGATTAATTATCCGATAATTTAACCTGATATTAAATCCAAATGATTGTAAAACAAAAACCTGTGACCCTTGGTTACCTCAATGGCAGCATTTTCAAAAATCATTGTAAAACAATTGATTTTGATTATTTCCAGAATAGAATTGGTTTTCTTTTAAATTGATCATGATTAATAATTTGATGATTTACCATGCAGAGAGAAACAAAGATTGAAATTAATTAATCAACAGATTTTCAATAAGATTGTAACAACCGCAAGAAAAGGACCAAGTTTAGCGCTAAAAAGACCCACCAAACTTGTTTAAAACCGTGGAAGAAAAACAAATCAAAGAAACATTTCTCTTTCTTCTGTCTTCTTTATCTTCCTTTCCTTTCTTTCCCTTTCTTTCAATCTTCTTCTCTCTCTCTTTATCTTCTCTTACTTTTCCCTCTCTTCATCTTCTCCCTCGCTTACTCATAGTCATCAATAAAGCAAACCAAGCCAGTTGTTGATTCATCCTCAGTCTAGCAACTTCACCAGGGTTGAACCTCTTTTTTGTAATATGTTTTCAAACTGACAACCGTTATTAATTTTTTTTAAAATACATTTTACCAGGCAATTGAACGATAATTAGCCTCAAAATTTAGTGGCAGTCTTGGTTTAACCATTAAATCATTGTACATAAACTAATTCGTTTTCATCTCTACTGTTTTTTTTGCTGGCCATCACTTTTTGACCATCAACATCTTTTTTTGTGTATACTTTGTGCTTTTAGTTTTTGTGCCTCAACTTGATTGGGATTATCTTTCGTTTTCTTCCAACACTAATTTAAAATCGTATTGATTACCTTTAATAAACCTCAACCACTGGAAGATTATCAAGCAAATTCAGGATAACTTAATATTCATCTCTAAATCACCAATTTTACCATTGAACCCATTGTAAGTATAATTCATTTTCAACCCAATTTCTTGCCCAAATCTTTCACCTTCCCATTACACAGTTGCCATTGTTCAACAAACATCCATATAAATTAATAAATGACTTACAATCCAATCCATAACAATCTATTAATCACAAAATGAACAATTGTTTACCATCACATTGCAAACCATTAATACTGTTTTGTAGACTGTAATAGATCCAGAATATCAATCACATTGTCCTTAAGTATCAATTTGTATAAATCTAATTATTTTCTTGACGTAAATTTGCTGTTTTTTTATATTCATCTGGTGACAACAAACCAATTTGCATGATGATTTAGCGATGAAACATGTGAATAATTAAGGAACAAGCAAAACATTAGTTTTATATAATTTAGTGTCTATTGATAAATCCAATGTGCTTCCATTGCAACCAAAATAAACTTACAATTGAAACAAAATCCTTTACCTAATTTTTTCCGTATTTTTCCCTCAATCCCATACATTCCAATCAACAGTTTGTACTCATTTTGTATTATTTCATGATTACTAAATTATTTAGCTACCATTAAGTCGAACAGAAAGTCTACTTTAGGTTCAATTATTGATTTATCGTGATTAACCAAGAACGTGATTTATTTAGTGCTTATGAGTTTATCTTGTTAACTGTTCATCTTTTCAACTCAGTATGAAATATTACATTGCATCAAGTTATTTGCAAGTTCATTCAATTTGTTCATTCATTCATATTTTCAGCTTGAAAATAAAACAAATATCATGTAATAACAAGATACAAGAAAAAAGATGAACAAACAAAAATGTTCAAAGATTTCAAAGTGTTGATGATTTTAGTAAAAAAAAAGTTGAACAAGAAACTTGAAAAATAAACTTCCAAGTAAATGCATGATGAATACAAGATTGCAGTTAATAAGTTACAATTGAAGAGCTAATTTCCTATGAATAAGAATGAGTTTGAAGAGGAAGAAGAAGAAGAAGAACCCAAAAAAGATGTAAATTTCCCTAACCCTACCTTGAAGCCCTTCCACCCTCAACCTGTTGACATTTAAAACGTTGAAAGTTAACCTTATCAGTCTGAGCAAATGGTGAACAAGTTAACAGAGTCTAGGATAAGAAACAGGCTTAGGTCAATCAAGGATATCCAAGATATTAACCTGTACATTTGGAAAGGTAACCCGGCCGTCCAGGCCATTTTTGCTTTATGTTAGCAAACAGTAAACAGTAAACAAAAAGTTGCTAACCAAATCCACCTTTTTCCACCTCTTGTTAATACACTCTGAATGGGGCCAGTTTACCACTAGAAGGAGAAACATTGTCCCGGACTCATTTCAACCCAATCCACTTTTCATCAGCAACCTTTTTTTTTACCTCAATTGCTTCCAACCAGTGTCACAAACATTATATTATATTATAATATGTAAACCCATTGGTTTGCAATAACTTGCTTTAATTGCAGTCTCAAACCTCCTCTTCATATCCAGGGTTGAAAATTTATTTTTTGCTTCTTCTTGTCAATTGAAAATGAGTTTTCAAGAGTAAATTTAGTTTCCATCTTTACAAACTCAAACAATAGATATTTTTTTACCTGATCAACATCAAAAAATTATTTTCCATTATTATTGTGTCAAGAAAGCGTTAGAACCTAAAACAACTATATTCACTAACAATGCTCAAGTTGATTTGATCTAAATAAAAGGTCATTTTTGAGACTAGATTCACTGCTTAGATTGACTAAAGGATGGTCAATATCAAGTTATTTTGAGGCAGAAAAATCGAGGTTTCTTTAGACAATTTATGTCGGGCGACAATGCAAATGGACCATTTAAGCATCGCCTTGTTTTTCAACAAGATTTCAATATCAATTGTACTTTAATTATAAGTCAAACTAGACTCCATCAGAATAACAATTTATTTTGAATTAGCCTGACTCTGAGTTTAGTGGACTTTACTGTTTCAAAAAGTAAAATAAAAATATTATTGTGACAATTGTCTTGATAATCATTATTGATTATCTTGTTTTGAAGCTTCAATTTTATCTATTGATTCACTTTACTCGATAAGCCTATGGACTGTCAATAGAGTTGATCTAATCCGGATAAAGTTGTATTTGGCTTTAAACATTTCAAATGAAATGTTTCAGAGTTGATAAAAAAGCTTGTTAATCAATGAAAGTAATGCAATTTAACATGGTCTATTCACACTTGCCTAACCATTTTCAACTCTCCAAATGATCTGTCAAAATTTTCAAACATTAACCTAGATCTGTCCATTTCATATGTAATATACAATTTATTATACAATTTACAGCGAATGAAGAAAAATGTTGTTAATTTTTGTGTACCAAGTCTCGATTAGCGTCTAAATAAGACTCAAGGCTCATCATAGCCACTTATCAATACAAGTCTCTCAATCCTCATCTGTTGCTTTAAAAAAATGTTCAAACACCTTAACAGACAGTTTCTCTGTTTAACCTTTAATATAAACTGATAACTTAATGGTCTAACCTTATTCACCTTGATGAAGACAAAAAAAAAATAGCTGAAAGGTAACTTTAAAACTGCAAAAATCTCAAATTCTTTGTACCTAAAAAAAGACGGATCTTCTAGTAGCCAAGTTCACTCTGCCTTAGGTCATTACAATTGTCCAAGGGTAAGGTCAGCCTAATAGACTCGACAATGTCCATAATTTAACAACAAAGATGAGTAAATTCACTTCCATATTAGTTTAGCAACTTCACCTGAAAAAAAACTCTACTTTGACTCTTGACTTTATTTGCTCTTTGCTCATGATAATGATGTCAATAAACAGATATTATTATCATCGTTTTACCAGTGAAGCCAAGTAATCAACTAACAATGGATTATAAATTGTTGACCGCATTTCTTAAACTTCATCTTAAGATTCACCAATTTGAAACAATATTTAAATGCAATGGCTGTAAACCCTCAAAAACTGGATTAATTTGAGCTTTTCATATTAGTCAACAGATTAGCTTTCAATTTCAATCTTTAATCTTGCTCTTGTATCTTTCTTGGTTTACCGTTTACCAGTAAAACGGTAAAAGTAAAGATATTGATTAAGATGGTAAACAATTGTTCAACTTACTTCAATTGCCAAGTCAACAATTTGACTAATTAATCTTTGTCGTACAATTATCTTAATGTCTAGTCGGAAAGACTACAGTTTATTGATCCACTACTTTGGGTCAAAAGATGACCACTTTTGTGACACTTCAACTAATCTTTATTTTCATTTTTTTTTCTTCTTCCTATTCATCACCAGGATAAAGCAATGTAAAACAATTGTCTACCAATAATGAGGCTTTCCTTTGAACCAGCCAGTCCAACCCATTCACCGTCATTTGGTTTAGCTGAATCAATAGGTTCAGATGAATCATTTGCTTCATCATCCATTGAATCATCCAAATTTTCAGACTTTTTTTCACCCTCGCCACCATCTTCACTATCTTCACCTTCCTCATCAAGTCAAACCATTGATAACCTCTCTAGTTCAACGACATCCAATTTATGGTCAACCATTTTCACACCAACAATTTCATCAACCTCTCTGCCCATCTCAACACCAACAGTAACAACAACAATCTCATCTCTACTGTCATCCATTTCATCTCCAACAATAGAACCATTAACTAGCGAATCAACGGCACCAGTCGATCACTACTATCCCCATCATAACCATCATCATCCAGTGACACCTTTCACTGCCACTCTGCCAACTCGAATAATAGACTTTGGCGATAAATTTGTCCGTGAAGAGCAACGATGTGTGGCTCTTGTACCCGAATCGTATGACCCAATCACATCGACCCTCTGTGGGTTGGCAGTTTTCATTGGATTAATTTACATTCTTGCCGGTTATCGGTTATTCAGGTCAACATTGTTTCTCACAGGATTTTTAATCTCATCCTCACTGGTTTACACATTGATTGGACTTACCTCATCACCAATACCCTTCCTGGGTACTCTTGTTGTATCCCTTTCAGTTGGATTGTTGACCGGCCTGGTTACCTTTCTTGTAGCCTGGATCGGCCTGTTTTGCCTTGGATTTAACCTGGGAACCTTCATTGGAACCATTATCATAATCTCAATTCACCTTTTATCACCTCATGTTGATACACTTTCACCTCCTCAGTCAATCTGGGTAACCTTTTCAGTGATTGCTGGATGGGGAATCATCGGCGCCTTTTCAACCCTCTATTTTCAAAAAGGTTAATTTTCCCATTCTTTCCATTATAATCCTCTCATCCATTCAATCCATCAACATTAGCAACTTTTAGGAACCTCATGAGTTTCATTTCCTGAGTTTCATCTGGTTTGCTTTCACTCTCAATCAATTAGCTTCAATTGAATGTGAATGTCATCTTTTAGTTAAACCATTTTTAAATTGATATAAATTGTCAATCAATTGGTTAGCACTTTCATCATTGAACAGCAAATACAAATCATTATCATTTATAGCTTTAAAAGTTAATCATCCATTCATCATCATCATCATCATCACAATATTTAATTTAATTTCATTTCTAAATTATTTTGTCCTTAAATCAATTTATCTTGTTAATGATCAACATTGAAAAAAAAGTGTTGAGCAGATGAACAGAAAAGTCAAGTCAAGTCTTCAACTTTCAATATTATTTTCATGATAATTTCATCTTTTTTTTCCTCCCACAAACATTTCTTTTCAAAAAAGGAAGCATTTTTTTATCGAAGCAAAAATTCCAGTTACAAGATAATTGGCTTCGGATGACCTCAGAGTATCATCATGAAACCACTCATCTTCATCCATTTTATCCTTTCCATCCCTTAACATCTTCTTTGTCCTACTCTTCATCTCCCATCCCTTAACCTTTCCTTATTTACCTCAATTTTTTACCAGTTGAACCGTTTTATTTTCATGAAAACATGTTGTTAGTCAGTTTCGGTTAATTCATTTGCACGGTTATTGCCTATTTACAGCTCTTTGGGTATAAAAATTTAACCCGATCAACATCATTTTAAACAATAAAAGCAATAATCATAATAAAGGAGTAACATGAAAAAATGTAAAGCTTATAATGGGCTGACAATATTTGGTAAAATCTTATAATTTTATACCTTGGTTACAAGTTACCCAAAAATAGTGCCATTGAAGTAAACATTGATGTTGATTGAACTCAAACCAAAAAAAGGAACCAAAATCAACATAATTTTTGTTGAAATTGCTCTTTTTTGTTGCCGGAAAAGGTAACAACAAAATCAGGTCAACTGTTTATGACCAAAAAAATCATAGTTACTATGATAAGTTGGTTCAAATGTTAAGTTGAAGTCTGACTGGATTTAACTCATCGGATTATTTTGAATTGTGAAAATAAATTGATTAGACTTAACTGAAAGCTGATTTACAGGAAAGTTGATTTGATCCTAGCAGAGTTTCATGATATTAGATTATCAATTGTTGGTTTTGTTAAACAAAAGGCTAAAATCTGAATGATCAAGAGGACAATCTTTATCAGATTATTTTTAAGGTTGACAAAAAGCCTTTTCATAAGTCAACTGACAATTGTTTTTTTCTGGTTAAGTCTGCACCTGAAACTATTGATTTACCAGACTAGACTGACTCAAAGGATAGTCATTAGGTTATTTTGTATTTTCATTGTTACTCAAGGTTTGTTCAACTCTATCGATTGACAATTTAAGACAATTTAACAACGACTAATCTCAATTAGCTTTTCTGGTTTTACAAATTTTCCGACCATTTTCATTGTTAAGTGGATTTGGAGCGACTTTACCGGCTGACCATTTGTTTTGGCTTAATCCAAAGCTTAAGCATTTAAAAGATCAAAAATGTTGTTAATTTGCTTCAAAGTGATTTAGTTTATTAGAAGCGATCCTTTTAAATATTTCATCGGAAACATTCAAAGACCTTTCATGAAATCTGTTGACTATTGAACCGGTCAATCTTTTCATCTTTCCCTTAATGAGAAACATTGTTGAAATGTTTCTGCCTAAAGGCATTATTGACATGTTGAGCTTGTGACTTATTTTTTCGCCTCGCTTTCTCTTCTCACTTTGCTTCTTCCTAATCATCCTCTCAACCATCATCACATACGGAACACACATGATACATCCTCATCTTCACAGTTTTTTCAGTCTTTTTTGTCTTCTTTACATCTCATCTTTTCCCTTTCATTGTCTTTCAACTAAAATATTCATCTTCCTGTAAATTCCAATTCCTTTTGTCTTCTTTTCCTCTTCCCTTTGCCCTTATATAAACCATCTCCTAATCAATGATAGTCATCTTCAGGTCACTCATGTCATCCATGTCCATCAATGGCATAATGAATGTTGACTTGAAAATAAACCATTTAAAGCTATCCATTCACAATCAAATTGACAATCAACAAAACCAAAAGACATTGAAACGTTCCTTAACTGATAGATTGAAATGAGAAATGGATAAACAATTGAACCCAAATTTAACCAGAATTAAAAACTCTAATCACCCTCAAAATTGACCAGAATCACTAATAATTTTTGTCTTCTTTTACAGGATGCACCATCTTAGCAACCTGTATGTTTGGTTCAGCCTTTGTGATAGCAGGATTAGATTATTTTGTTGAAAATTTTAACCTCTTCAATTGGTTTTGGGAAAACTTGCGAACCGATGGAAATGGCTATGTAACTCTGAATGGATCAGATGATTCAGGTTTATTCATGTGTCTTATATCATGGATTTTGCTGATGCTTTGGGCAATCCTTGTTTCACTTGGTTTATTTTGTCAATGGTGTGCCACTGGTCGAGGCTATTATCACACAGGAACCTTGACAAGTACCTCTTCTAGTCGTCGTAATGGTACACTGGATTTGGTCAAGATTCGTGCAGAAGAATCGAAAACTGAACAAAAACAGAGAAAATATCGTTACCTTTATCAAGTCAGAACTGCTCATGGCGATGTTATTTCCCAGGTAAGAGTCTTGCATTTGCTTGAAAAAATGTTACAACTTCACTTTCTCATCATAATTCATGGCTTTTCTTCAACTTGCTCAGTTGATTGTCATTGTTGCAAATCACTTTAATCAGTCAACCTTACGTTGCTAATTTAGCTATTTAAACAGATTTACATACTAATTGAACAACAATTGACAATTAGCAAGACTTTGTCAGCTGTTCATGTAAACCTAAAAAATGTAATTTCGTTTTATCCAAACTTAAGTTGATTCAATGATTTATTATAATCATTAATCTAGTCAATATTGAGAGATATTTCTGTTGTTGTCCTTTTTCTTGAGTCTTGCCATGTATCAATTCATCTCACGATTGTCAGTATCAGTGAACCTTTAAAAAGTGTAACAACAGATGATAATGTTGATGGTAATGATGTTGACGATGATGATGAGGAGGAAAAAAAACAGGAACCAAGTAAATTGAACATGTTTGTTGTCTATTAACTCAGATTATCCAACATTGAATTTTACCTTTTAAAAGGTTGTCCAGTTCAATTTGGTGACTTGACATTGGATCATTTAATCTCAGTTTTTCCCACACTTTCGCTTATGAAACTAGTCTGTCAACTTGACTTTTTTACCTGTTTTTTTGCTCTTCTCTTACCTTTCTCTATTAACTTTCCTTCCTCCTTTTCAGGTTTACCTTTAATCACGTAAAATCTAGTTAATTTTTTAGTCTCTCAGATCAGTCACAATAATCGCAAGACAAAATCAATTGAAACAATCAACAATCAAACGATTCAACTTGAAACCTTTTGCGTCTTTAATCAAACCTTTTCAAGACATTTACACATTTAACTTTTGAGGGTTAATTGTTGGTTTCCATTGAATTTGCTAATTATATTAAATCAGTCTTTTCCTTTTTATGCTCTGCTAATTTGTCAGATAATCATTAAGATGATTAACAATTTACTGTGAGAACATTTTAAACATTTTTTTCCTTTATTTGCATAATTGTAAATTCCCAATGAAAGTGAATTGTTGATTGATCAAGAGTTGGTCATTGATTTCAATGGTTAATGGTTGACTCTTAATTGGTGTTGCTATTTTTACTTCACTAATTGTTGACCTGAAAACATGATTTTACTAGTTAAATTGATTTCAACAGTCAGTTTGGTCAATCACAATAATATTCATCTAATAACGTTTATATGTTGACCTCTTTAAACCTTTCATCCAAACTGATCCATTGAATCTATTCAATTTCAAATGATACAACAAGCTTGATAAACATTTGAAACAATCAAAATAGCAACCTTGATCCTGAATTGTGATTAAAAGTGATTTACAAGCAAATAAGACAAAATAATCATTATTCAAGTTGTATTGTCAGATGAAAAGAGATGTTAAGAGTCATTGCTTTCAATTGAAGGGTTTACTTTTTTCTTGAAATCTTTAATCATTCAGACCAATATCGAGTCCATTATTGATACAATTTAAGCTCAATCAATCAAATTTACCCTGATTAGAAGACAGTGTTAATCAGTTTAATTTGTTTTCCTTCACGTAACAAATTTCGAGAATTGATTTGCATTTCATCTTGAAAACTGAAAGCGACTTTAATTTTCATTTCCAACTCTTACACTTCCCACTAATTGACCCTTAATTGTGAGTAAATTTTAATTTCAATTTTCTTTCTTCTTCTACAGCATTACATTCAAAATTTTCAGAAAAAATTATCACCTCAAATGGATCACAATGATAGTCTGAGGACTTACAATTCCGATTTAAGCCATTTGACCAGTTATAATCAATCGGAAAGTCGGACAACCACAATGAGCCATCTTCCTTGAACCCAGTCCTCACCAAAATGACCCAAGATAAATCAATAATTATCAATTGCCGAAAAATTGGAAAGCTTAAACCATTGTGATAATTAGACAAATTGACTATTGAATTGTACAAAAGTGGAGACAATTTTTGTCAAATCAAAGAAAGCATTTCAATTGGATTTATTTTTAATTGTGATATGAGTGTAAATACAATCAGGAAGAAGAAGAGATTATATTTGGAAAAGTCGATTGTAAAAAAAAGCTGAATTTATATCAACGATTTCAATGGTTATAAATATTGGTTGGAAAAAATATTCAACAATTGATTCAATTTTCAAGCTTCTCCAGTTTTTTTTTCAAGCCTCACACCTGGAAAGGTTATTGATTCATAGTATTTCAATCAATGGTGATACTTTGAATCTCATTTTTTGTTCCTCAACTGATTCTTTTTTCATTATCAGTTTCATCGGATGATTCAAATTTTATCAACAAACGTCTTAACAACATTTTTTTTGAATCAACTTGCAACTTCCTTGTCTATCAACAACAGGATCATCCTCAGTCTCATCATGATCGCTCATCATTTGCTAGCAAAACAAAGGCGTTATTATTACAATGTAAATGATTTTCAATTGTGGCTGAATGTGAAACAAAGATTGAAAATAATTTGTTTCTTAATACAATTTTGTATAAATTTCCCATTGTAAATTGACTAAACAATTGTCAGTGCCATTAGTCTTAAAGGTAAAATCAGGTGACTAGCAATTAAATCATTTGCAATTAAAATAAAACTCTCACTTCATTTAAACCTACATGTTAAGTTGAATCTATCTAACCTTGTTTCAATCAACCTGAAGCAAAACATCGGGAAAAACAGTTACATAGACAATTTTGCTTTACTTTTAACACTTTTAGATTGAAGGAAATTAAATTGTGAATCAAACTGTAAATCAAATTATCAATTTGAACAATTATCTTGTTTCCAATTGAAATAACCATTGATCTGATTCGACTTATAAGTCCAGGTTTGATCCTCTTTTCAAAAGCACACTCAAAAAAGTGACCTTTCAAGGGATTTAATTTTCATTTGCTTCATTTATCACAATCAACAATCTGTTTTGCCTCTTATGGAAACTATCAATTTACAGAAAGAAAAAATTTAATCAAAACAAATCATCATCATTTAAGTATACAAATCAGGCTTAATTGTACCTTAAGCTAGGTAAAAATATTTACTACAAAAAAAAACAACAAAAAGAAACAACTCATCAAGCGTAATGTTGATTTTCATTTCAGTAAATTCAATTAATCACTTTAACTTTTTGATTGCACCAATTATACCAGTTGTTAGAAGCAGTAAAATGAACCAAATTAGATGAATATAAGGTATAACAATTAACAGTCAGGTTAAGATGTTGTTATGAGCCGGAAAGTGGATAAAAAATGCTTCAATAACATCAACATTGGTTAGTCAGGAAAAGTTGATTGTCCCCATTAACATATGGTAATCGGTCTGCTTTTTTTTGGTTAAAAACTCGCAATTTGATTGACTGATTACATCATTTGATTATCTTTTCAATTTTAATAAACATTTTCCCATGTTTAATCCTTGATTCGGATCCATGCTGATTCCAAGTGATATATGAGCTTTCATTGGTCCCTCATTGCTGTTTATTATAATACAATCCATTCAATTGACGCCATTTTTACTTGTTTCACCTTTACAGCTTTGTAAGCTTTGATTACTCCATTCAACCATCAAATTATTGCCTTTGTTTGCAACATATTTAAGCAATGGTTAAATCAGCTTTGAATCAACATCATTAGCAATGAAAATATTGTCAAATTGTTTGCCAAATTGTTTGTCAAATTGAGATTGATCTTGTTCAACCTTTTCTTTGCTTGTGGTAAGGGAAAGTGACTGGAAATCACCAGAGATGCCGATAAAGTGAAGACCAATCCATTGACCATGAATAAACGATGATGAGAAGATGATTTGAAGATGATTGCTAGATTGTCTGTTCACTCCATGTGGCCTTAAAGTCCTCAATTCCTTATTTTTAACATCTTTCTCTTGGTTTATCCTTTTTTTTCCTCCAATAAATCTAACCGAAAATGCAACCTTCCAATTCAACCCATGTTTAGATTTGAAAATATGTTAATAACAACTCTTTTTACCAGTCACTTTTATTTCTTTATAAAACTCCAATCAGTCGTCAACCATTTAATCAATTAATTCAGATAATCAACCTTCAATCAGTCAAAAATCAATAGCTTTAGACTGACAACACCAAAAAACGAGTCAACAGGAGCAAACGAGTTTTTTTTCCTTTGCATAAATTTATCACTGACCTTGCCAAAAGCTTTGAGGGTAATATGATGATAAAGAAGAAGAAGAAAGATGGTTATAATGATTTAGATGAAGGAGAAGCTCAAGATGTGGACGGAAATCGGCCTCAAAAAGAGTCTTTGTTCGATAATTTTGGTTTCTCGTTTACATTGAAATGCATCATTTACTTTTCTCGTCCGTTCCTCTTTTCACATAACCATTCTGGTTTCTATTGATTTTTATCGCCTCAAACAAGTATCAGAAGCTTTGCCACAATCATGAAATGCTTTATAATGACTTCTGTTAGAATCGGGTTCAACGGAAATGGCCAACTTCTTAATCCCATCATTGGGGAATTTCAAGTATTTCCGTTGTGTCAGCCTCCAGTTCGGGGTGTTTGATCCAAGTAAACAAAGTCAACTGTTAATATTGATTCCCAACTTTCCTTTGTTTAACCAAATCCATTAGCATTGAATAACCAGCTGTAAATATTCACTAATCCCAATGGCCAATAGTTGAAAATGAACTTCATTTGCCTTCGCCACCAAACAAATTGAATATCTTTATTTACTTTTACTTGGGTTATCCTGGAAAAGATAAAGATAGAAGCATATGGATCAAGAATTAGATTTCATGTTAAATCAGGTCAATTTAAATAGTCATCATCAATCAGACTCGAAATTACTGCTTCCAGTAAATTAACTGCCTTTAAATCCATTTATAAAACAACCATTTTCAGGCAACAGTTAATCTACATCTCTAGATAATTCAAAGGTAAACTCCTATGAAATTATTTGGGGATATTTTCATCTTTTTAGTGGTTGATTTAGCCTCTATTGTGAGACAAGCTCAAACAAAGCTTGAGGTAAACAGAACAGTAAAAAGACCAGTGAATTGGGCAAAAATAATCAATTGATTATCATCATTGTTAAACTCAGACTCAATCTTTTTTTTTCTCACTTTTATGTGAAACTGCCTTTTTAATGGCTTTTTTACACAGTTGAAATGGAAGGGAAAATTGGTGAAAACAAAAGGTAAAAGTGCAAGTCTTATTAAACTGAAAACAAAAGCATTGCGTTTGAGCGTTGAATTATTTCTGACCTTGGTTAATATCATTAGCGTTGTTTTTTTAGCGAGAGGTTAGGGGCGAGGGTCGAGTGTCCAATGAACACTTGAAATCACTTGTTAGGTAAGGTTTACTGAGGTTAATTTGTGTTTGCATATATTTCTTTAGACAACACCATTTAAACATAATAATATTTTCCCACCAAATGAATGGAAAAGGAAATTGATATGAACAAGAAGGCCAAGAAGATGTAGAAGTAAAAGAATGATGAGATGATGATGATGAACGGATGAGAGAATAAGAAAGCAATATCATCAACATCAACATACATTTCTATAAGAATTAAACTCCTCTTTCCGGCGCTCTTCTACTTTTCAAACCTCTTTTCATCATGTAATAGCTAAACCTGAGATTGTCTTACCCAATTAAATTTTAAATCACGATTTATAATGGTTAAACAAACTTTCGATGCTCAAATTGTTTCCTTCTCAGTTAAATTGTTTTCATATTTACCTATCAGTTAATCACGAAAAGGTAAAGATTGATTGGGATTGTCAGGTTATACCAGAAATACCATTCTTTATAATAGGGTTGAAATGCATAGCCAGACACTAACTTAGATACCAAAACTGATGATCGGACCACATTAAATGATTTATAATGATTGATAAACACACTAATTATTAAAGATCACTTTTAAAATAATAATATCGATGTTCACAATTAAAACATTTGACAATTTTCCACGTAAATAATTAAACGAAACCAAACTCTAATCTAAATAGAGTTTATATTTTTTACACAGGCTTTTGTTTAATTGATATGAATAGAGATGGCGTTATGAAAATATTAATGACAAATATATTGATATCAAGGCGGTAAAACTCATCATTAGTAACGGATCTTGTCGTTTCACACCTTTACCCCTTTCCTCATCATCAGACCTTGTTTTTTATTCAATTGGCCCACAAATCAACTTTAATTCAACAAAATTATTCCAATTTCAAACTCTGTCCATCTAATTTCATCAATAGTTTCTTATTTAATAAATAAGTGTCTAAAACAATTAAGGTAAGAATGAAACTCTTTACACCTGTATTGGTCGATTAATTATTATGATTAAACGACTATTATACGCATTTTGTATCAAACTGAATTTTCTCGCCTTGGAATTCAATCAAATTAAATTTGAAAAGATTAAATAGAAACAAAGTGAAACAATTTAGATGACAAAATTAAAAGTGAAGATAATTTTGTTTCGATTTGGAAAAAAAAGTTTTTTTAAAAAAATCAATCTTTAGGGTTCAATTGCTACCAATCAATTTTTCAATTTACAAAGTCTTTAATTTATTTCAATCATTGTATTATTTAATCTAATATATTAATCTTTACAATTAATCACAGGGAATCAAATATTTGGAATATTAATTTTGCTGCTTAAATCATTCAACATAGAGCTTGACTAAGATCTGTTGAATTTCCTAAATTGATAAATAAATCCTGAAAAATTGTACAACTGCCCATTGTGTTATCTGGTAACTTTCATTAATATCTGGTAATATTAGTGAGATAATAGAAATGGGAAAAGCTAAAGAACTGTCTGACCAGGAACGCGGTCAAATCCTCGAATTAAAAAAATTACATCCTACATGGACAAACCAAAAAATAGCAAAGCACGTAAAAAGAAGTGCTTCGACGATCGGCAGGTTCCTTAAGGATCCTGACTCTTATGGTAAGGCTCCTAGGTCAGGAAGGCCTAAAGTAACAACTGTAAGAGATGATCGACGAATCAAACGCTTGGCTCGCATAAGGGGACAGTCTTCGGTGCAGATCAAAAGGGAGATGAACCTTAGCTGTTCTGCACGGACAATAAGAAACAGACTCGCAAAGTGTCGAGATGTGAGAGTTTCAAAGCATACTTTCGATAAATCGTGGAGAAGAAAGCGATTATTATTTGCATCTGAAATGAAATCGAAACCCCAGAGTTACTGGGACAATGTCATATTTACTGATGAAAACATCTGGAAACTCATAGGCCGCCGCTGGCTTGACGAAAGAAAAATAGAAAGTTCAGAGGATTTTCCTCGTCAACAGCGCAAGCATAAATCTATTATGTTTTGGGCCGGAATCTCATCTAAAGGTAAAACAGAGATCATAGAATGCCCAGTAAATATGAACTCTGAACAATATCAGGATATTTTAGCTGAGCATTTGTTGCCTCTCATCTCTTCTGGAGATTATATTTTGATAAATGATAAGCTCGCAACACATAGCTGTAAGGCTTGGCTTAAATCAAAACAAGTAAAGGTTTTGAAGTGGCCTGCTCGATCTCCCGACCTTAACCCCTTTGAGAACCTTTGGCATCTGTTATCAAACCGGATTCTTGCCGTTTATGGAGAAAGATTTAGTTCAGTTTCTGAGCTGAGAAATGCTATAGTTGCTGAATGGTCAGCAATATCTAACAATCAATTGCAAAAATACACTAGTTCTATGAAAGAAAGATTGATATTAGTGAGAAAAGCTAAAGGTGGGCTAATCAAGTATTAACTAACAAGCTTAGTTTTTTGATACATAATAGTAATGATTGACTTTTGCTGATTCGGATTTCTAGACAGAAAAAGTATTCGATGAAAAAATTGTGACAATGACTAATAATTTATGGTAACTGACTGACTTTTAAAGGTAAGGCAATGATGGCTTCAAATCAAGGTTTGATTTGGGCTTGATTCAAAGCAACAGACACAGTTGCATATCACTTTTTGCTATTTTATTATTCAACATTTAGGCAAGCTGGACTTATTGTCTGAGTTTGATCATTATCAGGTAATCAAGATGAAAACACATCATGAAATCACCATTAATCATGTCATCGTCGGTTGTTTTTTTAATTGTTTCTACCTTTCAGTGGCACTTTATAATATGTTTGATACATTAATATCTCCGTCTAATATTTTACAAAGGTTTATTTACTCAAATTGTTAATTGTTTGCTCAAAGATTTTTTATCCAAAAATGTGTTAAATTATTGAATAAAGTACATTAATTTTCTTCTAATTGTTCACAAGTCTTCATATTGTTTCTTTCAATGTAATGGATTGCTTGTGACAACTGTTATCGCGTTCACATTGTGTTTATTTTTTCCAGTTTTTAATCTGGTTTTTCAATGTAAATGTTCTGAATCTTGAGCCAACAATCTGATTCAAAATTCAAGGCTAATTACTTGGTATTCAGTGATAATCTCTACTTTCCCTTAACACAATTTAAACATTGTTCATCAAATTATTAACAAAAAGTGAATTGAAGTCTGCGTCAACACACCATTTAGTTATTGTCATTTATCACATTACCTTCAGTGTTTGCCTTTTTGTGTTAGTAAATCAAAATAATTTGTTGACATTTTTTCTCAGGTGAAAATAAATTATCAACCTTTAACATGCACTCAATTTACTCAACTAACCACATGAGAAGTGGTATCAACAATAATGTGAAAACTCATCTGAATGCCTGCAGAGTTATTCACGTTCATTCAATTATCAACCGTGAACCTGACCATTAATGAGAAATTGTTTCAATCAAAATGGCCAATGAAGCAGCTCTAATTAAGATGACAATGAGAGGAATCAGAAAAGATAATTTAACTTGAAACAAATGGAAAAGATGAAGACAAAAGGTAAATTATTCTCATGCTTATTACATCTTAATAGCATTTCCTTCTCGGTATAACGGACTTGAATTATTCAGTGTTTACCATCCAATGAAGCCCTTCCCAGACCATTGATAAAATATACTTTCACTTGAACAATTAAAATTAATTCATTTTCCTCCTTCATAAGCGTCTCTATTATTTGGTCAAGATCCGATGTTGATCGCTGTAGTTACAATGTTAAAGTCATCTGTTTAATAAAAGTATAATGAATAAAGGTTTGGTTGGTTACATTTGGTACAGTCGCGTGGGATTTTTTTGTTAGAGGACCCACTTTATTGTATTGTTACGGTTAGGAGTGGTTAGACTAACAGAGGGAAAATTAATGGTAAGTGTTTGTACACGCGTTCAATTGTATTTAAATGTGAACGCAGTTTCATATCTTTGTTCATAAATTATCAAATCTATTTCAATTGGAAACTTAATGGTTCTCAATATTTCCCTCAACAGGCCTTTAACTCCAATCTTGATTGCTGTTGATGAAATGAAATACAATGGTTTTGAGAAAAAATTGACATTTTAATTTTGGCTTATTTAAATTATTTCTCTATTTAATTAGAAGAAACCAGTATTAATTACATATGATACACAACATTAATATAAGGAAACAGATAGAAAAAAATGGTTGATAAGTTAATGTGATTGAAATCAATTGAAGTCCTTTGAAAAATTGATTTAGACAATCACAGGTTGATTTAGACATAACTTTAAATTAGACTTTCAGATTTGGTAAGATATATCAATAAACATTATTTACTGTATATGTAAAGGGAAAACAAAAGCCCATGGAAATGAGAAATGTTGTCTTAATCAAAGGTTCAATCTTGAAGATTGAATAATAGTAGATAGTTGACTTGACCAGGACTTGTACATGGATGGAAGTTGATGATGACAAGGCAAGAGTTGAATTAATATCACCATTGATTAGTCGCAGTTGGTTTACTAATTGGCTGCAGTTAGTGTTGGTAAAAACGATTGGATGTTTCATAAGTCTTTCATCTATTCCTAGGAAAAATGATCGAGTTAAGTTGATGTCGCCCAAGTTGTGGTTGAAATTGTCTTTAGCAAACAGTTATTGGTTTTGCTATTAAACATAGAGAATGAAGTTATTAAGTTGATTATCATTGAGGAACAATTAGAGAATGGATAAATTTTGTGGTTGAATTGTTGAATACTTCAGATTGAATCAGACTAACAGAGTTGACAAACGCATGCAAACGGTAATTTTCACATTGAAAATTGAGATCAGATAAAGCTATTAGAATGATTCCTTTTCAAATTTAAACCTAGCAATTGGATTGTTTAGATTTAATAGTTGTAGTTAACGTCAAGGCAAAAAGGAAAGGGAATAACAATGAACCGGAATATGACATTGGAAGTAGATATAAAGAGATGAAGCAAAGATGAAATGGTTAAAATTTGATTGTTGACCTTTTTCTTTAAAAACTGTCCATTGATAGATTGGAAAGACTTAATTTTCAAGTCAAATGTTGAAAGATGAACAAGAATAAATGATGTAAACATAAACTAAATTGGCTGTCAGTTTGTAAATCGTTGAAAAAAACGATGAAGTATAAATTTGAGACCATTCATTACAACTAACAGAAAATGGTATAACAGAAATGCAAACTTAATTACATAAGATTGAGTAGATTGTTGGCTTTTTTTCTCGTTTCGCTGAAAGTGAGTAAAAAAATATAAATGGTTGAGTGAATGATTATTTAAATGTAAAGATGACAAGAAGTAGAATGGATGGCGAAACGAAAGCTCAATCGAACTACTCTTTTGCTTGATTTTCATTGCAAAAAGATCAGTTTGTAAAGATTTTGACTTTTGATGGACACAGAGGACGAATTGAGGAAATTATCAAGATGTAGTTTGGAAGTGTTCAATGTAGATCTTGTTCAATAGGCGTTGAAGTATCATTATGTTCAGGATTCATGGCTTCGTTTGAATCGTCTTCTTCTGCAACTGCACTTTCCTGTTGGACTCTTTCATCAATACATAATCGACACATTGGACAAAGTTCAAGCATATTGGCACATTTAAAACAAAAACCATCGTGTCTGCATGGTAATAACATTATGTCAGCGACATTTTCACAGCACAAAGTACAACAATCATCTCGTAAAGAGCTTTTATGTAGATTTTTCAAAATAATAAACCTGAAAGGAGAAGAAAAAGATCAAGATAAGTAATGGATGGCCAAGAATAACGAAAATACAATATTTACCTGGGATAGATAATCTTTTCTTCCTCAGTAGGATTGGCATAATCATTGAAACATTTGAAGTTAATTCCAGATGGTGGATATTTAAAGGGTTCCCGACCAAAATTGAAAATACACTCTTGAAATGACATTAAACTTGCACCAGCAAAGAAACCTTTACTATTGGAATAGAAGAACAAAAAATTGTTAAATTGGAGAGAAGAAATAAAACTAAATTAAAATTAAACTTACACTGCATTTTGAAAAACATGGTTTACTGGAGGCATAGCTACGCCATTTAATGAAAATATAATCTTAAGATTTACTAAATCTAAAAGACATCCAAGTATATCACCTGTTGAAGATGGAAATAAACTTGAAATTAGTAAATGAATTATAGAATGTCAAATATTTTTACAAACCTTGCTTCCAAGATCCATGTTTAAATTGGTAAGGGTGTGCTTCATGCCAAATTAACTGTCTACAACCATCATAGGCAATTGAGTATTCATCATCACCAATTCCATGACCCTCATGATTAAGAAAACGACTACTTTTGGTAGCAAATCCAATTTGCATAACACCACTGGTGATAATTGTCACCTCATAATACCAGATTCCTTCATCAACTTGAAATGTACATCTAACACTCTCGAATGATGCTGAGTCGCACCGGGCAATCAATCCATTGGGTGAAATTTTTAAGTATTCACTAACATCGTTAGCATTCAGCAAAACGTTGAGATTTTTACGGTCAACGTTTTCATAAGAAAAAGGTCGATCCTCATGAATAACTAATGGATAAAAAATAAAGGGAGAAATTAGTAAAGGAAAAAAACATAACAATAAAGAGTATTTGATAAAAATCAATGCAGAAAGTAAACAATGATATTTATGACTTAAAATGATAATGAACCTTTGGCATTAACTAGATTTGATAATTGATAAATTGTGATAAGCTCGAGATAGTTCAGTCTGATTATAACTCATAAGATTTTGTTCACGTAATTACCCTCAACAATTGATAATCTAGCGAATAAATTACCAAATAAAGATCTAGAATTTAGATATTCTCTAGGTTTATAAATGTAATACATGTACAATTAAACTCTTAAAGTAGACATTTTATACATACAGATATTATCGAGTGACCATTGAGCACAGAAACCAACTTGTTGACGATCATAATCTGGATCATCAATCCATTTTTCTAATATTAACAACGGGTTCTCAGGTAAAGATTGAATTCTTTTATGAATAGTAAGTTTATTTTCACCTAGAAAAAAAAGAAAGATGAATCAGTATTAATAGAAAATGAATATAATAATAATAATAGATAATGAATAGTCAAAGGTTTCATCACTATTGTTGAGATGACGAATATGAATCACAGAGGAATTTTATTCAAGGCTCGTATTTATAGAAACAAATACTAAACTAATGATTAATTTGTGCGAATGAGCTTGTAGATTATTTATAAATGTAGGATTTTGTTGCTGTTAACAAAATTATCTGTGAAACCTAATCACCAATTTAAGTTAATAGCATACAATCATCAACCAAAATTGAAAAAAAACTCATTCAATATTATAATAAACAATAGTGATAAAAAGGTGATGGTAAGTGAAATAAAATAAAAATAAGATAATTACTGGTTTGAGCAAATTTTTCCAGAGCAATCAGCGAGAAAAGTATGATTAAAGGATTATTTTTAGTGTTGAGGTTGCTTAGAAGATACTTCAAGACGGTCGGTGTAAGTATGGCGATACTGTTTGGTCCAGCAAGTCTTTCGGCTAATGATCCAAGCATAACGCAAATGTTACGATGTCGAATTAGTGCTTTGCTAGACTTTATCGATGAATTTTTCAAATTCAATCTACTAGTCAATTTATTAACAGATTCCTATAAAAAAGAGAAAAGAAACGAGAGAAATCATTTAGTTATGGCTGTGGTAATTAAAGAATTAGTTTGTTATTACTTTAGTTGGAATTGGGCATTCATCTAAAAGAAGAAGAATCGCAGCAGATCCTAGAGGGTTTTCTATGGGAATATTTTTTATCATGGATTTAATTACGTAGATCCATCCTCGTTCAGTTTCTGCGAAAGCGTGAATACGAATCATTGAAGGAGGTAATTGGGTCCCACTAGTAAATAGAAGAAAATAATCACAATTAGTCTTGATAAATGTTTTGCATAGATATAACAATGTTGAATGAATGAATGGTGAAATATTGTGACACGTTAATGACAAACTTTGAAATGGGTAATCAACTTTTAATGAAAGTTGACACATTTGATTTGATTTGAAATTGAAATTAAATTTTCTACTAATTGGAATTCTTGTCATGACCTGATTTATCTCTAAAAGTTAATAATTTGATGATCATTATTGCGGAAAGGTTAGGAATGGCTGAAATCTTGACCCAAATGAATGATACCGGAAAACTTGGAGCAATATGAATCAAGGATAAAAAAACAAAAAAAAGTCAAGCTAAAAGTACTATTGTGTTTAAAACATCTGTAGTACATAAAATCAATGATGGATGAATAGAGATATGAATATAATTACCTGACTATATTATAACTGCACACAAAACGTTAAATTTAATTTCGAACAAAAAACTGAAAGAACTAACATGAATATAACGGTGAATAAAACGAAATGCCAAATACTAATACTTAACAAAATCGCATTGGACAGTAACAAACATGAAAGGATATTTTTCTACTCGATAAAGAATGGAAATAATTACTTACAAATCTAGGTATGTTCTGATCATATTAGGAGTATCAAGTACAAGGTGGTCAATAACATGGTCACCTTCTGGTAACATTGCATTGGATCGCATCGCACGAAAGGCATTGCGATGGATTCTTAAGGATCTTCTGAGTTGAGATTCCAGTTGAGGATCTCTTGTGGATCTCGGGTGATCATTGTCCAAGTCTCTTTGAGAGGAAACTGAGTCTCGTTTTTTGAGAATCCAATCACGACAAATACACAACCCCATATTAAATAATAATAAATGATTTCTCTTGATTGAGTCGGTTAAGCACAGAATAAAATAACAAAACAAACATTCAGAATCAAAACCTTATTCAATTTTAATTGAAAACTTCCAATGTTGTATAAAACAGCTGATAATAGTGTTGATTTCTTAGCAGAGGTGGCGCTATCCAACAAAAACAACACAAAATTCAATTTTGACAAAGTTAATTACAATTTGATTAACTAATGTTAATCTTTTTTTACTATTTAGATCATTATTGATGATGAGATAAACTACATTGGATTATTTTACGGATAATTTATGAATTAAGCTTGAAGATGCATCAAGGAATGCATTAAATAAAATGTTTTATAAGTTACAATTGATAATCAAAGTGTATTAATTTTTACAACATCTTAAATTGAAATTGTTTTACCTCGACCAAGAGATAGAAATCAAAACAGAAACCATATTAATCATGTTCGATGAAATGATTTACAATGCTAGCAGACAATTAAAGTTAGATATTAAAAATTAGAAAGCTTCTTGATTAACCATCATTTCCATTTGGTTTTCAATTGGATTTTTGTGTCTAAATTAATTTGAATCAGGATTCCCTTTATGTGATTTATGGGACAAAAAAGGATTTTGTTTGATGTTTGAGTGTCTAAGAAGTGTGTGAACAAATTAATCAAATTAATCTGTGAGAAGGATAACAAAGCTGTTACAATCAAACCTTGCATACTTACAATTTAAAGTAAAACGTTCTTACTGATCTTTTTGGATTTACTTTTTTGTATCAAGTATTCTGGTAAGATATCACCTTCCTTCATTCAACATAAGGTAACTCTACTCTTTGCTTTCATTCCTGTAATAAGGAATAATAATAACAGTAATAAAGTTTTCAGTTTTGATTTATTGGTAAGGAAAGTGAATTGATTTTTAACATTATGGAATTTCCTGTTGTATGACATCCAACCAGCCAAATTCATTTAAAATTGTTTGTCCATTTGCGCTTCTCTGTTACAGCTCTAGAGCCATTGTCCATTATCATGTGAATGCTATAGCAAGAAAGGTTTGTATTTTTAATTCACTTTCTTTCACTTTATCTTAACGATTGTTCGATGTTTAATATGCTTGTTAATTCACTTCTCATTGATTCAGGATCCATAAATATAGCTTGTGGTAATATTGTAGGATCTTTATCAGATTTGTCAGAGACACCACATGTTCTCACCTTTACTAACATCACATTTGACGAAAGAGTTATTTTCGGATCTAGTTTGAATTTCATCGCATTCAATCATTTGATTATAGAGAGCTGTGGTGGATCAACTCAAGCTACAATCAATCGCCGTGATCGACTTATTGTTGATGATGATGCTTACACTGATATTCCGTATGAAAAATCTTTGAGCGTTACTAATAACACAACATAATAGTCACAACATCCATCAGAATGGAAATGGACATAATTTTAAACAAATCCTAATTGAAAATTCAAACTCTATTTGCTTTCCATTTACCCATTTTGACTGGTAAATTTGTTGTTAAAGTGATCGGACCCAATGTAACTTCATCAAGCCTCAATGGATGTAAAATAACTTCAATTCAATCAGGGGCATTGAACAATCTTGTCTGCCTTAGATACTTGGAAATCACCCGAAATGAAGAACTGTCAATACCAAGAGAATTACCTGAACAAATAATAAACCTAGTACTTGGACTTGAGTGACAATAGTTTTGAATATATTGAACTCAATATGTTTAAAGGTATGCCATCTCTGACCGAAGTTAATTTATCTGGTAATAAATTAACCAGCTTAGATCATGAAATCTGCAAAAATATCCGGCCTCAGTTGCAGTCAATTAATCTGAACTAATCAAATCAATTTGCTTCTTCTCTTTACTGACCCAGGAAATCGATTGTCTTGTCAAAATCTTGGCCTCTTAAACTTGGTGCATTAAATTACCCGTTTGCCTATGAAGATACCGATTATGATTGAAACAATGGAAACCTAACAAAATTGTTTAACCATAAAGAACAGCAATACTCTGTAATCATAACAAACTGATTGATTGAATCGCGACAACAACAGCTAATTTACGAATAATAGCTTAAATAACATCTGACTGCATGCAGATATTAAACGTTGACATGTTAAACCGTCAATTAGATGTCATTTAATCAGTTGCTGGTTTTGCAGAATTTTCCTCGCATCTTCTGTATGTACAAAATAATTTAAAATCCTTTCATCAGATGACTTTGATTGGTTTTCTTATTACCTTTTTTTGATCAATTATCAGCTTTTTTTCAACAACAAAAAGCACTAACATTTTGTACACCTTTAATGTTGTTGTTAATAATAACTCGAAAGCAATAGTGGGAATTACAAGACTGCCTTCAACCCGAACCTGGTTTACTCTCGAACCGGACTTGACTGATTTCAACTAATAAAAATTATTAAGAAGACAAGATCCTTTCAAGGTTATCTCACAAGGACATAACTAGGCCTATGGTAGCTAATACCATAGAAATATAAACCATACACTTCAAGGTTTTGTATTTTGCTTCATGTAACAAACTTCAAAATTAAAACTAAATATATTCTTATTAATGTACGTGATTACATTGAAATTAACATTGCTATATTTTATTCACTTCTTTACATTGTCTCAATGAAACAATTTAACACCAGCAACATCAGAAAATTTGTTGAAAAATAACATCGCAGGATCAATGTTAAAACAAAGTGAAACTCAAATAAACGTTCAACTTATTCCGTTTCAATATTTCAACTCTTGATTTTCTTCTAAATTCTTGTGAATCCTGTGTTTATGATCAAGTAATTGTCTCTAGTAATTAAGCTGTGTTTCAAATCAAAAAGTCTGGTCTTTTAAGTTTCAGTTTTTAAATCAATTGGTGATTATATGTGGAATCACGTGGTTGAAACTATTGGAAACGTTATTTATCAGCAGTTTTCAATCAGCCTTTTTATCAAGGTAAATCATTCTAAATTGTTTATATGTATGTCCTGTATGTTTATAAGTCCCGTTAAAGTGTTAGACTTACAATTAAACGATATTAAACAAGCAACTTTATTATCAACAAGCCCTTCAGTTTTAAGCAAAAACAACAAGTGAGATAACAACCAGCTCTATCGATACAATCAAAACATTTACATCGGTTACCCGAAAAAATTTGAAAATATTGCCTATTTATTTTAATATTTTCCTAAATTCCAACAATAGCTTAATGTGCAATATTGAAAAAGTGTCTACTCTGCAATTGCTGAACAAATGAAAAAGTATCAATCATCTTTACTAACAGATTAAAAGCTGTTGATCGCCTTTCTATATTCTGGTTAATCTAAACATGGTAATACGAACCTTATCTTATGCCTTCTCTTCTGCATCTTCTTTCTTTCACCCAACAACCCAAATTTGTTCTTTAGCCCAGTGTACTTAACTACAACAAGTGAATTAACTAGAAGATATGACGACAATGAAGGCTATTTAATAGCTTACAGATAAATGTTGATTTAATTATTGTGTGTTTAGGCCTAAACTTTCACTCTAATCATTTTGCTTATCAAACTTTCTCACTCTTCTTCTCTTTCTATAATTCTCGCTATTCTTGTTGATTCGCCTTTCATTTTTCTCTACAAGTCTCCCGCAAGCTTCCCCTTCTCATTTATCCCTCTTTACCAGTGTCTCTCATTATTTTCTCATCTTCCAATCAACCACTCGTCAACTATTACTGTTAATCATCATGGCCACCATTAAACTTTAATACTAATATGCTTTAAAACATGGATAATCTGAGTTCATTTTCAGAGCAGAATAGTAACTGTAATTTTTTTGAATTATCATTTTACTCTAATTTCCCCTCCACTATCAACTTTTGCTGCTTCTTCGTCTTAACCACCGCTTTCTCTGTGTTTTCCACCCTTTTTCCCCTTCCTCATACCCAAGTAATAATCATTTAAACATAAGATTACTCTTTAATCTATGTTTTTCTTTATCTGAATTATGAATTAATTGTTTTTCTTTCTTCTCTTCTTCTTTTTATCATTTCTTTTGTATTCTTTTGCGTTTCATGGTTAATTTTCAATTTTCGCCTTACCGAACCACCATCACAGAAATGAACAAGTGCTTGTGCTCTAAAAATGTCAACGATGATGAGCCCATTTGGTTTGCCGGAGAAACGACTGGCAGTAACAACAGCGTCAAGTGGAACAACAACAAGTATGATGTTACAAGGACACGGTGATGTTTCAACAAGGCTATCATTCGATGGAAACCATTTAGCCTTAGCTTCTATTTCTGCTACTAACAATACCTCAAATTACCTCCAACAGCTTGATGAGAGTGCATCTGTTGTTAACGCTGCTAATAATAGTGTTGATTTAAATCTACGAGGATGGAATCACCAACGAAGTCAACCTATTGATCAGCAGCTTTCATCTTCATCTCATGGTTTATCTTCTACAATTTCACATCCATCTACTCTTGTGAAAAGAGAAAGCAAATCTGAAATCATTCATTCTGGTCATTTTATGGTTTCTCAGATTGATGACCAACAAGATGATGTAAATGAGGTTGAACAGACCAGTGATTTTAAAGAAACTTCTGTTGTTCCAATCTGTGTTGATTCCATCCAGCCAGAAGTTGCTCCTAAATCGCGTTATCCAGTTTACTTTTCTCCAGGCAAAACATTCGCGCCAAGACGATTTGTTGACGAGGGACTTAGCAAATTGTTTGAATGCATGAGTTTAGCTTATAGCGGAAGCATAACTTCACCCAAATGGAAAACATTCAAAGGATTACCGTTAAAACTTAAAGATAAGATCCGATTGAACAATATTATTTGGAGAGCATGGCATATTCAATGTAATTTTTCCCTAAATTTCGACAAGTGATTTCAACAATTGATTGGATCAAAAGTGCAAATGTTTAATCTATTTTTCTCTTCTTTCATTCACAGATATTATCGGTCGTGATCCTAGAGTATGCCAATTTTCATCGCCTTCTGACCACGAGTCCCACAACAAGGCTGAAGCAGTTATTCTTGAAGGTAAATACTGGAAACGAAGGCATACTACTGTGATTGCTGAGTACCATAAATGGCGCGCATACCATAAGCACACGCTCAGACCAAGACCTCCTAGACGCGTGAGTATTTCAATTGAAGATTTAAACTGGTCCTTTTCCCATCCTTTATCACATTTGCCAATCTTTCAACTTTATTTTCCTCATTTTCACAAAATATTCATAGCGCTAAATTTTTTAAATCATTTAAGGAGGGAAAAACTCTTCCTTCAGTAAACTTTGAAATGACCTGTTAACTTAAATTATATTGTAAAGCAGTTTGGTTTTCTGTCAACATTTAATGCAAGCAAACTTGAAATTTGAATTTATGATTTTCCAGTTTTGAAAATGAACAAAATTAAGCTTTAATCAAAGTGTCATCCAATATCTGCTTGAGACAAAACTTATTTACACTTAGCATTAGTATTTTGATAATAAATATACAAGTCCCTCTCGATCCTTTAGGCTATCTATCTAATTATCCTCTTCAATTTATCCTCTCATTAAATTTGAGCTAAAATTGAATAAATTGAGTTTAATTTACAAAATTTAGATTTGTTACTATTAAGGTTAAAAGAATGTAAACTTCAACAGATAAATGTTCAGTCCAACTGTAAAACTGTCAGTTATTGCCAAAAATGAGAAAAATAAATACCAACTCACAGTGTAAGTCTTTAAGCGATTATCAATTGTACACAATCAATCTATCACTGAAGTTGATTCTTCTTCATTTTTAGATTGTTTTATAATCATTCTTGTATCCTCAATATTATCTTTTTTCACAATTAATATCTTTTTCCTTTTATTTTCCTTCGCTTTTCTCTTCCAAATGTTATCATTGATTTGCTTCCGTCTAATCACTTTCTTTTTTCTTCACTTTGTCTCTCTTCCTCTCAAATAGTCTTTCTCTGATTATCACGATGGCCGATGGAATGAGTTTTTCTCCAATCAAGATTTGAACAATTTAAGTGTTGACGACGATTTTGCGATGGATTTTTCCGATAATCTTTTGAATTCCTTGGTACCTCCTAATGTGATTGACTTCCCTAATCCTAGGGAAATAGGTATATACCTTAACAAAATATTTATATCTTGAATTTCACTGATTTTGGGTCATAATTATGACAATTAGAAAAATGACAATTAGCTTAAAAAATTCCCAAAAAACAAATCAACAAAAAAAATTTACTTAAAATTAACTGTAATCCCGTTGGCAGCACGGTCAGGTATGGGGGCTGAATTCATACAACCTGGTCTTACTCAATTGCAACCTTGTCTCGATGATTTCATGGAACCTCTATCAGGTGAGTTGGATTAATAACACCTAATATGTTATAACGAAAACTAAAGGCAAATATTCATTATTTCATTGACAATTTTCAGGATAAAAACTTGTATTTAACTAACCTTGAAATGAGTTGAAATAACAGTTGATTAGCGTTTATACGACTTCGTAACAGTATAAGAAAAAATGTCGTTCTGATTTACCCTTCTTCATTATCTGAGTAATCATTTTGTATCAATACTCGACTGTCAAGTATAATTATAATTCGAAAAGCTTACCTAATCTAGATTTTACAATTGGCTTCTCTTAAAATCTATGCTAATTGAACATGGTAATGGTCTGGGTCTTGAATCAATCTAAATTGCTTCTCAGGCTTTGTATTTCCCACTTTATATCTATCAGACGAGTGTGAGAGGAGGAGATAGATTTATTAATGATGATAAACAGTTATCGTTCATTGATTGTTTTATTCTCATCTTTCACTTTGTTTGATTATGTTTTGTTTTATTACTCGAGCTTGTTTTGTAGACATTCGATTTTTAGGTTTGATAAAAAAATTTACCAGAATATTTCATTGTTTGATTCTGGTAAATAATTGAATAGATTGAAGAATACAAAGTTCAAAGAGTTGTATCATCTGACTCAATTCACCGTGACTTGATCATCCATTAGGTTGAATTAACGTTTTATCTGTCAAGTATAATTTAAGAAACAAGAAAATTTTATCTCACCCAAGAACCTTACACTTCTCATTTCTATGAAAGCTCAATGATCTAACTGAATATGGCGCACTGTTATACCAACACATCTTTAATGACCGACACTTTTAATTCCTCATGATATCTTAGTCAATATAAGCTTTAATCAATTCTTGATTAACTTGATTCCTTTTAAACACATATTTATTTATCAATCTTTTCTTATTAATTTGCAGATTTTTTGTTGAGCAGAGTATGTATAATGCCACCGTTGCCCGAGGAGTCAACATCAGATAATCTCAGGGACAATTGGAAAATATTTGATAAACAACCGGTAGTTATAATCAAAATCAAGGCTTCCATTGACACGAATTCATTTAATAAACATCTTTCCTTTTATTACAGCGATTCGGAGTCGCGTCCAACCCTGTCAATTCTGATTACATGCAAATGTCGTATGGAGATATGCTGGATGTATCTAATAATGGTTCAAATAGTTCAGGTGTGATTAAAAGCTTCAATGCGAACCAAGGAAACTCTAATGCAACAACTGTAATTCAAGTCGCTGATTTACCTCAACAAAACATTGTCCAACAAGGATTATCGTCAAATCATCAGACAAATTCAACGCCAGCTCAACCTCAGTCTTCAAATGTTACAGTAATCAGTCATGTTACCAGTGGTGGAAGTACACTGGATTTAAATCAGATTAATCCTCTTGAATCTGTTAGCCTGCAAGTCCAAAATAGCGGTTTAAACAATAATATGCCATATTCAACTCAATCACAATCTAATTTAATTAATATGCCTGTATCAGCGCATAATGTTACATCAACTAATTCATTGGAATCGCAAAAAGGTAGAGCTTTTGGTAGCTATGATTGTATCATGAGTATGAATTCAATGAATTCAAATTTTGGTAAATCGGATCAAACAGCAATTTCACAGGCAAATTGTTTACGTTCAGAAACGGTTACAGAAACAAACCAATCAAGAGGCTCAGTGGAGGATCATTTTATGTATCCTAAAATGCCAACAAGATCACCTCGCAACCGATCGCGAAGTGTTTCAACACCACACATGGTCTATAAACCTCAAACTCAACCTCAGCCACAATCACAATCTAAACAGATCCAGCAAACCCCTGTTACCCCACCGGCAGCTATAAATGTGAATGATCATCAGTCAAACAAGAGTACAACTCTCGGGCCAATGGAGCGATCAATATCGTTACCAGTTTACTCGCAACGGCGAAATGCCATTGGACCACTCTTAAATGCTCAATTAATGCAACAAAGCCAGGTCAATTTTTCTTCAACAAACCTTGCAGCTCTTCGAGGGGGAAATAACCTTCAATTTACGCCAGATTCTTTCAATAATAATCATCTAGCTCCTGGAACTTCTTCAATCACTCCTGAGTTAACCTCTCACATGACTGGCTCATACTCTTCTGAACCCTCTATGAATGTTACACCATCAGGTAACATTGGTTCAAACCAAATAACTGCTAACACTGCCACGTCATCTGATTTTACCTCTGACTCGAACAGTCTTATAGCTCAATTGTTGTGCAACACTGGATCACCTGCAAATACAAATTTAATATCTGCTACTAAAAGCTCCAATGATTATGAAAAGGCTAGCGGAGTTATTCAAAATCATCATCATCACCATCATCACAATCAACACCAACAACAACAACCACTCCACTTGTATTCATCCCATCCATCTCTTCATGGAAACATGCTCAATTATCCTAATAGTAGACAATCTGGTAATTTGATGTCTTCCAATTCTGGAGATGGTATTGGGCCAACTCGTCCATTTCGAGGTAGAATTAGCGGTCGATTAAGTGATCCTGAGCCACCAAGAGGACTTCTTGCCGGTCTTAAGGAAAGAGTTCGTAAAATATCTTCCCCAACTATTTCACCTCCTCCTTTACTAGGTTCCGCTTATTCACCAAGCTCTAGGGATTCCAATTCAAGCACTCCATTGGCCTCTCCTCAATCAATAGTAACTGTTGGTTCACCTTCGATACCTTCCACTCTTTCATCCATCAAAACTATTAAACTAAAATCGGATACCGATAAACTAAAGTACAAAGAGCACCGTCGAGTTTGTCACATTAATGCTGAACAAAAGCGTCGATGCAACATTAAAAATGGTTTTGATACTCTTAGAACATTATTGCCTGCAATTAATCAGAATGCCAATACAAAGATAAGTAAGGCAGCCATGTTACACAAAGCAGCTGAATATATAAGAACCATGAAATCTGAAAGGCATCAAAGACAAGAGGAATGTGAAAATTTAAGGCAACAGATAGAAACTTTGAATCAAACTATCGGGTAAATCGTATGAATTATTTATTTATTTAAATTGTGGCCCTAAAATATTATTTGTATTAACCTTATAGAGTATTTCAAAGTCAACTGCCTGCAACTGGAGCACCTATTTCATGTCAAAGAGTTGGCCAAGTCAAGGAACAATTTGACAGTTATGTCAAAGATAGAACAATGAACAACTGGAAATTCTGGGTAGTAAGTTATTCTCTTCAAGATTAATAATACATTTTACTAATTGTTTAATTTATTACAATAGTTTGGTCTGGTAATGGAGTCTCTTTTGGAAAGTTACATGACTACAGTCACTACAAGTGATGTTGATGATATGTGTCGATCAGTGCTTCGTTGGTTAGATCAAAACTGTTCATTGGTTACCTTACGCCGAGGTAAATAACATTTAATAATAATAAATCTAAATTGTTCATTATTAATATTTTGTATTTTCTAATTTTCCAACTTTATTTATTTTTACAGAGGTTCTCAATTCCTTGCGTCATTTGAGCACATCAACAAACATTTTAACCAGTCCAACAACTTTACGAGAAGAGATTTTAGAGTCTCTTAACAAAAGGCCCAACAGAACACAATCAAATCAATGATCTGATGACGGAATTAAAACTAGACCCCCAATGCACCAGAGGTTAATTGAATCGCGTTAAATTAATTTTCTAACCTGTTAAATCAATCGAATAATTGTATTTGCTAATCTTGAAGAGCTACCTGATGAAAGTTGAATTTTTGGTCTTAAAATTCACCATCATCAAATAATTTACTTGTAATATTTACATGATGTTTAATGTTTTCAAGTTTATATTTTTTTTTCGGGGCGATTTTCGTTCTTTCAACTTCAACATTCGAAGAAATGTTTTATATTATATGCATAATTGAAATGGAAACAACATAAAGTAAAAATATGCAATCATAGTGAAACCGTTTCAATCAACAACTTGTTTTATTCAATCATTTCACTGAGTTGCTTACAATCAACATCGCATTTGCAAAGGTATGTTGCTTGATAATTTTGTCTAACAACTCAACTCTTGAGTTATAAATATTTTCTTATCATTTCAACGGCAAAATAAACTCAATCAGCTGAAACGAGACATTAAAAACTGAGTTATTAATATATCAGCAGCATTTTGATGATAAAAAAATATGATAATGTTATGACGTGAGTAGTGTTAGTCCATTTGTCTCAATTGTTCCCTTAATAATCCATGAACTACAATTGACATTTAATCTGAATGGCTACAGTCGATCTTCAATTTCAATATATTAGTTAAAAACCAATAAATTAACTGCTAAAATCAAGGACTGTAAATGTGTTGACATTTCCAATTCAAAAAATATTCATTCACTTGCTTGCTGCATCAATAATGATTATAAGTCACTGAATGAATTTAAAACAATCAGATTCATTAGTTTCATTTTAAATTTGTCAGACCATTAAAGTCAAACTATCAAGTTCTCAATGATTTCAAACTTTCTAATAAATGACTTTATGATCTTCAAAATCACGAATATAATATGCTTGTTGATATTATTCTTGGTGATTATATTTTTTTAGATGCCGACAGTCACGATATATTTTCCTTAAAATATGCATAGTTAAAGATCTCAGAAAAGGCTAACAATATAAAACATCAATAAAATTATATACATTTATCAGGATAATGCCAATAAATATACCAGGAAATTTATATCGAGTGTACATGGAGTTGCATTCCGTGACATTTATAGACCATGATTAATAGTAATAATTTTCATCTTCATGTCTACCTGTAAGAGTTGAAATTCAAGAGCAAAAATAAAATGAGTTAATGAGTACGAATAAACTCAGCTTAGATTTTTTAACCAGAACAGATTATGTATGAATCTGGTTTGATGCAAATTGGAAACTGTCAAAAATTAACACAATCTCGACCACTGAATCAATTTTTCGCCATCTTATTAAAGATGCAAAATATGTTTAACCAGTTTTTAAATCATTGGTCTACCTATTTAGATCGAAGATGCTCTAAAACCAATTTAATCAAAGATTTAAACACGTTAGAATCATCGGGTTACTTTTGGTTTGCTTGTAATCGAGGTTATTCCCAGTCAAAGACGGTTTCTAAAAACAGGATTATTCTCAACATTGTCGTGGACCTGTGGTCAGTTCTAGCCACAGTAAGGTTTCTCTTATTGGCAATCTTTTCATCTGATCTCTTCAAGATTATGTTGGGTGATCATCAGCTTGGTATTCCTGGTGAAGATGCGTTCAACCTTTTATCCTTTATAGCAGCTTCTATGTTTCTTATTGTCCACTTGTCCATTGGTTATCTTGAATGGAACAATAATTTCACTGTAATTCGGGTGTTTCATCAAATTCGCCAGTTGCATTTCAATTTGGATAAAATTATGGGTTCATATAATTGTTCAAATTTCAGGAGAGTCTTTTTCTTTATGAGCCAATCTCATGCCATCATGACTAAGGTGACTTGTGTTGGTACCGCTGGTTTATTCATAACAAACATGGTTCTCTTTGATGCTTCCAAGTATAAAAATGAAATAATTAGTTATAAACAGTTCTTCTTCCTTGAACTAATTTGGTTGGCAATTATTATTGTACCAATGGTTGTCCTTATTCACAATGTTTTCTGGTCATTTACTCACATTATTTTATTGATTGTCTACACATCTTTGTGCCTCGACTTTCTTTACTCTTCTATTGACTCCAACAATCAGCTGGTACCGGCAACTGTTTTGATTGATATCTTTATAAAGAAACAAAATTATTATTACAATCAATTGTTAATCACAGAGAGACAACTGAGTCCAATAACTTTAGCTGGTTATATTATCGGCTCTTTGATGGCTGATTTTGCCCTTTTTTACGGTTTATTTATTAAAACGGGTTCGGTTTTGTTTAATGTCCTCACCATAACATTAGGGATAGTAGCGTTTGGTGCTTTAACGTTGTTAAATATAATCGCTGCAACCACAGTGGACAAGGTAAATAACAATTATACATGAAATTGTTAAACACTTTTTGATTAAATCTAATCCAAACTAAAATCACAAAACAGGTAAAAAAATGTAGACTTATGAACTATTGGATAATAAGAAGTGGTCAAAGTAAAACTCTATCATCTCAAATAAAAGTAAGTTAAATTAATTTTCACTAGATGTCGTAGACTTTATCGTTCTGCTTCAAAAATTCAACAATTAACCAAATAACCAGTTTAATAAACCTATTTAATCATCTAATTAACTACTTTTTATCAATAACTTGACTCTTAATTTCTCAAGTTAATTGCTATATTTGAAAGACTTTCCACTCACCCAGTTGGATTTTTTGTTGGAAGACTATTTGTTATTGATAATCATCGTTTTCTGTTGGTTAGTAAAGTTTCATATTCATTTTTTCAAACATGATTAATATTAATTTCATTTCTATTCCCACAGTTTTTACTGGAAAATATCAGTATTTTGCTATTATTTATTACAAATATGACCAGATTATGGAAAAACTAACCCAAAATTGCACTGGTACTTCACTGTATCATAATCTACCGACATTCATTATTGGGTCTTTACCATAAAATTTGAACCTGATTTGATGTCAATTTTTCATCCAACCTTAATCAATCTTAAACAATCTTAATCAACCGAAATTTCTTCAATTTGTGATCGACTTAAATGTATATTGAAATTTAAATGCTGGCTATAATTTTAGTCCAACATTTAGCTACAGGAATGGGACATAATCCAGTGCAAAGCTGAGTGCAAATCAAATGCTTCTCCGGTTCATTTGCAAACGCTCTGAATAATTGACTGATAACTTATTGAGACAATTTTGTACCCAATTGTGAATCATTTTGTTACTCTGGTTTAAAATAAATGATAAATCAAATCTGATTGAATCAAGAGCTTCTGAACAGGTAGTTTGTTAAAATGAAGAATGTCAATGAAATCCATTAAAAACACCCATTTTGCTACTTTTTTGACATCAAATTGCTCATTTTTTCGTAATTTTACTCTAATTGAAAAAATTATTCATTGAAAATGATGAAAAGGGAGGATCTTTTACTCATACATTGCGATTGATTGTTAAATATCTAAATCAATTGTTCCTGGATTACATTGAACCACTTTACTTGATATCTCAGTGAATCAAGTCACTTCACTAGGAAATATGAAGCATAAATGGGTAAATGACAAAAGAAATACTGAAAGAGGAAAAAACAAGAAATGATTATAATTAGAATAGAAAACGTTTTAATCAATTCAGTTAATCAATCACATTGTTCATAACTGGTGTTCATTAAATTATCACTATTAGCAGTTAACACTAAAAACACGCCAAACTCTCCATGTTAAAAGGGAGATGAGTCGAGAAAACAAAAGAAAGCGTTGAAACAGTATCAACGAGAGTTACTTTTAACTGAGGTTTAGTAATCTTACTTGCTACTTGTGTTTAATTAAATGTAAAATTACCTCCCTTTGATCATAATCATTTAATGATTAACTTAAATGGGGCTATCATTAAATATCTGCTCCTCACCGTAATTATGGTCAAATAGGATAATTCAATTTATAAATTGGTTTATTCCACTCATTTTAAGACGAGCCAATATAGAAGCCAACTTTTACCAGCCAATATGATATCATCTGTTACGCTTTATTTACTTCTGTTCTTAACCTTTTCACAACTTAATCAAGCTGATGATGATTTATGTAAATTTAATGGGACTCAAGGAATTAAAGTAACATCTCCATTATTGAACAAACAATCTGGCTATTCAACAATCGTAGAGATTGTTTCACCCGATTCAAGTGTTATACAAATTAAAGACGAATACAATGGAGACACCAAAACCGGATCTATTGTGTTTGAAACTCGTGAACCAGTTAAATCTATTCATTATTATTGGACTAGCAAAGAGCTGTTTGTCATCAACAATGGGTCAACGATGTGTGAAACCTTACCATTGGATTCGGTTCATAAAAACGCAGTTATGTCTGAATGGATGACACCAGAAATGGATCAATATTTGGATCGTTTGGGTTCTGCTGTGGATAATGTTGATCAACTTGGGCCAACTTTAATGATGACTATTGTTTCTGCCCTTTCTATAAGCGCTTACTATCAAGGAAAAAAGACTCTTGATGATTTCAGTGTCAAGCACTGGTCTGCTTGTGCTTCTCCTGCTGATTCAGATTTAGCTATAGACTTTTATTTCTTAGCCAAGACAAACACACCTTATCGACTTGAAATTTATCACCAAAAAAATGCAAACTCAAAGACACTTTTAAATTTTCTCACATTCAATCAAATTCCGGCCAAACATGACCAGCACGTTACCTTTCCCCTTGGATTTGGATGTAAAAGACTGAACAAACCTAAAGTAGCCATTCCTTCATGGGCCTCAGGTGACACTTATTTTCTTGAAATGGAAGCAGCCCTTTCTTTCGTAAAGCCTGATAGATTCACCTTGTCTTCTGCTAAAGTCATCAAATACCAGAATGTTTACTCGTACGAGATAACTGAATCAAACAGCATAACACGTTCCATCAAGACACCAACATTAATCAATTTTTACCAAGTTGATCCAGTCACAGGAAAGTGCTCCATTGAATATCGACCGTTTTATGATTTCACTGCAAAACTCCTTACAACGCTTTGGCCAGTTTCAACACCATCAACCTACAACTTGCTTAGTCCATCTCTTTATAATCTTGATTATACCAATTATTTGGGACAAGTCGATACTGAATACGGGACAATGGACGTTTTTGAGGGTGTGATTTTCGCATTTTATTCGACTACTCAAAATGAACAAATTGATGCCTTGATACAGTATTACTTTCCTACTTTTAATGCGGTTGATAACCGCAACCAACCTCCTCATCACATAATCATCAAGCCATATAACTTAAATAACTATGGCTGGTTAACAGCGTCGATTCCGAATCAAATAGAGATCACTGTTGTCGATTACATGGAGAATGATATAAATTATAACGATTACTTCGATATTTCTGGTTGTTATGATGAACCTGGACAGTATACTTGGTTTCAGTTGGTTTTTCCAGATACTTCTCTTGATATTGCTCGCTATCAAGAAAAGGACTTGTCAATTTATAAATCATTTGAAGCAATGGTTTCCAATTTAATTCCTAAACTACGATTACCTGAAATCCGAGTCAACATCTTTGGTCCAAATATTTACGTTACTGGTAAATTACTTGAAGCCGAGACACACAATGTAATCTCAACTCAATCAACTGTCTTATCAAATCCAACTCGTATTGTTATCCGTGAATATCTTGAAGATTGCTCACAGCTTTGCTTGGATGCTGACCATTGCCCTGCTTTTGCCCATTGCAACAACTTGGAGTGTTACCTCTTTACCCCTAAAGATGAAGCATATGAGCAAGAAGCTTCAGACAATTGTACTTTATACTTTCCCCTTTATTCTGATTCATCATCTACAACTCCTTTGGTTGAATTGAATTTATTGAAAAGCACCAAAAACATTCTTCATCAATTGAAAGATAAAATGACTCGAGGTGAACTTGTGCTTCCCAATTTAAAGCTATCAGCTGCAGATTTATTCATTGTCAATGGTCCTGAAGAAATCGGTGGACTTGACGAGGAATACAAAGACCGTTCATCTCCATCGGCATATTCTGGCGATGATTTTGTCGTTATTCAACCTAATCGCCGATTTACCAGTGAACCAACAAGAACCCTTGGTGTTTCCTATCAATCATGTTTATCACTTTGCTCTAACAACGACGATTGTCTGACTATTTCATATTGTCCAGCTCCTTTGAGTGAATGTACAATGACAAACAAAACGGCTTCAGTTGTTGAACAATCATACCAAAGATTTTCATCTTACGTCGATGGATGTCACATATTATCAAGTAAGCTCATTTCACCGATGAATTCAGCATTTGATTGACTAACTCTTTCCATTTCCACAGAATCATTCATTTCGTTTTACCGTAAACTTCCTGGTCGTAGTCTGGTTATTGATGCTGTATCTCAAGTTAAAAATGTTAAAGATACCGAATGTGCTCAATTATGTACACAATCAACAGCTTTTGACTGCAAATCTTTTGATTATTGTCCTAAGATAAAAAATACTCAAGATTCAAAGTAAGTACCATAAAAATGTTTAGTTAATGATAAAGTAAATTATTTTAAATTGATTCATGAATTATTTTTTATGTACAATTAGAGAGGAATCTGCATGCTTCCTTCATACTCTTCATGTTGCCACTGACACTGCTCATGAGATTAAGCGTGATGTTTGGGACTTTAGCACTTCTGAATGTGACCATTATTCAAGTAAGTCGATTTGTAAATAAAATGAATAAAAGAAAATTAATTTTTTTCTATTTTTAGGAAAACTGTCTAAAGATTATCGACATTTAATTGGACAAAAGCTAAGCGAGGAATTACAGTTTATTGAAACTGTAGACGACGTTTCGCTTGAGCATTGTGCTTCTCGTTGTAGCTCTGGTAGTGTTAGATGTACCACTTTTGAATATTGTGAAGCACCCGATTCTGTATCAAACTCATTATCAACATGCAGATTGACTAAATCTAATCCTGTGAACAGTAATTATCTGGTTCAATCATCGTCTAAAACTAATTTATGCTCGGTTTATGTCAGTAAAAAAGCTCGTAAAGGTGGCAAAGGTGATCTTGATGATCAAGATGAAGGTGGTCTTGGAATGGCAATGGCAATGGGAGCAACCTTTTTCATCTCAGCCTTTGTTATTGGAATCATTGCATCTCATCTGTACATAAAAAAGTCATCCTAAATTGATCTACCATTAGATTTATTTATTAATTTTATAATAACTTATTACAATTGTTATCATAAATTTAAGCTGTCTTTGAATTGATTAATTTGCTATTATAAAAGGTTGTTATTGTTTCCTCTAGAGTCTGAAAGTTAGATTTGTTTTAATGATGATACAAAAGTTACATTTAAGTACTAACTTGTTATTAATCAAAATCAAATTAAAGGTCGCTTAATTAATCATGATGAACGCTGCTTCTCCCAGACTTTAACTTCTCAGTGCACTTTGTAATATTAAAAGGCTATCAAATACACTATTTGTACTACTCTTGTGAAGATCACTTAGAGTTAACATAAAAGTAAATAATTTTGCTTTAAATCGTGTTTTCATTCTTGCAGTTTAAATTAAGCTAATTTATGTTAATTGTGCCGATTTATCGTACTCTTAATTCAGTGAAAACCGAAAAAGCAAGGAAACTTCTGGTCAACAAAACCCAAAGTGATTAAGACTCTGACTGGCTCTGACTCTGGTAAAGATATCAGATCAAGTTATGGTTTAATATAGACATTCATAAATTAACTTAACCAAAATTTTGTGTAATTTTAACAGTTGTTTGTTTAAAATGTTAAACACATTCACTGAGTTACTAATCAACAAATACAATGCTATGTTAAAATGTAAAATTTTGGGTAAGTTAATTGTGAATGCCTACACAGCAAATTAAAGTGTCACATCATTCGCTTTTGTTCCTATCGGATAAAATCTAAAGGTATCTTTTTTCAAACTTTTTTACTGTCCAAGCAAATCCCGAATAAATTGTTGTAAATCACAATCGGCGATCTCAATAATTCATTTTCATGAATGGACATTGAATATGTCTTCAGGTTCTTTGTTTAAATACATTTACATTTGCTGTGTGATTTATCGGGCCTAAATATTTTTTCAAAAATTTTTTAGATTGCGTTTAGTTTTCCCTTCCAGAAGTCTCTCCTTTTGATAACACAGGTTTTAAACAGAAAAACATAATCGAGTTCACCTAATCTGTCTTTTAGTTAAAACAATTTGTCGATTTTGATAGCAATTGATTCTTTGAACTTTAATTTGTTAAAGTGAAAACTGTAGAACCTCGAGGAATTATTTGTCGTTGGAAAATGTTCAGCCTTTCAATTACAATCATTATTATTGAATTGATTTCCTCAGCTCTCGCTATAATTATGATTCCAATTGACTAATTGTCTCTATGTATGATTCGTAATTGATTTATGGATTGGATCTTCATTAAAAAATGATTCATTGATACACTTGCATAATAAATTGTGGCATAGATTTTGTTGTTACTTTCAAAACAATCACCAAACATTAATTTAATACAATATGTAATTGACTGATCTGACAGTGATTGAGCTTTACTCGGGCTTAACATTGAACAATTGAAATCAAAATAAAACGCCAAAAAATAATAGAGAATTGAGAAGACTATTTTAATCAAAATACTGGACATTTGATTTTCCTTTTAAACTGAATCTTATTCATAAACGATCTTAGGAATATAAGATGTAACTTGAAACTAATACACAAACAGTGAATCTAAATTTACTGCTATGTTTACAAATATTTATCATTAACTGATTCAACAATCAACCTTTAAGATTAATTACAGTCAAAACTACGAAATAATAATGATTTATAGTCAAATATCTATTCCGTGATTCTTGACACTCTATAAATAAGAGGAGTCAAAAACGCAGATCTCACCAAACTTTTACCATTTACAGTACTGATTCAATTTAGTTGATGTTTTCGTAACCAATCCAAAAATTCATCCAAACAATGAAAATATTTATTTTTAGTCTTTTGATATTCAGCTTTTCATATGTAAAGGCTGAGGACAACCAAGAAGCTTCTGCCGAAAGTAAAGACGAGCAACCTGAAGCCAGCAAGAGATGCCTACTTAGTGGAGGAGGGTTAGGTGCTCGTGGTATTGCTAGACCTGCTAGATTAGCCAGAGTGCCAACATTTAGGCAATCAAGCTTCAATGGTGGAGCAATTTCTGGACCCAATTTCGGTAGCAATTGCGGTAATAATTGTGGTATTAACTGTGGAAACAATTGTGGCAATAATTGTGGCGGAAATATTGGCATACCTTCACCTACATTTGGCTATTCTGGACCTGTTTACAACCAGCCAATCCAACAACAACCAGTTGGTCACTTTGGCGGATCCCATGGTTATAATCAAGCAATGGGTTATCATATGGCTGGAATGGCTGGACACGCTGGATATGCTGGAAACGGTGGATATGCTCCGATGCCTATGTATGGATAAATGTTGGTTGGAGTTAAAAAGGTTAGATATTAGATTACTGGACCACACCGAGATTAAATTATTAAAAATGGATTCATCGATACTAATTGTTGATCTATTCTGTATGTTAATAAAATCTTGAAAATAGTATCTTTTCAGACTCCCATTGATCACAGAAGTATGAAATAGAGTAAACTGAATAAATTTTCATTATTTTAGCTAATCTACTAATGAAAACGAATCGTGCACAACACAAACACAAGTGGCTACTCTCTGCAAAGTGAATTACTCTTTCCTTCTTTTGATTGGGAAAAGATTACGTTTTATACAATTTTTGGTTGACTCAAATATATTTAAATCAGATATTAATGGTGACTTATTATTACAGTAACATGCCAGATAATGGGATTAAATTTATCAATGACCTATTACAGGAGAAGTCAATTCAATTTGAATACTAAATTTTGTTTTGATTGCTACAATCATCAATTAACCAAGTTAAAGGATGAGAACTAAAAGAATAGAAGAAAATGCCTAGAAATAGATTTTGCTCAAACTGTTTTTTTCTGGTGTAAAAATAGCATGAGAAACACATCGAATTCCTCCTTTCTTTCGTAAAATATTGATAAAAACACACAGATTTCTCTTTGAATAACACCTGCGTTTCAACTTGATCTATCAAGGAAGATTGAAAATCATGAAATGTGCTGCCCGACAAATAGTGAAAATGAGCTATTTTCAGTTTGTCTGATTTTCTGCCAGTTTACTGTATTGCAATGAGCCAGTTTGATATATGAATAGCAGATCTAGGATTGGATCTCGTTTCTGACTATTTCTGATTATTCATGTGGTAATATTTAAACAAGTATTTATTACTATTAATGTGTTTTATAAATAATATAATTCGATTTTTTTATATTAACTTCTACTAAAGTTTATATTTTTGTTGTAATCAAATGTGTCTCTAGATTGGATCATTTGTATTTAAAAGTGGTTAGTCAGGCTTAACTATTGATCTTTTTCAATGATTATCAATGAACTTCCAGACGATTGTTTTTTCATCATTTTTGGTTTAATGAATGAACTGGATGATTTACTGAACTGCTCTAAAGGTAATTTTTTTAAACAAATCATATTCATTTTGTATAAGATAATAAAATGTCGACCATACAATAGAAAGTGAAGCTATTACTATTTACTCTCTGCAGCATAGCTAAAATTCATATAGAAAGTGAATCAATGTTTTATCAGATCTGAATGTATAGTACTAACGATGCGAAATGATTACTTTTGATGATGTGACATGATATGAGGCTGATAAGTTACGTATTTGAATCTGGTCCGTTTCAGCTACAATTACTTTTTAATCGATGCTCTCCTGTAGCCTGTTTGCCCCTCTATTCATGGGGTTTTTTTATTGTTTTGACCTTGAAATTCGTGGTTTCCGTTTTTAATTCACCTACAGTCACCATTGAGATAATGCACTCATTTTTTCAATGGTCCCTATTGAGAAGGAGTTATATCGTCTTTTGAATTTCGTCAAATTTTGATTCAATTTCTTTAATTATCAATTGACTTAATTCAATTTCCCTTTCGTGAAATTTTAATCCAAAAACTCGCAAAATCAGATATAAACAAAATTTAAGGTTAAATTTGATCTATTAAGGAAGATTGGAAATCATGAATTACGCTGCCCGAAGAATAGTGAAAATAAGCTATTCCCAGTGCGGTGCATGATCTCAATGGTGACTGTTGATATTAGTGTAACAAAACTGTAAATCTGGGGTAAACTGTAAAACCTTTCAAAAATAATGATTAACCTCAGTGCTACAGTATTTGAATGTTAATTATAATTTGTGATAAAATATTATCATTTGATTGTTAGAGCATATTTTTAAAAATTATTGTGTGTCGATAATGAAGGAAATTACGTAAGCAACGAAACAGAAACAAGTAACAGAAAATTTGTTAATCCATGTAAATTTCTTTACAGTATGCAGCAAATGGAGCCATCTGATTGCAGAGCGAACTAGAAATGTGAAATATTTGATTGGTAAGACTCAAATGATTAACAAAACTTATTGTTCTATAGCATTCGATTTCATCAATGAAGCAATTTACTTTGCAGGGCATTCAAGGTTGTTTGAAGGTGGTTATCGTTTCTGGTCGAAGGCGCAAATTTCTTCAAAATCGCAAATTTATCCGTTAGATTACGTTTATTATCGAACAATGGACCCAATTGATGGACCTTTTTTAAGCACATTGTTTCCGAATTTAATAGTTCGTTGAACGATTGAAATTTTAGTATTGGCTAAATAATCATTCTTTAATATATCCTTCTACTTTAGATTGCTGACTTATGTAAGGAATTTTATGCAAAAGTAGGAGCGCGCTTGTATATTTCGAATGCATATAAATCTTTAAAAGGAATTATTCTGCCATACCATGATTCTATTCTTAAATATTGTGATAAACTCGAAATGCTATCTATTCAATATGACCACCAATACATAGTACATATGCTTCTTTTTGGTGGCCTAATGCGTGAACATGACATCAAGCAGTTGCACCATTGGGATTACACTTTAGACGAGTTTGCGAAAATCTCAGTTCGTTTTCAAAATCTACAAAGACTTTCTATATCTAAATATGAGGGTAATTTTCAAAACTTTTGGAAATTTCGAATAATCGGCATTCATCTTTTATCTTGTAGGCGGGAAAGCAGATGGCTGCTACGATGGTTTCGAATTACCAAGACTTAAAATGCTTGAATTGAATATAGATTCCTATGAGGTTGAATTCATTTATTATGGTTTCCAGTTTATACTTTGCTGTCCAAACTTACAAAGTGCGTATATCTCTTTGTATTCTAATCGCTTTTTTGTTGTTGATTCATGCGAACACGAATCTTTGCAAGATTTAGTTTTAAGCTTTGTAAGTATTAATTTGATGAGAAATGTATTTGCTAATCAAACACAATAACAATGACAAAAGTGGCAATTTTTTTAAAATAAATATTATAATCTGTTTATGCACAGAACGTTGATGATGTCGACTGCAATGAATTGGAAAAGGCTTTGATAAAATATCCAAATCTTAAACATCTTGCACTGGACTGCCGCTATCTATTCAACCAAAACCTGAAAAATGAACATGTTGAGAATTTGGTCTGTATTTTACCGAATTTAGTGTTATTCGTAGTTCGTAATTGTGAGGGAGTCACTCAAGAGGCTGCGGATTATATTCAAGAATATAATAAATTACATGGAAGATCAATCAAGTTTTATTTTGATCAAAATTACCATGAAATTCAATCAGATTGGCCTCAGTTATCCACTAAATATGAACGAATTAGTCATGGTTTTGATTTCATGAAACACTGCTTTCTCAAAGAGAGTCACCAGCTGCCTATTTTCTTAGTCCCTAATGAGGACTAAATAACCAAATGCACACATCTATCTATTATTGATAATGATATTGTGTAAGTAACAATCCGGTCATTCAATTGAATATTTTATCGTTTTTGAAAATTTTAAAATTAATAAATTGGTTTTTTAATAGATTTGTGATGTATTATTGATTTAAATATGCAATGATACAAAAGTAGACTAGAAAGATTGATGTTTGTTCAAATAAATTGATTAAAGTATTTAAAATATACAATTTATATCAAAATAAGACATACTATACGATTGATTTTTGTCTTTAAATTAAGAATTTGTAATAGAAAAAAATTTAAACATTGAATTTGCTGTACAATGTTTGTTTGGTTGAAATCAGTTAATTATCTTCTAAAAGCTGCTGTGTTGTGGTTCCAAATTGCTCATCGTTACCAACAATGTTTACATTTTCGTGTTTATCTTGTCGTTCCTCAATCGCCTTGCAAACATGGTTATCCATATTAGTTTCATGACAATCGCAAACGTAATATGTCAAGTTGACCAAGGGACAGTTACATTGATCAGTTTCTCCTGGTCCAGTTGCATGTCCAACACAAGATTCAGAAGCATGTTGATAATGATAGTGGCCAGAACAGTCACCATTAAAGTTATCATTATTGGTTGAATCAACATTGTAATGGCAATGTTGGATACAGTTCTGTACTTGTTCATCAGTCACTTTTGTAAATTTAACTCTATTCGTTGGTTTATAGTGAATCCCTCTTGGATCGGTACAGTTTGCTCGATTCTAAAAGACGAAAAGGAAAATTGAATTAGATTTAGTTTAAGTTGAATTTATTTTGTAAAATACTTACTCGACATGCTAGTGAGTTTTGTCGACCTCGGTAGGTTCTGTCTCGATGAAGGAAAACTCCGGCAAATACCAATATATTGAGTATAAGCAGGGAACAGCCAACAGCAATAGTGACACTTAATGCTTTTGAATAAGGATTATCTTGTACTATCATTGAAAAAGTGCCATTCATTTGATCAGATTTATTTAAGGCACCTTTGGTTGAACCACCATTGGGTCCGACCAATGAATGAGATCCAGTTAAACTTGTATCAGATTGACTTTCATTGGACCCACCAATACCACCACTGCGCTTAAGTGAACTCTCTGTTTTACCATAAATCATGAGTTCGGTTCGGTTTGCAGGTAATTCAGGCACTCGATCAGTTGAACCACTGGATGTAGAAGGTCGAATCAATCCTTCATAAGTGTTTGGATTATCGTGATCTTCAAGCAAATGGTGATCACCAAAAGCCATTGTACCCGGTGAGTGAAGTTTTGGGATTAAATTGAGCCAATATGAAAGACGATGAGCATGATAATGGTCCTTCAGTTTAGGCTTAGTATCTATTAGGATAAGAGAAAGACAGAAAATTAATGTCAACGATAAAAAGTAAGGAAAGAAAATAGACTTGGGCAAAGATGATGATGGAATACTCAATGGAAATTGAACATTCCAAACATTTCTGTAGTTAACTTTCATCTAATAAACACAATTTGATGAAAAGAAAGGAGAAAGGGATGAAAAAATAGGAAGAGAATGACATTTAATATATTAAGATGATAATATAAATGTTGGCAATAATAATATAAAAAAATGCTAACAGTAAAATGTATCGATTTGAAATGAAAATGTAATTTATTGTAAATTATTAATAAAAATAGAGAGAGATACTTACTTAATAAAAGATATTGTTGTTGAAGGTAATCATAAGAAGGCCAATAGTGAATTGATTCTGATCGAGATTCTGGTCCATTTGAGGTCGTAACATTCCTACCATTTGGATCACTGGTTTTTTATGTTTATTTTTGGGTTGGTCAATATTGTTGGTTGAAATCATGGTTATATGAAATAAAATGGGAATAATAAAAGGAAAGTTAACATTAATATGACAATAAAAGGTAAGAAGACAATGAATCAAAATAAAAATTAGTGTTGAAAATGGATATTTTGGTCCATCATTGAATGGGGAATCAATAGACAAAAACATGTTTTACTCTCAATTTTCAATCAGCTTTTCTCAAATGTATCTTTGATTATGGTTATTAAATTTTATGCTGCTTTTTGTTGGAATGAATTTAGTAGGAAGAAAAAGGATGGAAAAAAGTTGAATGTATTTCAAAGGAAATCTTAATAGACACTTTGATGGTTTAAAGAAACGATCAGTTGCAAGAGTATTGAACAATTTTTGATCTCACCATTAGTCCTGATAAATGGCATTTCAGTGTGATGAATGCCAGAAGAAAGCTGAACAAAATGAATAGCAAAAAAAACGACTAAAGGAACCAAAAGTTTAGATGAAATTGAGATGAAGCCAAAAGTTAATAGAGTGGTTTAAATGCAAAAATAGCATCAGAATTGGACATTGAAACAGTTAACTATTGAATTTTGTGTCATCAAAAGTGGCAACATTTAGGAAGGTGTGAAAAGTAAGAAAAGGCCAAATTTGAATAACTGGGTTATAAATGGTCTAAAAAGGTTTGAAAATGGCAATGAAAGAAGCAATATTACAATTTTTCAAAGTTGCAATATTGTGGAACCAGATTTTGTGAATATTTATCAACTTTCCAACAATCATCTGTCAATTGCAATTGTTTGTCATTTCAATATGAATAATATGCATCAAATTTATGGATAAGACTATAAATTATTGTCTCATGTACAATTCAAACTGAAATACAATGGAGTTGATGAGAGTGAACAAAGTATTCCAAATGTTTAACGTGCAAACACACAATAATAATTTATAAATTTCAAGACACAACCAGTCAAGTTATCCTTTGGGATGTTCAATGGATCCTTTCAGCTGTTTTTTCCTCTTCCAACTCTTTGTATATTTTCATGTTGTTGTTGTTGATGATGATGGTGGCGGTGGTGTTGATAGTGATGGTGATAATGATGAGTAGACGCAAGATGGAAATAGGGAGGAAAACAAAAAAAAAGCTTCATGCAAAATGATGTTCATCCTTTTCATGATTGATGATGCTGTCTTGTTGACAGTAAAATGAATGTTGAATTTTTGCTAAAAAGCCTTTTTCTTTCAACTGCTGCTTCTTTTTTTTGTCAAATTTTTCTCAACGTTTTGTTGTGGTTCTTCAGGGAAACCATGACAAACTTAAAATTTTTGATATTTACTAGACTATCAGCTCAAGTGTTGACTTGACAAAATAGTTAACAAAACACTCAAACATGCAAACAGAAATCAAGAGATGAGCAGAAAAAAGTTGCTGATAATCACTGAGCTGCTGCTAAATTCATGGAGTCACAGTTAACAATCAGTATGCTTTGAATGATGAAGTAAAGGTTGGTTGGGTTGAACAGCTCGTTATTTTTCACCCAATTTGATACATTTGAGAAACCTTGATGATTATAAATTGATTAATGGTCCTAATATTGATGATATATTGTTCCTGGGAATGTACTTAACAGCTAAAATTTAGCGCATCTTAAACTTAAAAATGGCTGTTCAAACACTTACCCATCTCGAATAAAATTGGACCAATATTTCATCATTATTTCACAGAGTATAATATCAACTCGAGAGTGATTATTTACTGAGTGATACTCAGGTAAAAGATAAATTCCCAAAGAGTATGGTAAATCTTGTCCATGGACAGAAACTAGGCGACTGTGATTAGTTAACATTAAATTTGATGTATGACTGAAGTAGTACAGCTTGGTTGATTTAGTCAATTTTGAGTGGATAAGTGCTGTCTTTATGACGGGTCCAACGAACAAGGCATCACTTAATAATTCAGATAAAGATTCCAATGTCAGCTGGGTATTAGGATTGGATTGTGTCCAATCGGTGTATTCATTGCTAATGGTTAAATATATTTCCTAAATAAAAAGGAAATGGGAAAAAGCAGAAAATAAGAATTAGCAAGGGCTTAGGCTCAAGATAAATCTAAGTCTCAAGCTGATAGACTTTACCTGTAGATGATAGGAGTAAACATTACGAACCAAAGTTCGTATAATTTTATCACGACGCATTTCATTGAGGCCTTCATCAAAATCATAAGAACTAAACAGGTTGTAAGATTCAAGGCGGGTTACACCAATGATTAGATTGTATGAGGCAAATGTGGAAGTTGGATCGTTCATCATTGATAAAGGATCATTGGCAATCACAATACCATCAATCAATGGACCAAATCCGGTAAGAAATCGTGGGCTTGGTATTTGGACGGATAATAATTCGGCAATTGTTTTGTGTCGAAGGCAATCAACAACCTGTGAACTCTTGAAATCTTCTTGGTAACAACCAATTGCTTGAGCATATTCTCGGCCATATTTAATAGCATTACTAGCAAGAGCCCAAGGACATAAAGCTGATCCACTTTGCATAATTGCTCGATGAAATAAACCTGAAATAAGGAAGATAAATACATGGTTAAAATCAGAAAATACGAAAGAACGGAAAAATAGACAAAAATAGTTCAACAATCAGACTTATCACATCACATCATAACATTAAAAGCAACGGTTAAAGTGTTTTCTTTTAACAACAGTAGATGGCACAAACCGTAAAGAAAGACATTTTTATTTACAAATGTAATTCAATCAAATTAGAGTTTTTTTCTCGCTTTTTTTAATTTAATTGTGAATACACCATGCAGCTAGTAATTTCATTAAATAGTCCAATTCTCATTAACATTCAACAAGCAGGTAAGTCTGGATAACACATTTGGATGGCGCTAAAATCATAATAAATATACATTCGCCTTGAAAGGCATGTTGATAAACACCGAGGAACCCAACGAACGATATTAACATTGGTCTGTGTCATGTACTGTCCAGCTAAATGTTAAAGCAAATTTGGATCGCCGTTCCATTTTAAGGTAAAATTTTTAAAATTTAATTCTTAATGTTTACCAATTTTTAAATAGCTTTCTTAATCTGTTCCAATTTAGACAAAAACTTTGGTCCATACTGCTGAGAGTCAACAAAAGGCCCAGAACCAGACATTAGATTACTCTTCCATATACCCCGTGATTCATAATCACCTGACGGCGCTTAATTGCTAATAACTTTTTTATTAGTTAACATATTAAGATCAAATTGGTGCCTGATTGTAGCTCAAAGATTGCTTGTTAAATCACAATATGCTCGAAATGATTACCTTTCGAAACAAGGATGTTGCAGAGTCGTTTTTGAAAGTTGACAATCGCTCATTTTACAGTCTCAAAAGATATTTTTGTAGTTTTTTTACAAAGAATTTGAAAAAAACGATTGATGCTAATTCTGACTGATGAATAGTTACTCTACAATTTAGCTGAAAATCAGAAAATTCTGCTTATTAATAGAGGAGAAAATCGGGTCAAAAGTTGTTCAAAACAAAAATTCCCATATTTTGATTTTTCTAAATTTTAACTCAATTGAACGCGAAATTGGATCGATTGGACCTATTCTAAGTTAATTAATGATGCAAAATAACATAAATAATAATAAAAATAAAAAATAATAGTCTTAATACAGATTAAAGTTATTAGCAATCAAGGGCCGTCAGGTGATTATGAATCACGGTGTATTTTCAAGTACAAGCGATATTATGACACCTTTGTGTATATGGTCTATTAGATCATCTGTGTATTAAGGAATAAATCAAAGAAATGGTTCAATCTAAAATTCGTGTAATATACAACACAGTCATAAAAAGTGTACCGAAGACAGTTACTTGAGATTTATTTTTCCAGTCAATTTTATCCTTTCTTTCCTATTCTTTTGAGACAAACTAAACCAGAGGCTATCCCATGAACTGTAATTAAGCACTTATTCATCTTAATTTTGTAGCTAATCTACTACCAAGCTAATACTTTCTTATTGAATTCATCTGCCTCCAGAAAAATGACTTATTCATGCATTAATAAACGTAAATAACAAGCTTATTGTGCTATACTTTTATAACAAAGTGTATTTGAGTAATTTAACTCTCGGAATCAGCAAATCTTCAATTTCTACATTTAAATCATCTATAACTTGAAAAGCCCTGGACGAGTTTCAATATCGCCATCAAATTAAAGTCATCTTTAATCAATTTTATTACCCATGATCAATCAACATTCCCATATTCAAATTTACTCATCAAAATCCCTAACCGTAAATTATTGATTAAGGTTATTTGAGTGAAAACAATACCAATAAGCATTTAAGCATTTTCATTCATCTTTAATGAAGCCAACTCTTTACAAGTAAACCTTTTACCTCGTTTTTAGCCATTTTTCAATTTTGTTGATTTATCTGTTCACTTTTCAACTTGAAATGTTCAAAAATGTTCAAGACCCAAAGTGTTTTCCTGATAACAATGTTTACAATGGCTTACATATCCAAATGTCTCGACAATGTGACGAACCATTTCAGCCTTTTAATACTTCAATGGTTTTATCAATTGATTTTTCCATGCTTATCCAGATTTACATGAGAAATTTTTTTTTTCCTTGAACCTTGTTTCTTATTTTTCAGATTATCTTTCAGTTTATCCTCAACATCGATCATCCATCATTCCCAGCTTTTATACACAAGTTGTTCAATCGTTAAGACAACATTTATCCCATTTGAAAAGGCAAAGCCATGTTAACCAACAAACAGACAAATTGTAATATGAATATTAAAGTAGCATGAGAGTGGAAATGAATTTTTCAGAGTAAAACAAGAAAAGGCATTCAAGTTGAACTCAACTAGATTTGTGTTGAAAAATTAATTTTCATTGTTTCAAGTTTAACCCAAAGAAGAAGCAATAAGACATGAAATTTTGGTCTTCATCTCTACATGAACATTAATAAATTGTTATCAGACAAGAGTTTTGAGCAAATTTTTCACTCTCAATGATTATCCATCCAAAGATGGATTAACCAGCTTAACAATATTAATAATATAACATTACCAATATTGAGAAGTAGCAAAAAGGTAAAATCCAAATCTCAATTGTAATTAGGTGATTTACCTTGTTAACCAAGTGAACCAGTGAAAGGACAACAGTACTCAAAGTGGTAATGATAACTGTGGACAATTCAGTTAAACAGCTGAACAGATTAAATGGTCTGAAGACACACAATAATAAGAGGTAAGGACAGCATGTTAACTGTGGTAGAGATGGAGAGAAGCTAATAGTTATTATAAATTGATTGTGACTTGGTTGGTTGGGTTTGGACTTGTAACAACAGAATCACAAAACTACTAAACTACAAAATGGTTAAGGATTAACTACTACTTAACTATTAAATCCTCTTAATTGGATGGCAAAGCTATTTTCATCTGATCAACTCATCCTCTTATTGAAACAACGTTATACAAAAAAGCAAAAGCCTTTTTCCCTGTGAATCAACCCAAAAATGTAAACCATTAACATTACCCAAACACAGCTAAATGAGGACAACACTTAACACAGGATTAAATGAAATGATTGTTGACATGCCTGTAATTATCATCAATGTCAACATCTACATCATGAAAGGTAACAATTTACAAATTGTAACCCTTGTAAAGGTGTTTTACTTGCAATATCAACAATTGTAAAACAGTTGTTGATATTGATTTCACTAAACCAGTTATTATGGTTAGATCAATATGTAAAAATGATTTTTACAGTTGTTTCTGTTTCTGTTTATGTTTTTACTTCTCATTAATCAATCTTGTTGACCTTTACTTAATTAGCTTGTTAATAATATTGATTAAGACGATTAGCTTTGAGTAAAAAGATGACAAGTTAATGTTAAACCACTTGCTGATTAACACAGGATTTAACAATTTTACCAAATGTCAACATTAAAATGTTGCTGTTGACACTTGTGATGTGAATACAATAATAATGGCAACAATGGTTATTATTAACTACAAGATTCAATTCATTTTGACATGATATCCATTGTCATGATACTTGAGAGGCTCAAAATGGCGATTAAAGTTGATCCTTATTAAGATTTGAAAATGAAATGTTGATCACTTTGTCTTATTGAGACGAGAAAAAATTGAATAAAACAATTTGTTTGGATTCGAGTCAAGAATCACATTTGAATATTGATGATAATTGATGTCTAAATGTTTCATTTAAAGATGAAACTTTGGTTATTTTTCATTAACCAGACAATTGAATGGATCTAAAGCCATTCATTTGCCAATAAATTTTCATTTAACCCAAAAAACCCATTCAAAGTGAACATAAATCATTACTCAAGCCAATATCTCTATGGATTAGGTTGACAATTAGTTTACTGATCTAACTTGAGGCAATTTAATATTGACAAATCAAGGCAAATTATATTGAAATAAGTTATCAATGGAAATTGTAAAATGAGAAAACATTGAAATGAATTTTACGTGCATTCCATTTCAATAGCTTCTGATTTTTCACCACTTTTCTCTTGAAATTCAATTCCTATTTTCATCATCATTCACATCATTATTATCATAATAAGATATTTGATTCAACATTGAACTTTCACTAACCATATTCAAGTTAAATCACATCTCATCTAATGATACAATAAGACAATATCAAATGCATCATTAGAGTCAACGAACCAATTATTTGATATCAATTACAATTTGTGATTAAATAAAAAGGTCAACTGAACCTAAAACTAGAGTAAAAAATGATTTTAATGGTCATTTCTCAGTTTTTGTTTCTTCTGATAATCTTGCATGATATTATGGTTTGAATGTTGACTGCCTGAAGCTTGAGATTGTTCAATTGAATAATAAATGTAATGTGAAAATGGTTTGTGAATAAATGATAATATGATTGGATAATGAATAAAATTTTGAGGTAAAATGTGAGTTACCCTTGGCCATTGGTGAAAGCATGAGCAGGTTAACTAGAGCAGCTCCATGACCATGTCCATGGATAGTTACATTACCAGGATTACCACCAAAGCCTTCAATATTTTCTTGAATCCAATGAAGAGCAGCAACTTGATCCATTAAACCAAAATTACCTCTGGATGATCCATCCATGGCTGGATAAAAACCTGGACAAAAGGTGAAAATTAATTTTAATGCAAATGAATAACTAACTTCAGGTGCAATGAAATTTTCATTAAAATCAAATCAACTTTAGTCTTTGTAATTGATGTAAACCTTTTTGGGCTCTTCAAAGCAAATTACATTATTTTGCTTCTCTTTTTTTGCCATCTTTAGACTCTTTATCTTTCACCTTTATGGGTTCACAAATTGACAGGCAAAGAGAGGGAAAATGTGTTAAATGATTAAGATGACCAGGGTGATCATGATGAACAGTGGAAATGATGAGAAGATAAAATGTAGAAGAAAAGTTTAACATGAAAATGTTTATCCTCAAAGAGACTGTATTTGTGAATCAAGTTGATCCTTTGATCGTGCAATGAATTAAAATGTTTACTCTAATATAACAGTTGAATTGGTTAACTAACTTCAAATTGACATTCAATTGACATATAAAACAAAAAAAGGGTAAAATAAGGCAACAAAAAGTGTCTCTCTGTTAATCAACTTTCAATGTTTACTCTTATTGCCTTTTGATATCAAATCGATGTTTCAGAAACTAATCTCGAAATGGTAAAAATCGAAAATAATCGAGATGAAAATCAACCTTTCATCATTGAACAATTAGATTTATACCAACAGATAAATGACGTTTTTCGAACGGCTTCTTCATTTGTGAATCGAAAGACGGCCAACTCTATTGTTAGTAGCTCGACGTGAATGAAACTTATCATTGCAATCGGCTCGGGTGACTTTGGACACTTCACTTGTCAGTCTTTTGTTCGTGAAGATTGAAGATGGATTTAAGAGTCGATTGTCTCGTATTCCAAACTTTATTATCGATTTTCTCGATCCATCATTTTCTGTTCTTTAACAATCAAATCTTGAACTGATTTTCAATATTCTTCAACCAGAAATTGAATAAAAAATTCGACTGTGAACTCGACTTGAAACTCGACTTGAAGATGGTAAGCAAGTTAAACTCATTGAATTCAAAATCGATGAATATTTTGATAAATTTTCTCAGTTCTTAGATTGGCCCTGAATCGATTCCGCTATTGATTACTTTTAAGCAATTTGAAAATTCAAAACAAGACTTAATCAGATCACTTTTGATGAAAAGGAAAATCTGAATTTCGAATGTTTCTCCCTTTTAAAAGCTCTTGATGATTGAAAATATTGTCTCAATTGAGAGGTTAGCTAATTGTAAATTAATGTTATTCACTTCATGCACCGATACCTGAATAATTTGATGAATTATAGTCATTATGGAAACATATGATAATCTGAAATGTTCATTTTGAGTGAAAAGGTTGATAACGTTTCCATTTGAGTTTCAACTCTTATTGATCTTCTATTTATAGTTGAATCCTATCATGATGATTGAAAGTCATGATTCATCATTATTCTCATTATCATTCAAGTTAAACCGACTAATGATCAGAATAAGCTGATTGAAAGTTGTGATTCCCTTTCCGTTCTGTATAAATAGATAGCATTCAATGTTAATAATTTTGCTAACTTTTACTGTTATTATGACAACTTTGCTCATCTCAATGAGATTTAAATTAACTTGATCATTAAGCTTTTGTTTCTCGTTTGATGAACCTTTTTTTCTGGTCAAACAAAAGGTCACTGTATTGGTGAACTGAGTTTGTCAGTTGCAAGTTTGAAACAAAATGTAAAACAAAAGTTGAACTGTTTTCAGATTCTGTGGATGATTTGTTCAGATTGACCTGAATTTTATAAGGTTAACTGAGAGTAAACTTTTGCCTCTTTTTTTTCAAATAACTTGTTCCACTTGAGTTTTGTCTTGTGGTAACGAAAACGATTTCATCTTTTATTTCCAGGCTTCATTGTTCATTTCAATATCATGATTAGTTAAATGGTTAAATGGAAATTCCCTGTTTTTCTTAGTTTCATTACTTTTTCACCATTTTCTCGATTCTTTTTACCTTCAATTGGGAAACTATTATATTCCCAATCAGATAGCAGTTGTTTGACTTTATCTTGTTTAGGCTTTTGTTTTGTCTCTCGACTTGCTTGTTTTTTTCGTCGGTCTTTTCCATTCATTCCATCATGATGATAAACAGAATCAAGACAATCTCAATAAAACATGAATCGTTAAAAGTTATAGAATCATCATTTACTTTGATATTTTTACCATTTCTTTTTATTTTACTATTGATTCTTATCATTTATTCATTGACTTTCATTTTGTCCAATCTTTTTTTGCTCTTTGCCCACACTTTAAGTACAATATAAATCATTTTAATGGTTCATCTTATAGCTAAATGTTGATGAGTAAGGATAAAGCCTTAAAAAGAATCCTATTCAACAATCATGTCGATCATCCGATTACAATTATTCATTTACTGATCAAATTATTGTTAAAAGTCATTATCCTGAACATGTTTCATTTAATCAAACGTAAACTATTATTAAAGGTTTCAATTGCTGAAAAGTTAATAATGGGATCATTTAGTTCTAAACCTTTCAGTTTGGTCTTCTCTTGAAATTAAAAACTCTGTCGGTTGAAATAAGCATAACTCTTTGAGCTCACGTAATCTTTTATGAAAAACTTGACTAACGAAGGAAGTGTCTCAGGCGTCTCAATAATTTTCGTTGGAGACCATATTCATTCGATAGAGGACAAAAAAATCATGCATAGGGTTAACGTCTCCCGTTGCGAAAACTTTCGGATCACGAGTAAATTGAGGTCAAAAACAAATTTTGACGAAAAGATGCAAGTTTTTGAAATTTTTTACTCATTTTGAATACATTTATCAAGGTTTCCGATCTGGAAAAATGATCAAAATAATTAAAATTCTGTGATGTTTTTTTAGCTGCATCAATAATTAAAAAGTGTTAGTAGTGAAAGGAAAAATTGCAATATGAATTTCCGTGAATGTGCACTGAAAGTGACCGATTGAAAAAAGAAGCTGTATCATGGGCAAATCCTAATGTTCATATTTTTGTTATCAACTGATTAACCAATCTGAAATTCTTTTGGCTCTCAGAAAATGACAGTTATCCAGATAGACAATCCAAATATCAGTTAGCGGTCAAATAACGAAATGACCTTGAATGACTTTGACCTTGAAATATGAAATGGTTTAACGCTGACTTATCATAAACAAAATATCTAACTATAAATAAAATATAATAGCTGAAATGCCCTGTAGTAATTGGACCTACAGAAATTGGATTTTATAATAATTTGTCCGAAATTTTCGGCTTCAACAACAAATTACGATTTTATTGTGCTCGTCGAAAATGGCCATAAAATAGCAAAATTTGGCACGCTGAAGAAACTCGCGTCTTTGCGAGTAGTATAGAAGCAGCCCACTTTGGCCCACTACTCTAGCACAGCAATTAAAGGAGAAAGAGAAAAAGAAAGAGAGAAAGAAAAGAAAAAGAAAGAGAAGGAGAAAGGGAATTAAAAAGAAAGAGAAGAGGAAAGAAGATGAAGTGGGCTAGATATAGCCACAATAATGAGTGGGCTAGAGATAGCAAATATTTCAATATGCAAAGGTCAATGGGATCAAACTCATAAATTAAACAAAAGAAAAAATTGATTATAGAGTTTGATCCCATTAACCTTTGACAAAAACTTGTTTATTCCAATTTGTCAGCAGTTCCTTCATTTTTTGCTAATAGCTTTTCAATCATATTTTATTTTTCACTACCAATTAGTTGGTCAAAATTTTCAAAGTTTTTTTTGGTCACTTATTTGATTGTTTGACTTTTTCCCTCTGTTTTTATTTTGTTACCCTTTTACCTCATCAAAATGCAAAGGTTTTTTATTGACAGTGACAACAGAAATGTTGGGAAAATTTGTGTCCAAATTCCCGAGCAATTTTTCACCCTCGAGCACGACCCACCGCAACCTCCATCTCCAACTCCACCTCAATCTCCTCTATCGCCATCCTTCAATTTTCGGTACCAGAAGTTTTTGTCTCGATCGACATCATCATCTGTGCCCTCTTACGAGTCGACAGGTGTATCGAAGTCTGACTCTGAGAATGTTCCTCCTCCACCACCACCACCACCTCGACCACGATCAACACCAAAACCAACAATCTCAAATTACTGTAAACGCAAGTTGTTTGCGATTTGATGCATTGAGAAAGCGAGCCTCAAAACAAGTGAAAATGTAAGTTGAATTCTTCTTTATCCATAAGAAAATCTGCGCCCTCAATGATATAAACCCAAAATTTTGGTTAGGTTTGGTTAGGTTAGATTAAAAATCAATAAAAACTTGAAAAAATTAAGTTCTTTATGAAAAAATATCGTCAGAATAAGTAATCCAAAAGTTAGGTTTGGTTTGGTTAGGTTAGATTAAAATCAAAAACATTTAAGAGAATTTAATTCTTAATGAAATGTCAGAATAAGCAATCCAAAAGTTAGGTTAGGTTTGTTTAGGTTAGGTTAGGTCCAGCCGTAGTTATAGTATGGCTGGAAATTTTATTCATATATTAAAGGCATCAGATTTTTAGTTGTATATAACAAAAACTAATCAAAGTTTTCTCTTTTTTAGATTAAAAACCAATAGCCTAGATAAGGCAATGAAAAGGGCCACTAAATTTTTGGCGTACGAATACAACGGCTACATCAGAGTAGCCGATCGCAGAACATTATTAAATTTAATTTCAACTCTATGCTCATTTAGCAAATAATAAATTTTAACTCGAAAAATAAAGTTTCAAATCTGAAAACATAAGTAATACAATGCTATAATTTTTTGTAGAATCTTGAATAATTTAATATTTCAACATATTATAACCCATAATGAAAATGAATGTTTGTACAAAGAATGATGATTGTACCAAGGGTTAGGAAAAAGATGATACCAATTTCAAATTGACTTATCCTTTGAACTGAATGTCATATTTATTTCAAATGTTCAATATTTTGCCCTTTACAATACCAAATTTTACGACAACGTCGTTGCCAAGATCGCAAAGCATTATCAATTAATGATTGCGGCAATTTGCGCCAAGCTAAC